GTTCTCAGCGCAGCCCGACGCCGACTCTGGCCTCCAGCGGGTTGAACGTGATGTTAGGAACGGGGAAAGGCAAACGTCTGTTGTCCCCATAACCAATGTAATACGGAGTGTTCATCTTTTACCCAAATGGGGGCGCTCTGTGCCCTCAGATTGGTCTACTGACAATGTTTTGGAGAGGTGCACTGTCTTTTATGTGAATAGCTTCAAAGATATGCACACATACTTCAGTATACACTCCGAATAATCAGTTATTACCAGTACTAGTAGTACTAGATTTACTTATAGCACCCTGTTTCGAAAGACGCCAAAAAAACTGCAGTCGCGAGAGAAATACAGAGAATTCCTGAGAAATTCGCTGTTTTCGCAAGTTTTCGGGTTTGAGGTTTTTCCTGATGTGGTGAAGAAGGCGCGAAATACCAGGAACTTCGTGCCATCCCGATTGCCTCGCTCGACGCAAAGTTCACACTCGGTGAAGCCCATGTGATAGGCCCTTTCCCTGTCCAAACAGCGGGAAACTTCCGCTACGCTGCCCAAGCAGGCCGCCTCATATTCTCGGCACATGTGTACGCAGATGGGGACCTTAAGACGGTAGTCAAGCAGGACAAAGCATACGAAGAGCAAGGGAGCACTGCTTTGGTGTATGACGAGACGTTCGCGAGGCACTGGGACCACTGGGTCGGACCAACACATCAGTCACTGTTCAGCGTGCAGCTTACGAAGGAGGGTGATGCTTGGGCGATGGGCACTGAGTTCACCAACGCTCTCAAGAATTTACGCCATGTAAGCCATGACCCTACAATACAGTGCATCGCTTACTCATCGAGACGGCTTCCTAGAGCTCTCCCAGTGGCGGCGCTGGCGACTTTGACGTGTCGGACACGCATATTATCTATACATGCAAGGATCCTGACCTTCCCAAGGCGATGCACACCAAGCAGAACGTACGACTCCCAACGTTCACCGTCGCATAGGCTTGCTTCTCATTCCGCGTAACATTGCAGATATACATGGTTCCCTTCGATGGTTCGAAAGTCACCGAGTTAACCTCTGGCGAACAAGGCGCAGCCTTAAGTCCCGTGTTCAACAAGGTGGCCGACAAGGTTGCTTGGGTGGAAAATGATGAGGATGGATACGAGAGCGCGAGGTGTGTTCTTTGGTATACGGTATGGTTCGCACGTGCTCACATATGCTTTATAGGATGAGGGTTGTCATCTACGACCTCACCAAGAATGTGCGGTACACACTTACTCAAGCATGGGATCGGTCGCCTAGCAGTCTCGTGGTATGCTTTGTTTGTGCGAGATTAGAGTACGGTATATTCAACGTTTGTATTTTCAGTTCTCGGAGCAAGGTGATTTTCTTTACATGATCGCTGGCGACGATGCTCGCGTGAAGGTCTTCGCGGTCCGCCTTCCAGAGACGCCGGGCGCATCAACGACTCATCCCGAGCTCTCCGCGCACTTTACGCCCCGTGCGCTAACTCACACAGGCTTTGTTTCCGATCTCCATATCCTTCCAGGGAACCGCGCTCTATTCAGCAAGACCTCTTTCCTTGGGCCTAATGACACATACGTCATCCGCAAATTAGACCTCATCGAAGACACCATTCGCCAACAATCATCAGCTGCACCTGCTCCGGTACAAGTCGAGTTAGAACGCCTGACGAACCACTCGGCGCAGAGCCTGCAGGGCAAGTACCTCCCACATGCCGAGGAGTTCAGGTTCAAGGGAGCAGACGACGTCGAGATCCAGGGGTGGATTTTCAAGCCTCAAGGCTTTGACCAAGAGGACAGAAAGAAATGGGTACCGCTGTTGTCTATCCACGGTGGGCCACAGTGGGCGTGGCAGGACCAGTGGTTGTCGACATGGAACCACAGCGGTAAGCGGCTGTCCAAGAGTTCAGGTTGGAGCGTCACTTTTTGAACTGATGAATTCAGTGCTCGCAAACCATGGTTACTTCGTTGTTGCCATTAACCCGACGGGGTCCACAACTTTTGGGCAGAGTAAGCGAATTTAGCCGACTGCGATTAATCCTACCAATGAGGAATGAATGCGCAGACCTGGTTGATGCAATTACTGGCGATTGGGGTGGAAAGCCCTTCATCGACCTCCGGAAAGGGTGGCAGTACGTTTTGGACAATTATCCTCAAGTATGTCTCTATGTTGCTGATCTCGGGGATGCAATGTTGGATGAATTTTACTTTGCCAGATCGACCCCGGCCGTGCTGTTGCTATTGGTGGTAGTTGGGCGGGCTATGCCATCAAGTTCGTCTGCTCTGAGACATTTTCTGCATGACAAAGCTAACACAGTTTACAGCTGGATTCAGAGCAACCCAGACTTTGGGTTCGGCTTTAAAGCCTTGATGAGCCACTCCGGTGTAAAGCAGCCCTTTTCCTTCCTCGTATGTGCGATATTAATTCAGAGCATTGACAGATATTCGACGTAAGATATAGTGCTTATACCACGCATGAACTCTTCTTCGTCAGTCTGATTTAATTTCATCCTATTTATACAAAATGCCCGTGTTCTCATCGGCTGACGGACCATTTCCAGTTCAATCACGACTGGCGGGGTCGGCCATGGGACCCAGAAGCACAGAAATTGTTCGCCAAGTATGTCCTGCATAATATCACTCTGCAGCATTAGAACTCATTGTCGATTTCTCCTAGGTACAATCCCGCCAATTATACTGATAAATGGTCGACGCCGCAGCTGCTCATCCACGGGAGCAAAGACTATTGTGTGCCAGAGACGGAAAGTATTGCAGCCTTCCATACCCTCCTGCAGTGTGTCCCTTTATTACTTCTGTGCTATTCTCGTCCGCTGACCGATCTACAATTCATAGGCGCGGCATACCTACACGATTGGTGATATTCCCTGACGATAATCATGTAATCGAAAAAGATGAAAACTGGTATGTTCAACTTCGACTTGCATTTGTTATTCGTGGTTGACTCGTTCTTGTGTCAGCTTGAGATGGTATGACGAGCTGTTTAGGTGGTTCGACCAGTTCGTCGGAAGCAAGTAGAATGGCGTGGCCGCATCGGCATGAGGAATAGCAATCGACCTTGGGATCGGCCCTTGAATAACGTAGCTCTCAGGCTGATGTGACGAAAGCTAACGAGTTGATTTTTGCACCTTGTATTGGAGACTCAGATTATTCTTAGTATTTTAGAACAGAAGGTATAGCTCAACAAGTGAAGGTCTTTCTCGGGTATAAACCTTGTATTCTCGAATAGTTTATAAGGTGGTGAATCGATAGTGACCGTGTGGTTTCTTCGAGTTGGATCTCATGGTGTGTCCCTTGACCATGCGGAGAGTTGACAGCTATATCAGCCTGAGTCACGAGTGCGGGGAAGAGCACGCGAATAAATTGTTGGATAACGCCCACAGCTGCCTGTCCTGCAAGCCCCATTTACAGAGTTACAGGGTTCTTCGCCCCAGTAGATTATCGCCATGCGACTGCCCACGGCGGTTTCTCTTTCTCTCTTCTTTGGGCTTGCGCTTGCAGCACAGGACCCTTTCCACGTCCCCGACACTTCGTCTAGCACGCCCAGCATGCCTGCCCAGGAATTCGCGTTCAGAGAAGGTGGCAGCGTCCTGTCCCCCAAGGACATGCTGGAGCTGCCACGGTCCGGCGCCGCTGTGGCCAACCCATCGGGCGACCTTGCGATTGTCCCGATCAGCAAGTACTCTTTTGCGGACAAAAAGTAAGTGGATCCGCTACAAAGCCCCTATCACCGCTTGACCTGCTCAACCTATATACTCATTCTCGCCGTCATTCTGCACCAGGAACGTGAAATCTCTTGCCGTTATTGGTCTCGAGGCTGGCCAAGCATCCCTCTCCATCCCTCTCCCTGACGGTGGCGAAGCTTTCTGGCTCGATGACCGCACTCTCGCTCACATCGTTGAGGCTGGCGCGGACGACGCGAAACGCCAGGACGTCCGCGTCATCCCGCTCACCTCCTTCGGCGACAAGTTCACCGCTGGCCAAGCTCAGGTGGTGGGATCCTTCCCCGTCACGACCGCGACCAACTTCCGCTATGTTGGCAAGGCGGGACGCGTCGTCTTCTCCGCGTACGTCCACGCCGATGGAGACCTCAAAACGGTGGCCAAACAGGACAAGGCATACGAAGAGCGAGGCAACACCGCGCTCGTATATGATGAGACTTTTGAGAGACACTGGGACCATTGGGTTGGGCCAACGCACCTGTCACTGTTCAGCGTGTCGCTCGCGAAGGATGGTGAGACGTGGGTGATGGGTACCGAGTTCATTAATGCGCTCAAAAACACCCCGCACGTTAGTCTTAGTTGTCGTCCATCGCTTCCGTATTCTCACGACTCGGCTTCGTAGAGCTCTCCTGTTGAGCCATTCGGTGGTACAGACGACTTCGACGTGTCGAGCACGCATATAGTCTACACGACCAAGGATCCTGAGCTCCCTCAAGCGGTCCACACCAAACAGAATGTATGCTTGCTCAGCTATGTTTATAACCGGTAATATAACGTTCTACGTGTTCCAGGTCTACATCGTTCCTTTCGACGGCTCAAAGGTCACCGAGTTGACCTCAGGCAAGCAAGGCGCGACCCATAGTCCCGTATTCAACAAGCAGGGCGACAAGATTGCCTGGACTGAACTTGACGAGGATGGCTACGAAACGGACAAGTGCGTGACAAAAGCGAGCGTGCGAAGTAATATATAATTCTCTTATACTTGCTTGACAGAGCGAAGATTGTCATCTTCGACCTCACCAAGAACGTCCGCTACACGCTTACTCAATCTTGGGATAGGTCGGCAGATAGTCTTGCTGTAGGTTTTATCCCCTTGGGTCGGTTGTGGAGCCATAATTTCTTGATTACCTGTCTAGTTCTCTGAACAAGGCGACTTCCTCTACCTGACTGCCGGCGACGAAGCGCGCGTCAAGATCCTCACGGTTCCTCTCCCCGAGACACCGAGCACATCGACAACGCACCCCGATCTCTCCATTCACTTCACGCCTCGCGCGCTCACGCAGTCTGGCGCCGCGTCCGGCCTGCAGATCCTCCCCGGCAACCGCGCCCTCTTCAGCCAGTCCTCCTACCTCGGGCCCAACGACGCGTATATCATCCGCAAGCTGGACAGCGTCGAGGACATGATCCGGCAGCAGTCGTCCGCGTCTCCCACTGTGGTGCAGGCCGAGGTCGAGCGCCTGACGAGCCACGCGGCGGAGGGCCTGCAGGGCAAGTATCTCGCGCCGGGCGAAGACTTCCGGTTCAAGGGTGCGGACGACGTCGAGATCCAGGGATGGATTCTCAAGCCGGAGGGCTTTGCCAAGGAGGACAAGAAGAAATGGGCGCCGCTGTTGCTTATTCACGGCGGCCCGCAGAGCGCATGGCAGGACCAGTGGTCGACGAGGTGGAACCCCAACGGTGAGCGGCAGTTTGTGGCATCAGTGGCATAAGTGGAATGAGATGGATGCTGAGGCGTGCAATAGTGTTTACAAACCAGGGATACTTCGTTGTCGCCATTAATCCGTCCGGATCGACGACTTTTGGGCAGAGTAAGTAAAAGAATCTCAACTGCCGTTGAAACCGCTGAGTTTCTTACCAATAGACTTGACCGACGCTATCACGGGCGACTGGGGAGGAAAGCCCTTCGTCGATCTCCGTAAGGGCTGGCAGTACATTCTCGACAACTATCCTCAGGTGCATTGCCTGAAATATAGTATTCGCGAAGACAAGGTTTACTGACGCCTTCTGAAGATTGATCCCGACCGTGCTGTCGCTGCCGGTGCCAGTTGGGGCGGCTACGCCATCAAGTATGTTGGCCAAATATTTGGTCGGTTCATGCAGGTGGCTCACTTATTACAGCTGGATCCAAAGCAACCCCGACTTCGGATTCAACTTCAAAGCGCTGGTCTGCCACGACGGTGTAAGCCCTCTGCTCTTGCTATCGTGTTCGTAACTGACACCTCGCGCAGGTGTTCGACGCCCAGTACAACGGCTACTCAACCGATGAGCTCTTCTTCGTAAGTTACCCGTTTTTTAGATTTCTTCTGCAAAGCCGAAGAATTTATCGCTTTCCGCAGTTCAACCACGACTGGTCCGGCAGGCCATGGGACCCGCAGACGAAGAAGTTGATTGAAAAGTATGTGTGGTGCCTCATATCTCATGACATTATAATTTATGCAATTGCGATCCCGCTCTAGGTACTCCCCGGCGAACCACATCGAGAAGTGGTCGACGCCGCAGCTGCTCATCCACGGGAGCAAAGACTACCGGCTGCCCGAGACGGAGAGCATCGGCGTCTTCCATACCCTCCAGCAGTGCGTATCACATTCCTCCCGCTCCACCAGCTGCTCTGTCTGATTCTCCTCGTGCGATGATCCAGGCTCGGCATCACCACCCGCCTGGTGATCTTCCCCGACGAGAACCACTGGGTGCTCAAGCAGGGTAACAGGTGAGTTCTAACCTACCTGGTGTTTCGAAGAAGGCTGCATCATGGTGCTGATTCACTGGCGACAGTTTGAAGTGGCACTACGAGGTGTTCAGGTGGTTCGACCAGTTCGTCGGGAGTAAATAAAGCAACCGAACCGCAGAAGAATCGATTCTCGTGTAATCCCCCTGTAGCAATATCAGTTTACAAGTTTGCCTCCGGCAATGTGCGCTCTACGTCTGAGATCGCGAATAAATAAGGTGAACGCGCCAAAGAAGTTAAATTTATGTACAGGACACACGTAGAGGCGGGATGGCGCGATAAGATGTTAGCTCTCCACAGATCGGTAGAAATACAGTGTCTCCGGGTACATGAGATGGAAGACTTTAACGAAGAGATGATAAACGACAAGAAAGAACCCTGAAATCAGGCAGGAATCCGAAACGTAGGCGTGATAGCGAAATAATTTAAGTACCGTAAAGTGCCGACGCGTCTAGCGCAAGCTATGACCGCGCCGACTTGGCTGGTAGAGTCTTCCGCCGACTGGTGCTTGCCGCCGTCGTCTTCGCCTTCTTCGCGGGGCCGGCGGACCGCGCGGACACGGGCACAGACGTGGCCGTGGGGGCGAGTCTTCGGGTCTTGACGGGCTGGGAGGCGTATATCGCTTTATGATTTGGCTGCTTCAACGAACGAGTTAATTTAGCTTTCGTGATGTGTAAAAGTAAGAAAACGCACCTCCGCTCGCATATTGAGCTCGTCCTCATCCGAGCCCTCGTGATATTCATCGCCCGAGGACTCCTGTTGTTCCTCGCCTTCGCTGTCGGAGTCGACCTCCACGTACAGACGCTTCGGCGCTGCTTTACGGGCGGACGCGCTGGCGCCAGATGTGGTTATCGGTGCGGTTTTTCGCGCCTTGGACGACGAGGTCGACGATGCGTTAACGCTGGCGCTACTCGCGTTTGTGGCAGACTTGTTCGCCGTCTTTTGACTCTGGCCCTTGGAAGACGACGAAGGCGCGCTCGCGCTGACGTGCGTGGTACTTGACGAGGCGGTTTTCCAGGTTCTCGAGATGTGCGATATCGAAGGGCCCGCTGATGCTGATGTTGAGGTCGAGGGGAGTATCGGGATTTCAATTTCGTCCTCGTCGAGCTCTTCCTCCTTGACGGGCACCGAGACGACGGCGTGTACGCGGCGTATGACGGTCGATCGAGGCCTGCGTTCGCTCTCCTCCAGCAGAGCCGAGGTCTCATCGTCTTCGTCGTCTTCATCATCTCTAATTTGGGTGGGCTTTGCACTGCGTTTTGTACCGCTATGGTACTCGCTCGTCGGTGTAGGAAGTTGGCCAGGCGGGTCCGCTTGCTGGCGGGACGACTTCGGTGCACGCGACGACTTCGAGGCAGCGTTCGACTTCGACTTTGCCTTGGCCGTTCCACGCTTCGACAGGCCGCTTTCGGGCGGGGGACTCGCAGACTCGTACAGCGGCGGGCGAGAGACGGTCTTCGAGGATGAAGCAGACGCGGCGGGGAGATCGGCGTGCCGGATGTTGGGCGTATAAGGCGCGGCGCCCGCATGCGCGAGGTCCGCCACGAGCTGCTCTACGCGTGCGGCGAGGCGCGCGCGCTCGGCCTCGACGCGGAGGAACTGCTCTTTCCAGCTGATGGATGTCTCTTCTAGCCGAAGGCATTGTTCTTTCCAGCGGGAGGCGTCTTCGCGGAGTTCGATAATCGTTTCCTCTCGATGCTTTATCTGCAATAAAATATGAGGAGGGAGCAAAACAACAGGTGACGCCACACTTGCCTTGAGCTCGGCTTTCTCGAGCTAGCGCCCAGGGGTTAGATATGGGTGTATGCGTCCAAAGTAAGGAGAACATACAGATGACTTCCAGTTCGTCGCCTCCTGCTTCCACGTGGCCTCCTGCTTTTTGCTTACAGTCAGGCTCTTGAGGGCATCGTCGCGCTCGCGGCGCGCCTGACGCGCCTCGGCGGTGGCCTCGGACACTTCGGCGCGAGCCTGCTCCTGGGCGTTGTTAACCTGGAGGATATGCGGATCAGAATGAGGCTAAATCCGACAAGCAAAAAGAAGATGCCTACGATGGTGGTTACTGCCCTGTTGAAGGCAGATACAGCGTCTGAGAAGGCGACGTCGGGTGCTTGCTTGCGGGAGCTCATCGTCGGTGGGAACAGAGACGCGGTCTCGGGATTTGCCACGGCCACGACCTGATGTGGCTTGGAAGACGTGAGCGCGTCTCGGACATACTTGAAGCACACCATCGCTATCGCTATGGCTGGGTTGGCGCTGGGCTGGTGCTACTGTGGACCTCTCGACTCCAACTTCAACTTGAACCTGCGTGCTGTCGGCTAGCCTGCTGGCGCCATCAAAACTTGGCGGGTCTGTGTTTTTCCACGGCCGACGCTCGCCGACCCACGGAAGCACGGCGCCAGCTCCAGACGTTGGAAACTGCGATGCGCCCTCTGACATCACTCTGACGTTCTCCTCTGGTCTCTCCCCACCTCACATATATATATAACCTCGCCCATTTCCTCTATGTTTCCTCACTCAAGCCAAACTCACCAACTCACTCGCATCTGTATCACCTTTTGTACCTTTAACGAACTCCATTTATCGTCTCTATCATCATGTCGTCTGCCCCTGAAGGTTACCCCAACCGACACGCCATGGAAAAGGACCTTGCCCACCGCGGCCCTAACAAGACCACCGACGACCAGTTCAAGAAGACGTTCCAGACCGTCGGCCGTCCTGAGACCACGGACCACGACATCCACGAGGACTTCCTGAAGAACCCGCCCAACGTGAGCCCCTAACCTCTGCCTCGCCATCGCCTTCATTGATAATTTACGCGATCTCTTCTATATAGAACCATCCAAGCGAGTTCACCAACTCTGACAACCTGGGCAAGAAGGAAGGTGCCTATGAGCGCGAGCCCATGCAGATGGGCGTTCTCGGCTACGAAGAGACGGGTCGGGTGAAGAAGAGCGCCGTGCAGGGCGCTATGCTAGAGGAGGACTCGGTCCACCCTTGATTGTAATCGGATACTTAGACGGTCAGACGAAGTAACATTGCATCGCAGCATATCATTGTGTATTACCATCGCATACAATCACGCTAATACTTGCCCTGTACATGTGAGGGTACTTCATTTACTTTGTGGGACTTTGTAAGCTGCTCAAGGCTGATGCATATGTTTATCTCCTTGCGTTTTGTATAAATTGGCGTGAAACATATCTGTCTTGCTAGTGCAAGCAGTGATCGGATGACTTGTGTTCAATCGGACATTCCTCGTCTGCCTCAGCAGTTTGCTAGGTATAAAAGTCAAAAATTGAAAGACAATTAATCGTGAAGTAATTCGAAAGAAAGAACAGACGTCCAGGGACACAACAAGAAGTAAAAACCATATGTGCATGAAGCCATTACTCCTCCCCCATCCCATACACCAGCCCCAACGCAACCCTCGCCGCCGCCCGCCGCCGCTCAGCGTCATCCGGCATCAGCGATATCTCCTCCTTGAGGCCCTGCAGCGCACCGAACACGCTCTGTAGGTCGAACGCCTCCAGTTCGGCCGGCGCTGCATCGGAGTCCGTCGCGTCTGACGTTGCTGGTGAACGCGCTTTGAACACGTCTGAAGTGCCACTAGCCGTGATGTTGGTACTGGGTGATTTGGTCGACTGCAGTTGGCCAGCATCGCGACCAAATATCCGCTGTGCGGTCTGCGCGATCTCCGCTTGCGATGGCAGATCTTCGTCCTCGCCATCGCCTGCGCCGAAATCCGATACAGATCCAAGGGAATGGTACGCCACCCCGCTCGAATGATGAGGCGTAAGGTGCGCGTCGTCCTGTGCCGGCGTCGACCGCCCGCTGCCATCTTCACCTTCGCCTTCGCCTCTTGCGGAATCACGCTCGCGCTCACGATCATCCTCTTCATTGAAGCTAAACGTCGACCCGAAGCTCGCGGACGAGCCAAGCCTCCGCCGGGGCGAGTGTGCCTCCACTGCGCCCATGCCCAGCGCCATGCTGTCCGCTCGCAGACGCGACGAGCCCTCTCCCTCCTGCCACGTTCGCGCCGATACTGGCAGAGACAACGTCGCAGCTCCAGCCTCGCCAGACGGGGGTGCGGAGACGAATACCGTAAAATCGTCGTCGAACCCGGTCGCCACGGGCGAGTCGACGAATTCCGCCGCGGCTGTTGACTCCCGCGCGCGCGGATCGACGAAGAGCTCTTTGCTGAGCGAGATCGGTACCTTGTCCTCCGCGTCTCGAGCGTGAGCGTGACCGCCGCCGTCGCCGCCGCCTTCCGCAGACGAATCCGACATCCCGTCGTCCAACCAGCGCTCGAGCGCCGCGAGCTCGCGGGCCATCTGCGCATGCCGCGTGTGCGGGTCCGCTGGGGGCCGCACGAGCCCGCTGAGGTCGTCTAGGTCCGCCATAGAGCCTTCTTCATCGTCCCCCTCCCCATTGTGGTCATCGGCAGTACCGCCCACGTTCACATTGGCATTGCGGGGCAAGCGCGGCGCCCACGTGCTGAGCCGCGCGGGCCTGTCGACGCGCACGAGCGAGGGCCACATGATCGTGCTGAGCGCGTCAACGACGCGTCCGAGGCCCGGGATGTCTGCTCGACAGGCGATGACGGTTTTCTGCATCAGCACGATCGTGTCTTGGGAGAAGGGGAATAAAATTGGGCGCACCATGTCGTCCGCCCGCACCGTCGTCCGTATCCCGATCCTGATTCTCAGCGCCGAGGCTCTCCTCGCGCACATCGACGAACTCGAACCCATTCTCGACGAGGTACGCGTCGATGTCCTCGTCCTCGTCCAATTCTACGCCTATAAGGCTCGGTCCAGGCGCCGATGGAGATAACGGCGGCGGCGGCGGACCTGTGGTATCGTCGAGTTTTGAGGCATCACTAGACGCAGAACCAGAGCCAAAGCCAGCGTTCCGGGGCACACGCACAGCGAGCGCGACCTCAAAGTCGTCCGCATACAAGCGCTTCGCGAGCTGCGTCACCTGTGCTCTGTAGGGCTATAAAACATATAAAACAGCTACGCGTGAGCTCAACCCCGCCCTCGACTCGAGCCAGCACAAAACGAACGCACCTCGCCGTGCGCCCAGACGTACACGAGCGCGGGCACGCCCCTGCGCTCGGTCGGACACGTGGGGAGGTCGTGCACGCGCACGGAGACGTCGGCGGTGTAGTACTTGTTCGTGATCGTCCACGGCACTGTGTGTCCTGGTGCGCTCTGAGTCAGTTCTGAGCCGTTTGATTGGGCTTCTGAAGGAGGCTTGGGGAGAACGAGGGCGGGGTCATGGCGTAGCTCTGGATGAATAGACCGTCAGATCTGCGGGTGTGTCGAGGGAAAGCAAGAAAGGGGAGGGAGATCACTTTGGAGGAGAAATTGGGCGCTCGAGCGGGCGGCTGAGACGAGGAAAATGGAGGAATGGGGATTTGGTGTAGTGTCCGAGGCCATCGCGACGGGGCGGAATCAGAAAGATCTTCAATAATTGAAGCCAATCCACCCCGCACTCTTTATAAACGATCGCGTTGTATCAATACGCTCCTTTACGTGTCCATTAGCTCACTGCCCCTCCGCATCAATCGAAATTCTCCGTGGTGACCATCCACCACTGCGCAAGGCTATGGCCATTTATTCAGTGTTCAGAGAGCTGCGATTCTGATAACAACGTTAATTTGCTGCGGGGTTCGGCGCGTTGCATATCTCGGTACAGTCCGTCGGGACAATGCAAAACACCGTGACACTTTCCTCCAACCTGGGAGCTCAGTGTAGTACTACCTGGTAGTCTCCCGTAGGCAGAACTTTATAATTTATGGAAGATAATCGTTCCTCATAAGAAGGACCATCGTAACAGGTCGTAATTATAGGTCGTAACCTCGCCGTCTAGCACGTTCGCCACCCAACACATTTGCCATCCAACACTTTCTTCGCGTGCAAGCACCATGGCCGATCTCTTCACGGAAGGACTGTTTCCTCCGTACGGGCAAGTACCTACCAGTGCCTACACACCCCCTCGCTCATGCCACCGATAGTCCTGTCCCTGCCATGCCACCTCACATGTGTGAAGGGCCATGCATATACGGGCATATCCTCACTCAGGACAATGTTGACATCTATCGCAAACAGCGAAACGTGGTTGACGAGTCGGATTATAATGATCCTGACTCGGTGGCGTCTGCTGCCTACAACAAGTTTGCGTTCATGGGGTGCACTAAGACTGTTTATGTGGATGATGGCAGTCTTGCAGAATGTCTCGTCTACGTCCTGTATTATCACAAAGGAAAGGTTGCCGACCTGAGGCTGCCAGGTCCGCTCAAAGAGGAAGTAGAGAAGTCCTTGGGCATCCAGGGCCAGGAGCCGAGGTGGTATCGACACCATCGTAGGTGCAACGACCTCACATTCAATGTAGTTTCTGAACCCTCGCACAGAGAAAACCAATGCCGAGAGAAGAGCTGAGCTGCTCGCTCAATACAAGGTTTGGACTTTCATTATGTGTGCTCATTCAATCACTAATTGTGTGCATTGTTAGACCAACGTTTCCACTCCCGCCGACAATACTGCAGTTGCCCAAGTTTCACATGCAAATGTATGACATGCCAATATTAATGTGTAATTTGAGCTCAAAGGATAGGTAGCGAAGGTTGTCAGCTGAAATGAAATTAATCACTACACGCTCGACCTCATCAAGGTGCTGCCCACGATCGCGAGTTCTACCCGTGCGCGTGAAGTCGTATTACCCGATATAATGCAACTCACAACCAAACAACGCGTTTGGAGCTCTTGTCCTGAATCCTATCTCTGCCACTCTAGTTACATGCCCCGAATCGTCAATCAAAGAACCAAGGTTCGCCTACTATACTTCTAGCCTGGTGCTTGAGGGACTGAGTATCTCTCTCACAGGCTCTACGCCTATCAGCATCGTCAGACTTAGGACTCAAGACCAGGACGAAGAGTAAAGCCCGTAGAAAAGTTGACGCGTCTCGGACGGCTTCCGCTAAATCCTCCACGTCTTCAGTGCTCGTCCCTCGTAACCGCTGGGAGCAGTACTGGTATGACAGATTCGGCCCCGAAAAGGCGGCTGACTTCATATGTCCTGAAGAGGAACTTCTTGACCTCTATGGCAACATAATGGGACTCAAGGGAGAAGAATTCGAAGAAGCCATTCGCGAACATCACGCGACGATGGATGCCATGCTGGACCAAGAAGGTGGACCCAAATGTCGAGGCGTACGTCACATACTATCAGCTTGTCTATCACGCGTATAAAGGTGTTTACGGACGTCCGGTTGTTGTACAGATCAAACCGCCACCGGATGCCACAGAAGGGGTTCAGATTGTCGACATCCCCGATTCAGACCATATGGCCATCCGATTCTTCAGCGCAGACCTTGAGAACGATGCTCAGTTTGGCTTCGACTTTTTCAACACCGCGAAGAAAGAAGCCGTTAACTCACCTGACGCCTGGGTCGTCAACGTTATTCCTGAGCTAGGGAGTCTGACGTTGCTGTGTTCAGGCCAGCTCAAGAGCTGGGAAGCTGCCTGGGGTTACACCGGAGACGATATTCCGCCTGGCGAGGAACGCTTTAGCGTTATCGAAGGCGCGATGTGTCAGCTGGATCGTCCGGGGAAGGAGTCGTTCTTGTTCGAGGTGCCCAGACGGCCCAGGAGAGTGCCCCCCGGAGTGCGGTTCGCAACCGCTAGGCCGCTGTAGGATGCAAGGTCCAGTTTCAAGGATGACATCCTACTAGCAATGACTTGCCTACTATTCGCCATATCTGAAACTTGAGCTCTCTGGCTTTGTACACTGTAATGTGCTTCAATTCAAAGCAAACTACCAATGTGGACTTCGTGTATGATATCAAACCCTGAATTCATCGTCATCACTATTTTTTAAACTGCCCAGTATCGAAGTATTCTTCCAGAGATAGTCAAGACCACGTGCGCGCTTCGAAGTCACGCATATGCATATTCGCGCTTCGCGTCGGGTGCACCAGGGTCGCGTACAACCGTGATTGACTGCGCATCACTACCACGACCATCCATCGCTCGACCATCTCCAGCACTTCAAGCAGTGCATGATTCAAACCACAGTCAACTGAAACTCACGATCCACAGCTGACCGAGAAGCGCATCCATAGTCCTCCGTCAGAACCCGTGATATTAAAAATATAAAAGCAAATAAAAGTCCACAGCATCCGACACTCGAGACTCACGACGCAACCTCCACAGTCTTGGCGCCCTCCAACCCATTTGCATACTGAAACTGGTCCGAGTTCTCGTACTGCAATCCCGATATCAACAGATTCCTCACAACATATTGAACCATTGACTCACCTCCCACATATCCAGCGCAACCTGACAGCTCTCGCGCACAACACGCGGCGCGTCCTCCCTGCGCAGCCACTCCTCGAGATGCGGGCGCACCTCAGGCGTACCGATCCCGCCGAGCGCCTCGGCCGCCTCGTGGCGCACCATCTCCTCCTCGCGCGCGTCCTCAAGCACCTTAATGAGCGCGGGCACCGAGTGCGCGGAGAGCAGTTGTCCAAAGACGAACGCGATTTCGTGCCTGGGTGCCGTCGTTCAGCACAGCGTTAGCGCTTCGTAGCGAGGGAGGCGAAGGACGCACTTGAATAGAGCGCTGTCGTCCATGAAGCCGGACGCGAGCGCGTCGACGGCGGCGGGCGTGCCGATGTCGCGCAGCGCGAACATGGCGCGGTATCGCTCGAACAGTGGCAGCTCGGTGTTCAGGAGCGCCGCGCGCAAGCCCGCGATCGCGACGTCGGACGTGTCCGCGGGCGCCTTGCTCGCAAGGAGCGTCGATGTGGCTGGTGCGGGGTCGATCGAGGTGTACGTTCTATGGCATAGACATGCATGGTATGGAATAGTCAGTAACCCTCAAGACAACGCGACCAATGGTGAAGGACGCACGGTATCGACTCGGGGTCCTCACGCGTTCTGCGCACGCGCTGGCCCTCATCGGACGCGTCCCATTCGATCTTGGCCAGCGCGATCTCGCACGTCTCGCGCACGCTCCGGTTCGGGTCGTTCAGGTGCGCCTTGAGCACTGGGATTGCCGACTGAGCGGAGAGCGCGCCCATCGCTTCGGCGGCCTGATCGCACGGAATAGGGGCAGGACGATGTTTGTGAGTGAGAAAGCAGAGATGAAGGAGGGGAGGGGGGAACGGACCTCGTGTCGGACCATAGGGTCCTCTGACATGTTCTCGAGGACGGCGTTGAGGATGGGGAGAGCGGAGGGCTGGCCCATCTGGCCGAGACAGTAGGCGAGCTCATGCTTGAGGAGGGCAGAGTCATCGGCGAAGCCTGGTCATCGCGTAGACATGAGAAGGATAATAGCGTAGACAATTAGCAGAGAAAACACACCTTTTCCAATGATGCGCACTGCGTCTTCGTTTTTGAAGGACTTGAGGGTGAAGAGGGAGCGGAAGCGGTCGTGGAGGGGGACATTGCCGCTCGTGTTGAGCAACGAGGCCTCGAGAGCGTCCAGCTGGGCGTCGACAACGGCAGCGACCATTCTAGTGGTACAAGATTATGCTAATGATACAAAGGAAAAGTCAAGAGATCTGGCTTCAATCTCGTTATCTTCCCGCTCCGGGCACCGATACCCGTGGGAATAATGCGATCGCAGGGGCAAGAAATTATCTGCGTCCCCGAACAACAACTTAGCTTTACTCTCCCTATACCCCACCTGCTCCTCGCTCTGACACAGGTCGAGCGTTCAAAAGTCCCCTAGAAGGACACCGACTCTAGGCCGACACATCCCACCCAGTAGACAAGACACCGGCCTGTAAAATATCACCATGCCCAGGTCAAAACGTGCCAAGATCGGTCAGTGCACTCGTCTTACGGCACATCAAGCTCGATTGAAGCTGTAACTGATATCAGAATGCCGCAGTGTCCCTCACCAAGGTCGCTAAAAAGACCAGAGAGGACAAGTCTACGCTCATCGAGGAGGTGTGCTGTTTAGCGAGAATGCGCTATTGCATTTGCTGACTGACGCTTCTCGGTCCTCCAGGTGCAGCAAAATATCGAAAAGTGGAAGTACTGCTGGCTGTTTGAGGTCGGCGCTATGCGGAATGCATACCTCAAAACTGTGCGGAAGCTGTGGAAAGAGTGTGTTTCGCTCGTTCTTTGTGAATTCTTTCTCTCCTGATGGTTGTGCTGCGGTCAGCTCTGCACGGATATTCTTTGGCCGGGGTGCAGTGATGGCCAAAGCACTGGGCACAACCGTCGAAGAGGAACACCGCCCAGGTCTCCACAAACTCGCCAAGGTACGTTCTCATCCACATAACTGCACACCCCCGCTCACACTCACCCGCCACCCCGCTCAGCAAATAAAAGGCCAAGTCGGCCTCCTCTTCACCGACTCAGAGCCCTCGGAGGTAACCGAATGGTTCGACGACTTCCACCCGCCCGACTTTGCGCGCGCGGGCAACCTCGCGACGCGCACCGTCACGCTGCCCGCGGGGCCCGTCCTGCGCGTGCACTCGGACCCGCCCGAGCCGTTCCCGCACAACGAGGAGCCGCAGCTGCGCAAGCTCGGCCTCGGCACGGTCATGAAGCGCGGCGTGCCGACGCTCGACGCGCCCCATCGCGTGTGTGCAGAGGGAAAGCCGCTGACGGCGGAGCAGGCGCAGCTGCTCAAGTTGATTGGGGAGCGTATGGTCGAGTTTAGGGTTGTCATGCGGGCAAGGTGGGAGGCGGAGAGCGGGGAGGTGACGCAGGTTGGTTCGGGCGTGGTTGTTGAGGATGAGGAGGGTAAGAGTGGGGAGGATGAGGAGATGAGTTCATGAGATTGGGTCTGGTACTTAGAGCGGTAGGAAAGCAGCTCTACTCATGCCCACCTCGTACCAGATATGTATGCGACTCGATTATTTGTCATCTGCCGTCGCTCCGACTTTAATGTCCATTGCTAAGGCGGACGTCATCGATCGTATTGCTGCTTCCATGAATGCATGCTAGAATTTACATGAGAGTCCGATAATTTAGATACGATAAATAGTGAGATCTGGTGCAGTAGGTATTAGGAGTGTTAGTGAATAAGTTTAAGATATTCAGTCATGGCTACGACATCAACGGCATTAAATAGTTCCACCCTGCAATACCGGCACGTCTGGTTGATTCCTTGAAACTAAGGGGGTATACGTTAGATACTGTGGACATTGTCTTCAATTTCGGCGACCGAAAATATACTCAAAAATCTGGCGTGTGTTGATTACACAATTGGCGACGAGGTGAACCGTGTGCCGATACACCTGCCGACACCTCGTAATCACCACCAATGAAAGTTCCTGTAACCTCTTGCTCTGACTGTTAGTGCTCGTACTCAGCTTGTCCCTCACCATGCTTATGACATTGTCTGGGATAAGTACGGCGCCAAGTGACAAAACGCCTACCACCAAGACAGCTGATATGAATATGCTCATGCCGCACGACTGAAGCGTCCACACGAGCACGAGGACACTTATGAGCACAAATATAAAGCCCACAGACGTCGATGCGATGCACAAGATGTAGACGCGCAAGACTCGGGGGCTTTGATGCGAGGGTGCACCGATGTACCGCCTCGAGGGGTCGCGGTGAAGGCCTGCGTCTGGCGCAGTGGGCGCCGGTGGTGAGGCGGTGATGATACTCCCATTCACGGCGTTGTCGATGTGCACGCTCTGAGGTCCACTGTTTTCGATCTGGGCAGGCGGTGGCCCTTCGTGAACTCGCGTCTCGATCTCGGCCACCCTGGACCTCTTGTGTAGGGACAAAGCTGCGGCGAAGGATACAATACCTGGTTTGACAGTTGCGCTGGACATCAGTGTGTGTCTGGGAGTAGACAGGAGGGCTCGCCTGAGAATATGTGGGCTACCAGCGCCAAGAATAGGCCTCCATTTGCCACCACTGTGGGCAGACCGCCATCGGCTCCGGGAACGGTGAGGACGAGTATCCCCGTGTCAATGGCTGCGAGCGCGATTTCCTATGGAAAGCGCTATTAAGGGTGAAGTCAGGAGACAAGGATAGAACATACAGTGCCGGTGATTATCTGCAACGGCTCCTTCAAGGAGTGGGGCATATCTAGGAGGCCTGCGGACACAGTTTCGAGGGTCACGTACTTTATATACTCGTGACTATTGGCACCGGCCGTGCCTTGAGAGAGACTTCCATCTTTAAGCTGTCTTGAGTTTGTCGGTGAACGAGTTGACAATGATCATAGCGGGAAATGAGCCAGAGGTTTAGCGCTATTAGCCCCTGAGGTGGACACTCCAAACGGTGGCTGTGCTGGTGTTCTCGCTATGACGAGCAACGCTGGAGTCGTCAACTATGGCTTCCACTTTCTCGACCCACTTTGCCTCCCATCTCCTCCAGACTACAGACGTCCGCGCCTCTCCTGTAGCACGCTCACCCACAGATAAAGAGCAAACTCTCAATGCTGTCTTAGAAGACTTACAACCACCATTCACTGAGCAAGCCGTAGCACGCGCCATCGACACACTAAAACATTTCCATGAGCAGAACAGCCAAGCGCAGGTGGCGGGGGCGGGGCCGATGAACGAGCTGGAAAGTGCGCTGCATGCAAGCGTCGTGCGCAAGGTCGTGCTTGGGCTGTATATGCTCAGCCTGGACGTATACCTCCACGAAGCCGGGCTCGCGCAGGACGATGCCGAGTGGTGGGCGGACATTGCCAGATCCAGGCGTTCATCTGCACTGTATCTCCTGCAGAGTAAGCCGTCTCCTCCAAAACTCTCCAACCACTGTAGAGACTGACTTCAGCCACGACATGAACTAAAGCCCTCCCACTACGCGTCTCCCGCGCCCTCGAATCCGCACGCGAAAGCACCGCCCAAACAGCCTCTTCGCTCGCGCAGGACCCCTCGCCTTTACGCATCCCCTTCACGCTCACCCTCTTCCCGCACACCAACACCACCTCCCGCGGCTACCCCAGTGCCACTGCGCGCCACTTCCGCCCGGGGCTCAACGCCGCCGCCATCACCAGACTCGCGCGCCCCGAAGAGGCCGGGCGCCTCGTCTCGAGCGCGGGTCGCGCCCTCGCGCGCCTCCGCGCGGCGCTCGCGTCGTACGTCGTCCTGCCGATAACACTCGCGCGCGACGAGTGCGAGCTGCGGCGCCGCGAGCTCACGCGCATCCGCGACGCGCGCGCGGAGGCCCTCGGCAGGCTGCTCGCCGCGCGGCCGCACCTCGGGCGCGCGCTCGTCAGCACGCAGGACGTCGCCGGGGGCGGTGGGGCGGTGCTCGCTGTGTCGAGTGGCATCGAGCCGTGTTTGGCGCTCCTTGCGGACGCGCTCGGGGAAGATGATGTGATCATGCGCGAGGAGACGACGGGTGACGCGCTGAGCGCGCTGATTGCGCTTAGGAGCCGGGTGTTTGATAGGCGCGGTGGGCAGGACGGTATGACGCTGTATGAGAACAGGCCGTCTCGGCTCACGCTGCTGTGGCCGCGCCTTGTGCTTGTGCCGCCGCTCGCGCTCATGGCGGCGCGCTATGCGTGGGCGTCGCGCGGCTCGTTGCGGGAGTTCGCCGGCGACGCCGCTGAGACGGCGGGGAACTTTTACAGGGACTGGCTCGTCGAGCCGGTTCGTGGAGTGTTGCATACGATTAGGGCGGGCAGCGAGGGAGGGATTATCGTTACCAAGGAGGCTGTCGATGCAGATTTAGCTGTGAGGATCACCTTTGCTGCTTTCAAAGAAATTATATCTAATGCCTCCTTAGTCTTTGGAGCGCATGTCGCTGTCTCTTGCCCAGGAGAAGCTGAAATACACCAGCGAGCAGCTCGACGAGCTCTCCCGCCAGATACGCACGGGCGACCTCACCACCGTGCTGAGACTGTACGAAGAAGACATCAAAACGCCCCTCCGGTCCGCCGTCGGCGGCTCGCTCATCCGCTCTGTCCTCGTGCAGGTCCAAAAAGCCAAGGTCTGTCTATCCCTTGCTTACACAAAACACCCGACCCGACTCAACTAAAAAAATATATCAAATCCCACCAGGTCGACATCGACCAGGCGCTCAAGGGCATCGACAAACTCCTCAAGTCGCAGGAGCTCACGTTCGCGTTCGTCGGCGTCGCACCCGCGTTCGCGATCGTCTACGTTACCGGCGGCTTCCTCACGAACTTCTTCCTCAGCCCCGGGAAGCGCGCCGTCGGCGGCAAGCGCCGGCGCATGGGCGTGTGGCTTGCCATGCGCCGCGTTGAGCGGCTGCTCATCGTATCGCCCAGGTCGCTCCCTACCGACGTTGCCCCGTCGCTGTCGCCGTCGCCGTCGCCCGCTGCTGCAACGACGACAGGTTCAACGCAACAACAACACTTGCAGGACGGGGGAGACGCGATTCCGCCGCTGACGGCAGGCCTGCTGCTGCTCTCGGTGACGCACCTGCGGCAGTTCGCGGAGCGCAGCCTGCCGGGGCGGTCGGCGCTGCGCGAGGGCTTCCTCGAGGATGTGCGGGACCTGGAGGACCCGGGGCTCGGGCGGGCGGAGAAGCTGCGTGTTGTGGACCGCATGTGGAAGAGCTGGGGCGAGACGCTCGGGTGGACGCGGCAGGCGCGGGTGTGAGGCTGGGTGAGGTAGTTCAGGGGACGATGATATATAATATAGCACTTGGACCACTAATTGATCAACTTGGGATTTCGAGCAGATCGCATGTGAGCGTAAGCGGGAAAGGACTCGTGTATCGCAGCAGTGAGAGGGTATGTAGATTAAGCAAGATGGGTCATCATCTATATAATGGGCATATGTTTCCGTGATTAGATTGGTATAACTTGGGTTAGATTCGTGTGGGGATCGTAAACTCCGTTTAGTGAGTGAGACGGTGATGATCCAATATTCACGATCGTAGGCTCATCACCAAAGGTATCAGGATCTGGCGGGCGGGGCTTATCGCGGGCGGGAGCATGTGTGCGCCAGCCAGGCCCCGCTTGTGCCACGCGTCCACTGTACAAAGGTCAGGAATCTCTCCTGACAAACAAACACGGCAAAGAGACTCACCTAGCGGCTGGCCGAGTACAACAACGCAGAAATACAACCACACCATCCCCCAGCGCCCGCCGACCCTGCGGCCCGTCACGCGCCTCCACACGCGCTCGGCGATGAGCAGCGGCGCCTGCAGCGCAAAGAACACGGGCACGCGCCAGTCGAAGCCAAGGCCCATGCCGTACGCCGCGCACTCGTGGTAGAGCCCGCTGCCGACGAACGTGCCGAGGACGAGCCCGAGCGTTCCGCCGGCGACGCGGCCCGCGTACCCGCCGAAGACGAAGAAGACCTCGCGCAGGACCTGGTGCCAGCGGCGCGCCCAGAAGACGTGCAGCGAGTCGCTCGCGAAGGGCGCGTCCATGATGGGCGGCCACGATGCGGGCGCGTCGCGCAGGACGCCGACGGCGAGGAGGGTGAGCAGGGCGTAGACCATTTCGAAGCCGGCGTATAGGGCACAGCCGGTGGCGAAGTGCAGGGATGTGCTAACGAGGTAGCGCTGTGGGAGGCGGAGGGAGGGGAAGAAGATGGTGCTGCCGTAGGGGGAGCCGACGCCGGGGACGAGTTTGAGGAGGGACTCGATGAGGTCGAGGGCGAGGAAGCCGAGGAGGAGGCGTTTGAGGGTGGCGAGGAGGAAGAGTCCGCGCGAGAGCGGGCGGGTGTCGTGGGGGATGTAGACGCCCTTGCCGTATCTCCAGCCGATGCCGCGCATGGAGAAGACAAGGGCGAGGGCGTCGTGGAGTTTGGCCCAGAAGCCGGGGAATTCGTCGGGGCGGTGGCCGTTGGCGGTGCCGTTGGCGGGTTTGGAATCGGAGAGAGGCTTGCCGTCCGGGGTGGTGGATTTCTTGACGTCGGGCGCTATCTCGTCATCACGGAGCATGCCCTCGTTGTGGAACGCGTACGAGGAGGCTTTGGCACATATAGCTTCTGCTAGCAAGCCTACAAGTGCGAGAGTTCATCGATTCCCTATCCTTTGTAGAAGGAGTCCGCTCACCTTGGCACCAGTTGTACACATTGAAACGGGGGTCCTCCCATACAAAGTGGGATGCAGTGCCAATGGCTGCTGCAAAGACTATAGGCAAAAGCAGCAGGCGGAGCAGGTGGGTATCTGGGCGGCGAGCGAGATAGGCGAGGGTGATGAAGGGTATGACGGGGACGAGAATATAAGGGACATGGTTCTTGTTGACGGGTATGCGTTCGTGCGGGTATGGGACCAGAGTGCGAAACGCGTCATTTGCCCTGTCGATGAACCAGTCAACCACTGACACAGGTTTATTAGAAATGAAAACTCACCAACTAGTGACTATGTCTTGAGCCTGCATAATAATTCAGAGTCTAGGATATCGAAGAAAGCCAAGGGAGGTGGAGGACTCGGAGCCTGCGGAGAACGCATTGGGGCAAGTCCACGTTGAGGACAGCGTCATCAAATAACACACGGCAGATGACAGAGTCCGTCTTCGTCATCCTCCCCCACCACCGCTTCCGATGCACACTAACCTATCTACGGCATAGTCTACTTCCTAGCACTAGCATTTCCTTCGTGTACTCATCGGCCGATGGTATTGCAGAATATCGTTTTCAACGAGATTTCATCCATGTACTGTTTACAGCGCCAAAGCGCACGGGTCGCGCATCCCGTCACTACATCAATGCAAGAGGCTGACTGTCGTATGAGATAATAACGTCGTGATAGAGATAGTCCAAACCTCGAATTCAGCTGGCAAATGGCCCACAGTCACTAAAATTCCATCAAGCAAGAAATACAGATAAGCAGCACGTCTCGGCGTACCCATCAATATACTACAAACACCATCCACGCCTTCAATCCTCTCGCCACGCCACATCCCCTGCCGTCCATCGCTCTACCCACATCGCGCGCTTGTGGTACAGCTTCCGCATCTCCTTGAACTCCCGCACAAAATCATCGACGTCCTTGCCGCCCTCGGTGCGCGCTGCCTGGACAAAGGCGGATGCAGCTGCTTCTGAAGCGTCGTCCTGGGCCGTCGCTGCGTGCCGCAGTCTGAGCAGAAGAAATTGGGGGCTGAAGCGCTATTTCGTGGCGTGAAGCATCGCGATATCAAAGAAGCAGGGATCGAAGCATCGTGTAAGAGTGTTAGACAGGATGAGATGAGGACAGCAGCGGACCTGGTACAGCTCCTTCTGCTCGCGATCGATCTCTTTCCAGCGCGCCTCGAGCGTCTTGGCCTCGTCGAACGCGGCCTTGGTGTCCTCTCTGAGCGCGTACAGTGAATCCTGCAGATTCAAGTTGGTCTCTGTAGGCCAACGTCGATCGAAATGAGCATATCCCGACGAGTGATTATCCGTACGTACGCGCTATCGATTCGTTGGCGAGCCCCAGCTCGCCCTGGCTCTCGTAGAGCGATTGGACGCGGCCAAGCGAGTGGAAGACGGCCTGGAAGTAGGCGGGGTCACGGAGCAGGTCCTCTAGATCTTCGCGCCTGCCCAAGATCTGGCGGTGAGCATTAATATGATGCAATAGCTGAGCCCTAGGGAGGATATTCACGAGAGGTGCGCGAGCTCGGGGTACTCCGTTGTCAGAGGGGTCACTGGCTGCGTTTGGGAAGACGGCCCCGGTGTTGATGATAATGTCGAGGCCATTGGACAGCAAGATAGGTGAAAGCGTTACAGAATCCAGCCCTAGATGAAGGAGAGCGCGAGATGAAGGCAGGAGTCGAGAATGACGCACCCGCGCTTCAGTTCCATATCCGTCTCCGCCTCCTTTCTTCAGCCCGCCCACCACGATCATGGCCACCGCCATCCTGCCCGGCGAACTCGTCCCCGCCCAGCACGTCAACCTCAAGCTCGGCCCCGGCCTCCTCCAAGCATCCACAACCGAGAGCCCGATCCTCGCCACCCGCGCGGGGGCGCTGCACCACTCCCCGAACGGCGCCCGCTGGTGGGTCGAGAGCAATGCCCGGCGGGTGCGTCCCCTCCCCTTTTCTCTCCGGCTCTCGTATTGACGAGCAGACTCAATGATGGGCTAGTAGTATGTGCCGGCGGCGCAGGAGTCCGTCATCGGCGTGGTCACCGCGCGCGGCGGCGAGGCGTTCCGCGTCGACATCGGCTCCGCGCACCACGCCAACCTCGACGGGCTCGCGTTCGAGGGCGCGACGAAGCGCAACCGGCCGAATCTCAAGGTGTGCTCCCCTTCCCCATGTCTACCCTTTACTGTAAACTGTAATGAACGCTCGTTGTACCGGCACTAGGTCGGCACGCTCGTGTACGCGCGCGTCTCGCTCGCGCACAAGGACATGGAGCCCGAGCTCGAGTGCTTCGACGCGCAGACGCACAAGTCCGACGGCTTTGGCGAGCTCAAGGGCGGTCTCGCCGTCACCTGCAGTCTGAAGATGTGCCGCATGTACGTCGCACCTCCCTGCGCCTCTGCCTGATCTCGCGCGCAGCTCTCTGATACTACCACCGCGGAACGACAGGCTCCTCGACCCGTCTCATTTCCTCCTCCCTTTCCTCGGTGCTCGCTTTCCGCTCGACGCTGCGGTCGGTGTGAACGGGCGTGTGTGGATAAGCACGAAAGACGCCCAGACAACGATCGTGGCGACACGTCTGATCGAAGCCGTCGATCCTGACGGCGGAGGCATGGACGAAGCGGCTGCGAAGATTTTCTTCCACAAGATCAACAGCTAGTCTACTGGTGGATTTCTGAGTTGAGCATCGCTTGGGACGGCGAGGGAGAAGTTTCAAGGAAGAGTGTCTGCAATTAAAGTACAACTATCAATGTAGTCCTCTATATATGCGGGTAATTAGTCGACATTGTACCAAAAAGAACATGCTCCATACAAAGTTAGGGTCACACCACTCGTCCCATCCCAATCAATCATCCTCCATCCTCGCCCGCTTGGCCGGCTTGCGCCCCGTGCCGACAGACTCCTCGTCGCTGATCTCGGTCGTGCTCCGTCTGAGAGCGGCGCTGGCGCGTTTTCGCCGCTGGTATTCGCGGTCCCGATTCTTCTTGTGCTGAGCTGCTGAAAGCTCGGGGTTACGTGGTGCGGGGGGCAAGATGACTGTGGGGGGACCGCCGCTTGCCGCGGGCGTACCTCGGCCGGGTGCTTCGTCTCCCGCAGCGGACTCGTCTCCTTCGCCTAACAGATCGAGAGACTGGTTTCACCACCAGCGTATAGGGGTGTCATTGGTTGTGTGTGGTTTTGCCAGACAGGTTGCGGACGGTCTGGTGTTAGTTACAAGCCCGGTATATCTGGGTGTGTACGTGGGGTGCACCTTCTGGTATGTTGTGCTCGAGGATGAGAAGACGCGGTCCGCATCTGTGAGCTCGTATTTCTTCCTGGCAGCGGCTGTCTGGTTCTTGAGGTAGCCGTCGAAGCCGTGCACGACGTTGCCGCCGTTGTGCGCGTTCGTCTCGGTCAGGTACGCGCCTTCGAGAGAGTAGATTTGGACCTCGAGTTGCGCCTGGGTGCAAGGTGAGAGAACATGGGGGATAAAGGTGGAGGGTGGCGTACGAGTTGCTTGTCCGCCGCGCGCTTCTGGGCAAGCATCTTGACGAGCTCCTCCTTGACCTTGTCATAGCGCGACTTTTCCTCTGGCGTTGGCTGAGTATCTTGCCGCGACATGTTATGCGATCAGTGAGCGAAGGATATTGAGTCCCCCCAGCCCTCCCCCAAGGATATTCGAGTCCTAGTACAATTAGCCCTGAGGAGGTTAGGAGCACAGTCCCAGACGCGGTCTGACTTTGGCGCGCGTGGTGGGCAGAGAAACTCCCACGTGTTCGGATATGGCAATCGCGCCCAGCATTACGCGTCTCCTCGTCGCCTTACTCAGTCCACCTTCGCCCCAGTCCTCACTTTCCCTTTCCTCCTCTGCCAACCATGTCATCTACCCAGCCACCGTCAGGACCTCCAGACAACAACGAGAAGAAGCCAGAGGAGACTTCTCAGCCCTCAAATGCCCCGGCGGCCCCCGCAGAGGCGATGGACACCACCCCAGACCAGCCTGCGGAGGAAACATGGGCAGACATCCCGGAGGACATCATGGCCCTCCCTACGGATGAGATCTCGACCCGCGCACGGCTCATTGACAATGACATCAAGGTGCGCTTCGTCTCGCACTGTCAAAGCAAGGGTAGAATGCTGATGGGACTTCTGACGCGCGTAGGTTATGAAGTCGGAGACGCTCCGTCTCCAGCACGAACAGAGCACGATGAAGGAGAAGATTAGAGATAACGGCGAGAAGATCAAGCAGAACAAGGTTCTGCCCTACCTCGTCGGCAACGTCGTCGAGGTTCGTATCTGCTCCCTTACGTTGCCTCTCATACTTTACGGAGGTATTACGGCCCGATGAGGATCCACTAACGCATACATCTTGCTGCATACAGATACTCGACATGGATCCCGACGCGGAGGAGGACGGCGCGAACCAGGACGCCGAGTCCATGCGCCGTGGCAAATGCGCCGTCGTCAAGACCTCGACCCGCCAGACCGTCTTCCTGCCCATGATCGGGCTCGTCCCCCCCGAGAAGCTCAAGCCGTCCGACCTCGTCGGCGTCAACAAGGACTCGTACCTCATCCTCGACCAGCTCCCCACCGAGTACGATAACCGCGTCAAGGCGATGGAGGTCGACGAGCGCCCGACGGAGACGTACACGGACATTGGCGGCCTCGAGAAGCAGATCGAGGAGCTGGTGGAGGCTATTGTGTTGCCCATGGAGCAGGCGGACAAGTTCAAGACGCTCGGGATCAAGCCTCCGAAGGGGTGTTTGATGTATGGCCCGCCCGGTAAGTGGTTTGTCCCGACTTTTTATTTCGAACCCTCGGCCGATGCGGTTCCGCCGTAGGTACGGGAAAGACCCTGCTCGCTCGTGCATGTGCCGCACAGACGAAAGCGTGCTATCTGAAACTCGCCGGCCCGTCGCTGGTGCAGATGTACATCGGTGACGGTGCTAAACTCGTCCGAGATGCGTTCGACCTGGCCAAGGAAAAGGCTCCTGCCATCATCTTCATCGATGAATTGGACGCCGTCGGAACGAAGCGGTTCGATTCAGAAAAGAGCGGTGACCGTGAGGTCCAGCGGACGATGTTGGAGCTCCTCAATCAGCTCGATGGATTCAGCAGCGACTCACGAATTAAGGTTAGTAGCCCCGGTCCTCATGCAAACCTATGCAAACTCTAACGGACATGGCTTCTTCTCTCTGTGTGTTATAAAACCTCCAATAGGTCATTGCGGCAACGAACCGAATCGACATTCTGGATCCTGCCTTGCTTCGTTCGGGACGGCTGGACCGCAAGATCGAGTTCCCATTGCCGAACGAGACGGCCCGGGCACGTATTCTGCAGATCCACTCGCGCAAGATGACGGTGGCGACCGACGTGAACTTTGAGGAGCTCGCGCGGAGTACGGATGAGTTTAACGGTGCTCAGCTGAAAGCGACGTGTGTCGAGGCTGGTATGATTGCACTTCGGGAGGGCGCAACGAGGCTCTCGCACGAGCATTTCCTGAGTGGGATAGCAGAAGGTGCGTGTTCTCAGTGGCGTTCTTCTTACGCTTTTACGTACTTCTTTCCTCGGCCGCGATGCTAATGATGGATTCCTTACACAGTGCAAAGCAAGAAGAAGAACGATCTTATGTATTTCGCATGATCACCTCATGATCATGTTTTTCTGTGTTTTCTCTTGAGATCCTCGACGCGTACTAGACCGGACTAATTTCCATGTCACTCTGTCACTCAATAATCTGCGCAAGCATTTGTAACCCTATGGTCTGGAAGGTACTGGAATGATTCCATGCACATTGCATTGTGGTGAGTTAAGCTTCATGGAGCCGTCCGGGCTCGCGATGCCGCTATCGCCTGCCGCCCAGTGGATTTGGTCGCAATCTGTGAATCTTGTGAGTGCTCTTGTCAGCTGATCGACGGCAGAAGCGGTCGCGGTGATTAGGGCCAGTCTGGAAGCGCTCTGGCTGTGTGCCGGTCGGCCAACAATAGCGCCTGGGTTTCTGCTTCCTGGATCCTGCCTGGTGAAGGCCTCGCTCTCCGGCACTGGCCGAGCGAAGCCGTCCTGTTGGAGTTGTCCTCGCAAGGATGGTTGTCTCTATAAGAGCCTTTCCTGGCCCGTCGGCCTGTCTTTTGGACGAGAAGACGAGAAAGCGTCCGTGGATTGCGTTCCTCGTTGGAGCGGAGTCATGAAAACTTACTAAAATGCTCGCGATACCGAATTCGAGGAACCGAATGAGACCTGCAACCCGGAAGCCGATTGTGTCACGGCCGAAGCTATACGTCCGCTCTGCATTCTTATAAGTAAGGCCACTTACCCTCATCCCTGCAGTTTCACTCCACCCACCCAAATCCATTCTCCCCTTCCCCTTCTTCCTACCGCTCACCCTCCACGACCGACCCTAGGGTCCACGACCGTTTAAATACCCCAGCACGATCCCCATGCCCGAACGACCTCGCACGATGCTGTTTCTCTCCTACATCCTTTCCTCCGTCTTCGCCCTTCTCGCCCTCACGCTCGGCGGCAGCAGTGTCCGCGCCGAGGCGCAGGCGGGCACGATCTCGTCGCCGTCCAACGGCACGTCCATCATGCCCAGCACCCCGTTCAACTTCACGTACAACACACGCGCCGACTACGGCACGTCGTCGTACAATTTCACCGTCTGGCTCTGGTCCTCCGCCACGCCGTCCTCGTCCGGCCAGGACTTTGCGACGGGGTACTACTTTGGACGGTATGCTGAGGAGAATTACCCTGGTGAGTGTGTGCTCGCATATCTTCAGCCCGTTCTTTTGTGCTCGTTTGGAAAAAGTTATCTATACGGTTGCACATACCCGCGAACACGAGGCGTGGAGAGGGTTTTGGGTTTTGAGATATTATCTGAAATGAAGTTGATGTGGATGCTAATGACATCATCTCTTTTGACAGGCAACCCCCGACCCCGCCAACCCGGTGCCCCCGCAGCTGTGGATGCCCGACCTCGCCCAGATCCTCGGCGGGTTTGGCACTGGCTCGACGGCGAGCGATGTGCCCATGTACCTCGTTGTCATTGAAGAGTGGGGTACTGGTCAGGTAAGAGCGAAGTGTTATTCTGTATTGTTAAATGATGGTTGACTGGTGTGCTATCTCGTAGGGCTCCCTCGGTACACGGTTCTCCCAGACGTCCACTCAGATCGTTTACAACGGCACTTCGGCCACCTAATCTGCCAGCACTCAGGACATTTTCATAAGATAACAAAAATACGGACTTCGTTAGAGTGCGCGATCCTCGCGACGGACGCTCCCCGCTTTGTTGTTTCCTCTCGTCTTCGCTTTTACCTGGACAGTGTATGTAGATATCGGACGGACAATGTTCTTTGCCTTGCTTTACCCCTACTCATACAGTTTCCATACTACCCTGCTCTCCCTTGCTTCGACTTCGCTTAATTCCCTCTCCTCCCATTTCGCTCGTCTCCGACCAGCTCTTTGTTTCGCTTGCTATGTCAGACTGTTTGGACTGTTTACCGTGATAGACACTGCGCTATTAGACGCCCCGCCACTTTCCCACTATGTGTGCTCGAGTTTCAGTTTGATAGACACTTTGACGTCGCTTGACGATTAGTCGCCTTTACTTTTGTGATGTGCTTTTGACGAAGTTTTGAGCGTGGGTTTGCTTTCGAGGAAGTCATGAAATATAACACACGATACTTGGAAAACAAAATTCGCAGTGGTCGTCGATATTGCGATTTCAGCTGCTTCTCTTCCGGCCGCTTGTGGGTTGTCTGCGAGCCTCAAAAAGCAGCGATTGAGGGAGTGTGTAGTTGCTGATAGGCACTTACCCGTACGGAGGAAATATTCCTTCCGTGAAGAAGTCGGCCATTCCGTTCGTGTCACAGTAGACGCAGTGTAAGGTTGATGGTTGAGACCAAGAGCGAACGTTCGGAACGCGTTGGTAACGCGTCAGTCAATTAACGAGCACGCGTCGCGACCGAAAAGTTCATGCGTCCCCACGTACTGGATTCCCAATCCAATCCCAAACCCCACTTATTCTGGTCTCTCCTTCTTCTCTTTCCCCCTCTTCCCTTTCTCGCTGGACCCCGTCTTCAAACAAGATGATGTTCCTCCAGATGCTGCGCCAGTCCTACCCGCCCAAGCCCAAGTTCAAGGTCGAGGACATCCCTGACCTCGCTGGCCAGGTGCACGTCGTGACCGGCGCCAACACAGGCGTGGGTAAGGAGATCGCAAAGGTGCGCTTAACGGTACGCTTAGTACTGGTTTCATTCGTGCTGACCCTGGCTGTCGCGTCCGTGCCGCACTCGTTCGTAATACCAGGCTCTCCTGAGCAAGAACGCGAAGGTGTATATCGCGTCTCGTGACCGCGCCAAGTCCGAGGCCGCGATCGAGGAGCTGAAGCAGGCGACAGGCAAGGAGGCGTTCTTCATCCAGCTCAACCTGTCGAAGCTTTCCGACATTAAGGCTGCCGCGGAGGAGTTCTCCAGGTGAGGGTGGATTTCTCGGTAGCGTTGCTCATAACTAATGTGGCATAGCAAGGAGAGCCAGCTGCATGTGTTGTACAACAATGCTGGTCTCATGTTTCCCCCTATTTCTCAGCTCACAGAAGACGGATATGACCTGCAGTGGGGAACCAATGTGCTCGGTACGAACCCTCTTCTGCCGCCCGCGACCGTTCTTGGGGTGGCTGACGGTTCCATTGTTCCCGCAGGCACCTACTACTTCACAAAGCTGCTGCTCCCGACGATGCTCGAGACCGCGAAGACGGCGCCGGATGGCAAGGTCCGCGTCGTGACGACGGCCTCGGTCGTGCACTACATGGTTAATGGCCTCAACTACAATACGTTCAAGGACGGCCCTGCCCGCAAGAAGATGGGCACGCAGAAGCTTTACTACCAAAGCAAACACGTACGCGCAGTGTCTTACGACAGCGTATTGCAGTCTGAGCACTGATACACTGCAGGGTGATGTGATGCTCGCCAATGAGCTCGCGAGACGCTACGGCGACCAAGGTCTCGTGTCGACCTCGGTGAATCCAGGTCGGTGAAACTGAATGTCGTTCATGCTATCGAATCTCGACGGTTTGACCGTTTGCCTGCAGGAAACCTCAACACCGAACTTGCACGCCACTTGACTAGCTTCCGGCAGTGGTTCCTCGTACGTGTTGTCACCCCTTCATCAACTGCGAACCGCTTTACTGAGAGGTGCCTGTGATTGCAGAGGACATTCATCTCGTACCCCGCGCCGATGGGAGCGCTGACGTCGCTCTACTGCGGCACGTCGCCGGAAGGCAATCAGTGGAACGGCCGGGTACGCGCAATCTCTTATTGGGTCGACATTCCACATTGGCTTTGGCTGACGTTCTGCGCGCTAGTTCTTCGCCCCGTGGGCCAGGGCCGACCAGGCGCATCCCGCGACGGACGATGCGAAGGCGGGCCAGGAGCTGTGGAGCTGGCTCGAAGAGCAGGTCAAGGATGTTTGATGTGGTATCGCCGCGGTTGCGTTCGGAGATATACCCTTGTCGGTTTTGTGGATCTGTGATTTAGAATTTTTATTGCTTAATGTTATCCGACACAGTGTTTGTATGGTCTCACTGTACCCTGAATTATAATATTATTCACTGGATTGAACGACGAAAGCAGTCCCTCGCATTTCTTACAGACAATATGCGTTGCTCTGTTCGCTAGCTGTGGCTCATTGCAGGAACCTGACATTGCCACCTACAACCACGTTCATACAAATGTCCGTTGATGCTCATTTGAAGGCATGATTTTTGGTTTCGTAGACGGAGTGCACTGCCCATTTACATTGATAACATGCCCATTGCGTGGTGGGTGAAATTCCAATTCCTCGGCCCCGGGACCCTTGTGTAAATATTCAACAGGCTACGTTATACATGATCATGTTTATCCTTTATTTGAAAAAGGTTAAGATGGTATGGATGGCATGTACGCAAAAATCTTTCGTGCGCTCTCGTTGATTCCCTGCGACCCAAGCCAGGATCCGCCGTATAGTGAGGGTCTTGCCGTGCAGACGGACCTCAGTTCTTTCCGACATGTAAATTCCGCCGGGATAGCAAAGTAGGGCAAAGTGCGCGGCACAACCTCTGATTCAGCCGCGAGGGGAGAACCTGACCACAGTATACTGCTTAGGTAACATAGCGCTGGTCATTGCAGAGATGGTTCTACATACAGACATTTGACAGATATGATCATTCTCGTTTGAGAGTGCTGAAAGGATTCGCCAGAATTGTCAAGTCCACTATCACCGACACCTGTAGCGAACGCTGTCAGCGCCATGCCCAGGACGATCAGATGTTCGATAACGTTCCCGGGAGCGAGCGAGGAAGGTCTGGCGAGCATGAGAAACCAATGAGAAAAACGTAGAGATGCATGAGTGTGATCGGGATTCATGGTACATATGAGAGCAATATCTTGGGCTGAGAGAATGATTTACCCATAATGAATGATGATCAGGTCCGTACTTGATGTGCGTTTGCGAGATCATCTTGGCGACACCCGTTCCTTCCTGGCGGTTTATGCGATGCAAGAAGAGCAATCAAGGCAAGCGGCGGCAGTGCGGCGGCCCAATTGGTGCCAGAGATGGCACAGCTAGTCGCCTGGCTACGATGAGAACGTGCTGGCCACATGGAGCTCCCCAGATTGCAGATCATTGTTCTTGATTGGTGCTTCCAATTATGTGGGTCTCGTAAAAGATGGTGATAGCCACGGACATTGTCGTGGAGTCGACACATTTTGGATTTTCACCACCATGCGAGTCCAGCTGTCGGTGGCACTGCCGCAACGAAAACCTCGAGACAATATTAAGCCGAGAACGGCTTTAGATGCTTGGTCTAGCGCTGCAGGAGTACGCACAAGATTGCAGGAAGCGGCGAGGGCGATAGGTCCGAGGCTAAGTGGCGTAACTGAGACACTTTCCCGGGGGTTTCGGCCTTTGTGCTATAGAATTTCTTTGAAGGCGTTCGATAGCAAATATTAATTGGGTGGATGAGCTAGAGAAGATATCTATTTTTGATCGCGCGGATGAGAGAACTTGTCCACTACGTTCTGTTTGATTGTCTCGACTGTTGAAGAAAGAGCCGGAGCGCCGGAGGACTATTTTCCACCGTTGCTGAGGTGATGCGGGGGTAAGCGCGCCACATGTCCCATGTAGAATTTGGTGGACAAAGATGACGGCCCGGGCATTCGATATTCGAGCTTCAAATTGGATATGACAGACGAGGCACTAACGACGTTGGAATGTAGCATGACGTCAAGTGAGGCTTGTGGTTTGAGGGCGGTTGGGTATTGGTACAGCCTGCGGAGGATTTTTTCTGACAAGGGAAGAACAAGTAATGGAAGGTGTGTGATGGGGGTGTGAGAGTGGGTCGGAGTGGGAGTGATCGGGCGACGCGTCTTAGTCTGCGAGCGGACGTAATGGGATGCAATGATTGAGCGCGTTGTTGTGCTGTGTTTGTGCGTCGTTCAGAGCTTATGTCTCCGCCGGCCTCGAGAACCCAGGGAAGCCAGGACAGACAGTGACGCTCACTGTTCTCCAGACGCCCACTTCCCCTCATTGTCCCCGTTTCCAGACATTCCGCGTCCCTCTATCCTCGATCTTCCCTTCGCTTCCCCTTTTGTTCGGCTCGCTCAAACACTAGTACTTCTACCTCTCGCACTGTCTTTTTCTCGCACTGTCAATCATCTCTGCGCGTCTGTTTCATCGCAACACTCTACTATCATATTCTCCTTCAATTGACTCTACTATTCTTTCCCTGTTGTATGTGCAGCATAACCCTAGGTGCGTCGCTTTCCAACCCCCTGCGCTTATTGCCATCTCAACATTTATGTTGCGTTCGCTCCACATGGGGTTACCGTTACTCATCTTTTCCCGCTCTGTCTTTCTTACAGCCTAAAGCTCGCCCTATCACACGACGGCCATGACCGGTCTGCACATCAATACGAATCTCCCTCGAGAGGGCCGCTCTCGCAAGCACAAGTCGCGCTCACATCCACGTAGCAGATCTACTGCCTCCACATCATCTTCCCTATCTCTCGACTCCCCAATACCTTCTTCTTCGGCTGCCGCATCCTCTTCCTCACTCAATCTCCCCGACCCCGATCCTCAGCTTCAGGATAGCCGCAGATGTCCTAGTTCGGCTGCCGTGTCCACTTCCATCTCCCCCATTGGCGACCAGACACGAGGCGGGCCAGAGTTTGTGCTGGCCCTCCATGACTTTGACGCTCAGAGTCACAATGCTACCTGCTTGACATTTCGCGCAGGACAGGTCATCCGCGTCCTGAACCGGGATCCTAGCGGTTGGTGGGACGGCGAACTGCATGGTCAGAGAGGATGGTTTCCAAGCAATTATGTGACCTCTGACAAAGGTGTCGTTTCACTCACGGAGGAAGAGTTGCCCTCCATCTCAGTAAGTCCCTTTTCGCATGCCTGCTGGTGGGTTCCTGACCCGTGGAACAGCATACCAGACCAAAGCACTCACATACCATGTCGGCTATCTCGGCCACCTCATGGTCCACTAGTGCGCACTCGTCCACTACACACACGAAATCGCCGTCATCCAGAAGTGGCCATCGACCATTCGCCATGGAGACTGTGGACCCTGAAACTACCACGTATTGCCCACCGATCATGGTGAACTTGCTTCACAGCCTGACGCTTCTGCAAAGTGCTGTGCGGTCGAACCGAGTGGCACACTTCCAGCCCTCAACAGCATGCATCATATCATGTATCCGGTTCATCCTCTCCTCCACCGAGTGTCTTCCTCGAGATACCCCTGTTCTCAAGCGAAACCCTCGTCTGGCGCAGGAACGCAAGAAGATTCTGTCTGACCTGGCATCCCTCGTTTCACAGTCCAAAAATGCTTCCGCAGAGCCTCATGATGAGGATCTACACACGGAAGAGGTGGATATGATGCTCAAGTTAGGTGGTCAAGTCTTTGCGCAGGTTCGCCGCTTCCTAGCAGTCGCCGTCGATTGTGGGATCGATATCCCTACTGCGCCGCTCACATCTTCGAATGGCGCTTCTCCATTATCCGGGAGTCCTATCAACCCCTCACCTTCTTCTAAGGAACACCGTAGCCGCCATAACTCCCACTTCGTTACTCCGCAAAGACCTCGAGCATCCACAACGATTGCTCCCTCCGCTTCTCGGACCAAGAGCCTGACTGACCTTCGCAGTCATCGTGGCGCCAATGCCCCCCAGCGAGATTCGGGTTCATCCATCGCGCCTTTGCTTCCGCATCGGACTGTCATGGCACATTCCAAGAACGAGCAATACAAGTCGTACGAGCGCATGCCGAAGCGGCAACATGTACAGAATAACATGTCCATCAGCAGCATATCCTCAACTTCATCGTTCTCTTCCGCCGATTCGTCGTCTAAAGCTGTCGTTGCAACACGTTTTCCAAGTGGCCCATGTACAGCCGCCGACGTGGTCGAAGCGTTGCGGTATACCCACGATCAGTATCTTTCCACAATCGCTGCGTTCATCGGACACGTCCACTCCCACTCTCGTTCTGCGCATGCATCAAGCACCGGTCACATGTATGATCTCGTTCGAGAGATTGTTGAATTGGCCTGCAAGATGCTCACGATCGTGGAGGCCGTCATGCGACACGCTGACATACCTGCAAAACGGGTGGAAGAGTTGCGCATCGCGAAGGAGGAGCTGTACAACCTCACAAGCTCGCTCGCGGAATCGGTCCGGTTACTCACGGCGCCTTTACACCCCGATATCACGGAGGAGGCAGAGAAGGGAGCACTGCTCCGGTCCGCCACGGGCGCGTTGAAGGCCGGCGCTGACTGTGTCTCTACAATTAAGCATAGCTTGAATCGGGCGGACAGCAGTAAGCAGTTCGTCATACGGATTCCGTCGTCGGCCGACTCCGAAGCCAGCGCATACGATCCCGATCCTGCGGAGTTCGTGCGTAAGTCGACTGCTATCAGGAGCGTTTCGTCTAAAGCGTCATTATCGCTGTCCGTGGGTCGGACGGAGGAGGGAGAAGACGCCACCGTCCAGCCCAGGGGCCTTGCAGATTCGCAGTCCACGGTGACTACCAGCGCCTCGCTCAATCGCTCGGACAGGTCAAGTAGCTCAACGTCGGTGGAATCTGCTGATACCGCTGCTACGTCACCCTTTGAGGCCAGTCAGTCATGGCCACTGGAGGACGTTAAGGACGCTGTACAGGCAAAGCGGGTGGATGAGCTTGCTCTGGAATCACCTGATAACGAGGACGATCGTGCCTTTGAGCATAGTTTGGTTGAAGGAAGCGTTCCTCTGTCTGATGTTCCCCCGGTCTCGGATACTACCTACAACAGCGAAGGACATCTTGTCGCTGCGACTATGGATGCGCTTGTGGAGAGGATGACACCAGCAGACAGCCTAGTGGACCCGGCCTTCTCTGCGGTCTTCTACATGACTTTCCGTCTGTTCACTACTCCTCTCGGACTCGTCGATGCGCTCATCGACCGATACAACATAATGCCCCCTCCGAGCCTGCACGGCGACGCCCTCAAGAATTGGCGCGACACGACGGGCGTGCCCGTCCGGCTGCGCGTCTCGAACCTCGTCAAGACCTGGCTCGAGAGCTACTGGCGCGCGAGTGTCGACGACGAGGCGCTCCCGCAGCTCGAGGACTTTGCGCGGAACGCGCTCGCCAAGGTCTTCCGCGGCGGACACTCGCAGCGGATCCTGGACCTGCTGCAGATGCGGCGGAGCAACATCACGAGCATCGTGAGCCCGAAGACGGAGCGGATCCGGGACCCGGGGATGGCGCTGAATCCGCCCGCGTTCCTGCCGTCGGAGGTGCCGCGGCCGATGATGACCAAGGCGCTGCTCGCGAACCTGCGGGCGGGCCACTTTGAGGCGGTGGCGATCACGGAGTTTGACCCGCTCGAGCTGGCGCGGCAGTTGTCGATTATGGAGTGTGAGCTGTACTGCGCGATTCAGCCCGAGGAGGTGCTCGAGACGGGCCAGGAGAGCGTGCAGGCGCCGAATGTGAAGGCGCTGTCATCGCTGAGCACGGGTATTACGGGGTGGGTGGCGGAGAATATTCTGGACGAGCATGATATGAAGAAGCGGACGATGCTTGTGAAGTTCTTTATCAAGGTCGCGAACGTGAGTTCTCTTTTTTTGTTGCTGGACAATTTTCTGTTTGTGCTGACGGGATGGTATGCGATTGCCAGCGATGTTCGGAGTTGGCGAATTTCAGCACTTCAAGATCCATCCTGGCTGCGCTCGATCACTCGACGATATCGCGACTCCATCAGACCTGGGCGGTATGTCTGGCGTAGCTATTATTTCCAAATTGATGTTGACTGGTTTTTATGATGTGTAGGGCGTTACGCAGAAGCACAAGACTCAGCTCGAGTCTCTTCGGCGTCTTGCAGATCATGGCCGGAATTTCCACCATTATCGCAGCAAGCTGCGGAATACGGCGCCTCCTGCAGTGCCGTTCTTGGGTTTGTACCTCACGGATGTCACCTTCTGCCGCGAAGGAAACCCGTCGTTCAGAGACTCGCCTCATGGCACTGGCAGGCAACTGGTCAACTTCAACAAGTACCACAAGCTGGCTCGTATCGTGCAAGGTAAGGGCGCGGACGTTTTTGGTGCATGCAGAGAAGCTGATTATTTTTGTAGAAATGCAGCGGTTCCAGGTGCCGTATACGCTCAAGAAGATACCCGAGGTACAGGACTATCTCAAGCTTTCGTTCGAGAAGACGAAGCAGCATGGCGACTTTGAGGATCTTTATCAGAGAAGGTTGGCACTAATCGAGTTTACTCATCTTGCCAAACTGATTGTTCGCTCTAGTTTGCTGGTTGAGCCGAAGCAGGGCGCTGACGTTGGCCCAGGGCAAGCGAACGACATGCGACAATTCTTCAACTGGGGCCGCTCTCAGCAGCCTGTCACCACTCCTTCATGAACATTGCTATTTGTGTTGCACTCATCGATCGTTAACTTTTTTGTTTTGTTTCATGCAGACAATTTTATCACCTCGTTCCTACTGTCGTTGTATTTTTTTCTTTTTAATTTCTTCATTTAGCATACATTTACACATCACATTGCTATCTTTACAACTGATTTGTACTTCTCATCCTACATTAACTTATGTCTACCTGCAGCGGGGCTGTATGACTTCATCGTCTGGACATGTAATTAGATAGCTGGTCTATTATGCTACATCGTAGCTTCCTGAGTGCGTCGGTGGAAATATTTGGTAACGTAAAATCCGGGACTACCATCCTTGTTCTTTACCAATTCGTCCCGGCGAGCCAAGGATGGGTATGTGCCCTCAGTCACCCCAGGACCAAAGTCATAGACAAATGGCCTGCTCTGGGTAGCACCGAACAGCCGTGACCCCTCGAGAACCATGGCGTATACTGGCGACGCGTCGTTTCCGGGAGCATGCACGCTCCAGCCTTCATTGGGGGATCGCACGTCCCAGAAGGCGACGACGCTATGCCTAGCCGAGCCAGCGGCAATGTGACTGGCAGCGCCTCCGCCGCACGCGACGGTATAGATGGGCTCGTACGACCACGGGTCGCGGAATGACATGACCGGTTTCAACGGGGCGGGGGTGCTGCCGTCGGTGGCGGTGGCCTCGGACCTGCCGAGCCTGGAGGAGGAGCGCATGTCGTGCACACGGACCTTGCTATCGTACCAGCCCGAGATGATGACCTGCTCGGAGCCGCCCCACGGGGAGGCGTCGGGCGAGCCCGTGATGCCGTAGACCGCGGAGGGGCGGAGACGCCCGCCTGCCTCGGCCGACTGCGTGTGCAGGATGGCGATCGGGTCTGGGGAGAGCGCGGCCTCTGCGATCGAATGTACGGTGAGGGGCTTGTTGGAGGAAGTGCCGAAGGCGGCGTAGGGGGTGCTCGAGCGGAGGGCGAGGTGGGCGACCCAGGACTTCTTGACGTCGAGGTCGATCAGCGTGGGGCTGGGCGCGGTGTGGGACATGTCCCAGAGGCCGGCGAGGCCGCTGGACGAGAGGGAGAGGAGGGTGGTCCCTGCGCAGGAGAGGTGCTCCATGACATCGCCTTCGTGGACGTGAATCCGGCGGTCGAGTGTCAGCCTGTCATGTTGTTGTTCTGAATCCTCGAGGAAATGTCGGAGGTTGTCACCCTTGTTACAGTCGCCGGCCCGATTTCCGCGGGGAACCGGAGGCAAAGTGAGTTGTTCGAGCATGCCATTGGAGAACCCCACACAGAGGATCTGGTCCCTTCCGTCATCCGGGACAAAGGTGATGCTGGTGATATAAAGTCTCTGATGGTGGGGTTCCACAAGATCGTGCTTGCCATTGAATTGGACTGCTGGCGCGCCATTGCCAGTTTGGGGTCCGTTAAAGACGTAGTCGTAGATGGCCCGGCCTCCTGCGATAATGAGTCTGGAGTTGCAGATAGCCATGCGGGGCTGCTGCTTGCCCTGCCAGGGGCGGGAGAGGGGACGGGCGACAAATTTTGACTTTGCCCAAGAGTCGTCTGCGAGAGCATTGTAGCGAACGCGGGTGCGGGTGTTCCACTTGGAGGACGCGTGGTGTAAGCTGTGGGACGGGCGACCGTTGTTTCGCAGATATTCAGCCCAGCCAAATTCGTTCACCTGCAAAGAAAAAAAGGTTAGCGAGCGTGTCGAGACGTGGTAATAACGCGCAGACATACGAGCTCATTGTTGAACTTGCAGGTGCGAGCAAAGATGGCTAGACTGGGGAGTGGGAGATACTGGAGTATGAGAATGACGATATCGGTGGGTAATGCTACGTGGGCCATGGTGGTATGAGTATATGTGAGGAGGGGTGATGAAGGGTGAGTGTCGAGTGTTGTCTGGGATTCGAGAGGATGAAGGGTCGCTTAAATATGTCTGCCATTGGACGCGGTCCGGAGCATAGATGATAAGAACCTGACACAAATAATCTGTGGGGTACTCCTCGCTATTCTCCTCCGATCACTGGCCAATCAACGGGTCCGAAGGCACTCCTCGCAGTTTGAGGTTGACTCAGGGGTATTCTCCTTTCGGGGATGCTTACCTAAGCGGCCGTTTGTCGAGACGTTGCCGCGCAACAGCTCGGAAGGCAAGCAACTCGGGAAGGGCACAGAGTCGGCCCATAAGCATGCGCTCCCATTGCTTCGTATAATCATCTCATCTCCTCCTTCTCCATAGACCCCATCTCTTGATATCATTCCTTTTCTCTCGCCTTTTTCTTTCGCTTACTCTGCTTTATTCTAAACCCGGAGCGCCATGCGGAGAGATGTGCGCATTCTGTTAGTGGGAGACGGTGAGCTACCCATGACGAAATAGCCCATTCATTCCAGGCGCTCATTACCACAGAGGGTGTCGGGAAGAGTACTATTATCACGTCGCTCATCAAGGAATCCTTTGTTCCACATGTAGGCTCTATCCTTCGTCTTCCAAACCGGCCTCCGGGTTGACTATCACCTCAGGTCCAACACGTCGTCCCGGAGGTAACAATTCCACCAGAAGTAACACCCGAGAACGTGACCACATACATCGTCGACTCAGGTGGTGAGTAAGCGTATATTCGCGTTTACGAACGCCTCAGAAGCTCATACCGCGTCATCTTTGAAGCTGGTCCTTCTGACAGGCCCCACCTCGAATCAGAAATTCGCAAGGCCCATGTCATCTGTGTCGTCTACTCGATAGACAACCCAAATTCCTTCGATAGAATACCCACCTTCTGGCTGCCGCTCTTTCGTCAATTGGGCGTGAATGTGCGTCTATCGCGTTTCATAATTGACGCGTCACGTTTCACCCTAACGCCGCATTCTCAGGTCCCTGTCATACTCGTCGGGAACAAGATCGATCTACGTGGTGGGGAAGTGACCAACGAAGCTTTGGAGGATGAGATTTTACCGATTATGAACGAGTTCAAGGTGCGATGCACGCTCACAGAGCACGCGCGTCAATATTGATGCGTATCATCTAGGAAGTGGAAACATGCGTGGAATGTTCAGCGCAGATGCCCCTTAACGTCTCTGAGGTATTCTACTTTGCCCAAAAGGCCGTCCTTCACCCTACTGCACCCCTGTACGACTCGAGAGAACATGTAGGTTTCCAATGTACACAGAAAGAAGGCAGTTACCAATCTTGCTCCTCAGGTCCTAAAGCCAGCTTGCTTGAAAGCTCTTCAGCGGATATTCCAGCTTTGTGACGCGAACAAAGATGGTGTTTTGGATGCATTTGAATTGAACGAGTTTCAGGTGAGTCAATAACCGTTGACTCGTTGACCTGTCTTCAAGTCGTGCTCACGGCTTTCCATAGCGAAAGTGTTTTGACGCACCGCTTCAACTGCAAGAGCTTGAAGGCATCAAGGACATGGTTCGGGAGCACTTGCCAGACGGAGTACGAGATAATGGGCTGACTGAGCCCGGTTTCTTGTACCTTCATACGTTGTTCATTCAACGAGGGCGGCTAGAAACGACATGGACAGTCCTCCGCAAGTTTGGGTATGCGGAAGATCTTAGGCTGACTGAGTCCTTCTTGTTACCAAAGTATGTTTTCCATATCTCACTTCATACATTGAACACTAAGCACTGGGTCAGGTTTGAGGTGCCTTACGATTGTTCAGTTGAGCTCAGCCCCAAGGGCTACCAGTTTTTCACGGATATCTTCGAGACTTTCGACAAGGATAAAGATGGCGCGCTGAAGGCATCGGAACTTGATGCGTTATTCGGTACTTCACCGGGGAATCCTTGGGCTGGCCAAAGGTTCCCTGAGTCTACACTTGTTGATGAGACAGGAGCTGTCACCTTACAAGGGTGGTTAGCGCAGTGGAGGTGAGTACGTGTCCTATGAAACGTGTTTCTGGGGATGCTGATCACTCCTGTGTAGTATGACGACACTGCTGGACCACAAAACCACCCTTTCCTATCTAGCTTATTTAGGCTTCCCCGAAGAGCCTCGGACGATTGCTTTGACGACGACGCGACCAAGGAAGACTGATCGGAGGAAGGGCAAAGTCACTCGAAACGTCTTTCTTTGTTACGTTTGTGGCGCCGCTGGTTCTGGAAAAACTTCTCTACTTCGTGCCTTCGCTGGCAAACCATATCGGGAGACGTATGAGCCCACGAGCAAAATGCTTAGCGTTGTCAATGCGGTTGACATTGATGGTTCAGAAAAGTATCTAGTGGTGAGTGCCTTGTAGCCGGTGTTCCCGAGATTTCAGCTCACAGTTACTTCAGCTTCAGGAGTTTGGCTCGAAATACGAGGCGGAGACGCTACGAAATTCCAAGAAGACAGATCTCGCCGACGTCATTATCTATGTTTACGATTCGAGCGATACAAATTCATTTTCTTACATTAGTAATTTGCGGGTACGCCATCTCCTCTTATTGTTTCGTCATCCTCACACTCAAACACACGTGTAGCAACAATATAGTCTAGATCACATACCAACTCTATTCGTGGCCACGAAGTCAGATCTGGATTTGGCCCAGCAGGCAAGTGGTTCCTCGCTTTCAGTACTTCGGTTCACCATAGCTAATGCTTTATGTCACAGAGACATGAGGTCCAACCAGACGTATATTGCAGACGACTAGGCTTACAACTGCCTGTGTCTGTCAGTGTGGAACAGGGCCAGCTGGCCGACGTTTTCCACGCCATCTGCAGCATTGCTATGAATCCGTGAGTAAAATACCTTTTGTCTTGGGGGCCGCAGTAGCGTCGGGACTAAACTTTGTTCCCTTACTACAGACACGCAGCGATACCCGGTGGCGACCGATCGTTGACCTCAACGGAGAGACTACGGATGTATATCACTCTTACGGCTCTGCTTGGTGGAGCTAGTACGGGTGTCATCATGTTCTGGCGAACATTCTTGCGACCTGGAGGGGCGTGGCATGCATGGACAACTCCATGGGCTTCTTGGCTATTCGGTAGACGGGACTCGTGATTCACTCTCTACTCTTATCGCTCTCTAGTAGACTTTGATATTTAGTTGGCTTTCTGGTATACCTACTACGCATCCTTTGGATGGACGTGGGCTGCTGTCCTCTGCATGGCTGCGAGGACAGACAGGAGAGAGAATAGGACGGTTGGGAGGAGGTAGCGTGGGAGATCCGGGGTCCGACTGGTAAAGATCCGACGATGCCTGCAGGCCGTCGCCTGTACTCTGTATAAGTCAAGCAGTTCAGAACACCCCTCGAGGGCTTTGCACAACTTCATTGTCTTTCCATCGATCAGCTGAGCAGCTTCCAGCACATTTTCTCAGTGCTCGCTTATTTACACGTTCACAAAAACTCTCTGAATTTGTTTTGACCTCCTCAATCCTACAGTCGTTGCAAGTATGGACGAAGACATGGACACCTACGCCTCTGCTGCGCCTCCTCAGATCTCGCCACAACAGTTTGGGCAGGAAGAACTCTATGGTCGAAAGATGCTGTATGCCCTGCTTTAATCCCCGTCAAACGCTGACGTGTGTCGCTGCTCTCTGACGCTGCTTGTCCGCTCATAGAGACTTGGTCTTCGTCCAAGACTGCACGGGCAGCCAGGGTAGCTACATCTCGTCCGCAACGCGCAACATCGAGGAGATCTGCGCCCACATATTCGAGTCCGGAAAGCTGCAGGCTCGCGAGGACCTGCGCGTCGGCCTCGTCGCGTTCCGGGACCACCCGCCGCAGGACCACACGTACATCGTCAAGAACTTTGGCTTCTCGTCCGACATCAGCAAGGTGCACCGGGATTTGTCCGGCCTGTATGCGTCGGGCGGCGGCGACGGGCCCGAGGCGGTCACGGCTGCGCTCGGCGAGGCGCTCGAGATGGACTGGCGGGAACACGCGAGCAAGATGGTCGTGTTGATTGCTGATGCGCCCCCTCATGGTATAGGGGAGTATGGTGATGGTGAGATATTTGGCATCTTACAGATTGGCTGATCAGGACTGTGGGCTGACGTACGTAACGTCAAGGGTTTGATGAGGGATCGCCGGATGGGTTGGACCCGTTGCAGCTGGCTCGTCAGATGGCGAGCAAGGGAATTACGCTGGTAAGCAGGGCTGGAGAATGGGAGCGTTTTCTCCTTCGTCTTCTGATTCTGACTGTTCATTTGTAGTTCTTCGTAGCTTGCGAGCCAGCCCTGAGCGGTTATTCAGTGAGATTATTGTTTGAGAATGTCTTCGTTAATGACCGTGCTGAGATCTATCTCTACAGTATGCTACTGACTTCTATCAAGCCATCACCAAGATTACGTCTGGTCTGATGCTTCCTTTAACCACCGCCGATCTTCTGGCGCATGCAATAGTTGGCAGTGTACTTGAGAACCTCGACATGGAACGGTTAGTTCGCGAGGTCGGGAACGCCGTCGCCCAACGTATCCTAGGCAACAACGAGAGCGTCGACGATGTAGCCCGCGAGCTGCATGAGAAGCTTCTACTCCGTAATGAGAGCACAAAGAAGGTCGTCATCGAGAGCATCTACAAGGAGTCGGAAGAAGCGGCGCATAATGTGTCTATCTTCATGCATTCTCCATCTTTGACGGAGGCTCGCCCACAGCTCAAGCGGGTACGATTATGGATAATTTGGTCTGATCTTTCATACGCTGACTGACTGAAACACTGTAGGTACATGGTACTCGGTTTACCGATAAATATCTACTCTCGCGCCAAACGGCCAGCCGCGGCGCCTATGCCTATGCTCCTCATCTTCCTTCTCGCACCCCTGCTAAAACATATTCTTCCTCACCGCCCACGACCCCTGCCGCCCCCGCTATCGCTTCCTCCCCACCACGCAAGGTCGTAACCGATTTCGCTGCATTTGGTGCACCCGCGAACGCCAGCGTGTTCGGCACCGCCGTCGCATCGACGCCGTTCTCGCTCGCTGGTAGCAAGGCTGCTTTTGGTGGCATCCGAAATGCCGGACGCAGTGGTGCCGCCTTCGATAATGACGATGACGAAGAGGAAGATAATGGCAGGCAACGCGTTGAACTCAGGGAGGGCTCGATATCCTTAGATCAGGTAAGCCGATTTCTTGTTGCGATAACTCAACTTTTCTGCGATCACTGACATGAACTCTCATCGGTAGGCACGGCGTATCGCGATGCAAAGCGCGTGGCGGAGCGTTCGTGGCTAGCCTAATGGCGTGAAGGGATATATCATTAAACCACTAAAACATTTGATTGCATACTTTCAAGGAAACTTACGTCTTGTCATTTCGTTCATCGTTCATTCAGTTTCATCCGACTATCACACCAATTTATAGCGCGTAGCTTGATTCCGAGAAGGCCAGCAGCTGTGTATATAAGATATGTAGAGTAATACATCGCATTGTATGTACTGTCTATCGAGCGATCCATGGAGAGCATGCATGCATAGGTCATGACGAAGTATCCGACGATGGTGGCTCTGGAATTGGCTTTGACTTCCGTTTGCCCTTTTTCTTTTTCGTCACGGCATCCGTGCTGGACTCTGATTCTGAGCTGGACTCAAGTGGTACTTTGGTGTTCTCCGCCTCGTCGTCCGAGGCGACAGGCTTTTGAGCCTTCGTTTTCTTCTCTTCCCTATTTTTGCTCTTCTTCGTCGACATCTCGGCGCCCAAGCCATCCCTTTGACTTTCCTCCTTGGTCTTCTTTTTCTCTTTCTTGCTCTGTTTCTTCGCGTACTTGGCCTCTTTAAGCGGGATTGCCTTCGCCCCCCAGTCTGAGCCTGAGTCCGCCTCCCGAGCTTCCTTCTTCAGTCTTTTTTCCTCCTTCCTCTTGGCCTTTTCTGCGCGTCTGGCTTCCTTCAGCGCCTTGGCTTCTTTCTTGGCCCGCCTCCTCTGTTTCCTCTCCTCCTCTGTTTCCTCTTCGCGTGATTTCCTCTTTTTACTCTCATGCACCTCGACGTGCACTATCTCCGTCGTCGCGACCTCTTCCTCTTCACCAGAGCGAAGCTTCCGTTTCTTGCTTTTATGTTCGCCTTGTATAACGACCTTGTTGACCATGGCATCCTCATCTATTTCTGGAGACTTGGTAGTTTCGTCGTCATCAGGGCCGAGGACAGGTCCGCGGAAGAATCGAGAGTAAAGACCTCTACGGGCGGCTTCGCGTTTTGCCATTGCGACGAGGCTGAGCTGAGGACCGTCATTAGTCTCAGAAGGTGTAGAGAGACCTGAGGCGGGGGTGCCTAAGACAGGTCTACGATTTGAGATTATGCCCGTTTGCGTACGGTGCAGTGATGCGCCTGTTGCCAGGTCTCCGTCCTGAGCAACCTCGTTAAATCACAGCCTCGCTATAAATGAATGAACGCACGCACCTCACTTTCATCATCACTGTCAGCTTTGATCACGATAGCCTTGGCTGCAGCAGCGAAGACACTGTGTCATGGTCATTCGGGGTGGTCGAGTTAGGGAAGTGATCCAACGCACTGGTCCCAGAATGGGAAGGCTTCGTCTCTGTCTTTGCCTAGCCCTGCTAGAGTTTTCTTTTGAGGGATTGCGAGCGGGCGTTCTAGGGCCCCTTTTCGAAGTCCTGAGCCTTTAGTCCATCCATATGAGCTGAGATATGCGTGCCCGTCCAGAGGCATGTCAGATGCCTAGGTTTTTCTAGTGGTCAATGGCTCTACAAAATGGAGAGATATTCAGCAGCTATCTGCCTTGTCCTGAGATTTACTGAGTGGTCGACATTGAGGTGTAGAAATCAATTTGGGAGTAGCCGGGTGGGCCTGATTGAGAAGGTCCGTGCGGGAATGGCTGACGCGCGCTGCTCCCCTTCTGAGTTGTTCCACTACTCTCTCCTCTCGAATATTCCCCTCTGTGGCAACATAGGCTTTCTTGAATACTTTCTTCTCTTTCCGACGCCTGTATAGCGTTGCTCTGATAGCTTGATTATCAAATTAGTCAACATGGTCGAAACCTCTGGCGAAACAGCGGTTCCAGGATCCAGCTCGGTTGTCAGTACGGATGCCGTCAACGGAGTGCCTAGCCAGTCTACAGCAACGGAACTTCAAGAGGATGCAGCTGCGTCTTTACGAGCGGCCGCCCTGTTATCTCGCAAGCGTCGTAAAATAGTCCCCGAGAAGCCCCCAGCCCCGGCAGCCCGACCTCACATTGAGCCCAGTTTCCAGCTGGACTATGGCCAGGAAGACGTCGGCTCGCAACCCCAGTTCACTTCAATCCTTACGCACTCCCCGCCGCCAGAGAACAAACCGTCGCCTCTCCCAAAGGCTGCTTCACCTGTTTCTGACATCGAAGATGGCCAGATCCGTGAGGAAGGCGAGATCAGCGACGAGGAACCGCCACCTCCTGCTCCTCCTCCACCCGTGCGGAAATCTCTCTCTCCAAGAAGAAATCTGCGACGGTCTCCGTCAGCTGGGCTCCCTGCCAGACATCGTTCCCATCGCCCCTCCATATCCATCAAGCGTGAACATACGCCACCGTCGTTGTCCGAGCTCTTTCCACCTCAGACGCAATCACCAGTTTACTCATCAACTCATGCAAATTCTGTCTTCACCCTGGAAACCCCCGATTATAAGTTAGATGCTGACCATGTCAGGCCTGGTTTACCTAGTCAGTATTCCATGAATACCGTGACAACCCAAGTCTGACGTTACGACAGTGACTCAGGAGCAATTTGACACTGCAAAGGATGCCGTGCTCGATTTATTGGGCTGGGGTGTCTCGCCAGAATATCTGCTGTACTGTGGCTTGAGCCGGCAGCTCATCTTCTATGTTTTCAATGAACTCAACTTGCGACTTCCCGATGCTTTTGACGACACTGGTCTTATACACTATCCGACGGCCGAGATGGCTTCGTTGATACCTATCTCTCCCTCGATTGCACTGCGCCGCTTGTCACTGAATTTACCACCGCCGTTTACTAGCCCTGCTGAAGACGGCTACAGAGGCATGCCTTCGACATCTCGTGCTCATGACGACTACCCTATCTCTAACGGTGATGGCTTCGTGTCGCCCGCTTCGCATGAGACGTCTACCCAAGACGCGGAGAACCTGCACGTCATCGAATTTCAACGCAAACAAGAGCTGATGGCGCGGAAGGCAGCCATCGCCTCCCGTAAACGCAAAGTTTCGGACGCTCTGTCGCGCACTGTCAGCAACGAGGACGTTGATATGATACCTCCAGTGGCCAATGAAACTGTCGACGACTTCCTCAAGAGTATTGAGCCTCCCGTACTCGGTGACCCTACTGTAGCTGATCTAATACCCACTGGTGATGTGCCGTCTGACCTTATGGAGGTCGACAAAGTCCCTCCGGGTCTGATGTCTTTCACTCCTTCAGAGCAACAATCGCTCCTGCCATCATATCAATCTCCGGTTGATACCACTCCTCAAAGCTTCACTCCAACAGAACCTGAGCTCATTCGAGAACCAAGTCCGCCCGCTGTCCTCCCTTCTAAGCTCAGTCGCTCCAAAGAAGTATCGGCTTCCATCCCTATTGTACAAGACGCGAACGGCGCCTATCTTGCTCGCCGGGGTACGAAGCGGCCTGTAGCTGCTGACTTTGTGGATGCAGACAGTCTTCGCCCTCCACCATCTAGTTTCGGACAATCGAATGGCAACCACCCCACTTCACCTTCTATACCGCGTAAAACTTCCAGTTTCGCGGGCATAAGCGGGATGAGGCGTTGTATTATCCAATTAAGCGATAGCGAGGACGATGGCAGCGATGCAGAGGATTTTATCGGTCAGGCTGATAGTCGATCATTCTCGCCTGGCCTTGGGTCCGCATTTGGACGTCAGCCCCCTTCTCGAGGACCTATGGCGGCAGCTTTCGCAAATGGCGGAAGTCGACCTGCATCGGGTGGTGCTGGTAATGCACTGGCTGGGTCGGTACTGTTAGAGAAGGAGGAAGAAATCAAGAGGATGCGGCAGATGATTGCCGACATGGAGCAGACTCGGCTGAGGAAGTTAGCTGCAGTGAGTAGGGCCACGCCAGACCCGAGACCGTAACACTGATCACTGCGTTTAGATGACTGGCAAGACAACACCTAATTCAAGTCCTACACTGGCTCAAGCGACTGCAGACGGAGACAAGCAGCCTGCATCCTCTATAGGATTCACCGCATCGGACACACCTGCGGAGTCTGCAGAGGACGCTGTTACATTCTCCGGTGCTTCGGTATCGCACCCACCTTCTTCGCTGCAGACCCATGGTTCTAGCGTTGAAGCGAAGGAGGAGGAGCCCGTTTCATCAGAAATAGGTTCGCAGCTAATTTTATTCAATCCTCCTATCTCCTTTTTTATATCCTATCGAACATCATACCTTATCACAACGGCGGACCGTTCCACGGAGGGCGTCTACTTTTAACACTTCCCGCAGGCCGGCATCCTAGCCATTGCTCGTACCACCGCTCATCCAGTCTGCGTAATCCCGGTTTGGTGCTGACTCAAATCTCCTTTTCTTAGAACATGATGCTCCCATCGATATGCCGGCGCCCGACAATCAGGCGAGCGAGTCCACCCCTGTAGAGGCACGCTCAGAAGCCAGAGACTCAGAGCACAGCGGCTCAGGAACACCAACTATCGGTTCTCTCCCTCCATCTCTCGTCCGGACGACTTCCGGCTGATCAGTTTTTGTTTGATTGTTTTCGCTCCATTTTGGATTTGTCTATTTTCCGTGGTTTCTCCTCGATTGCAATTCTCTCCGTCTTCGACTCTCGGAATTATCTTATATCTCGCCTTACGCGACGCCATTTTCATAGAAGACCCCTCTCAAACGGACGAACCGGGTGCGTGCATGTCATGTAGCGACTATAAGATGTCGCTCTCTTCTGTTCCTCGCTGACATGTCCACCTTCCTTTTATGTGCTCCCTGACTTCTCACTGTCTCTTTTAATTCTTTGTCCTTTTTGGTCCCACGGCAGAGCTGACCGTTCTAGGCGACCCGGGACCTTCAAAAGCGGCAAGAGTCTTCTTTTGCTCTTGAGGTTAATCTTCTCTTTTCCTGATGCCTACTTCTTTTGCTTGCCTGTGGCTGTCCGTCTTCGTCGATCGTTTTTAGGTGTCTCCTGTCATGGAAGCTGAAGACGTTCAATTACCCACTGCCGCCGATGAGGCTGGTGCATCATCGTCGGCCCAGGTGCGTTTCCACCCATATATGCCTTTCGAAGAGGCGTCGCGAGCTATGTAAATGTGTTGGTGCTGATGTTATATCACTTCCGCAGCCAGCTGAGAAACCACAAGATGCATTTGCCGACTATGATTCTCCTTTTTCATCGTATCCTTTGCTTCGCCCGCAAGCCAGCCTTATACCAGCGTCTCAGTCATCAACATTGGAATCCTCTGCTTTCGTTGTAGATTATTTGACCCACCCTACATCTGACAGTTTTAGTTTACGTTCGCCGCATAGCTCGCACGCGAGCTCTTCTCACACACTTTCTGTACATCTTCCAGACATGCGGCCGCTCAAACAGGCTGCACTTCAGCGATCACTCGGGCAGCTTCTCGCGGGGGACTCTGGTAGACGCGTCTGCCAGTATGAGGTCCCAGGCGGCGGGGTGTGCCGTGACAGCAACTGCGAGGACTTGCACCTGAGTCGACTGGCAGGGGATCCCACTGGTGCGTCGCAGAATTGGGTTTCATGCGTAGGCTCGCTGATACGCTTTCTTGCATCGCTTCGCTGATCTGTTCGGTGTTTCGTGTTTGAATAACTTTTTTTCACTCGCTTGGGCAGACACGGAATTAGCAGAATTTATACACGATGCGCTGCCCCAACCATGGCATGGGCGGTGTGACGTGCACGGTGTCAAGATCGCGCTTGAAGGTGTCCGATTACGCGGAGGCGCCCAGAACATTGATGAACACGCCGCGGCGGCACTCACTGCGCTGGGGATCCCGGTCTCTGCCCACGACGATAGGACGGCGCGATAGTATGTCGACGACTGGAGTGGCCCTCGACTAGAAGACGCGCTCTGAGGACGGGGACTACGGAGTCCACGGAGGCGCACTCTGCGCGCTGGAGCAGAAAATGCGAAGATTCATTCGAGTGTCAAGATTGCATGCAAATGCACAGGGGAAAGGACAAGAGCGCTCGGCGCCACAGGGGGACCCGTCGTGTTCGGGCTTCTTGAGGATGATTATGAATATGGGGCTCGGCGCTTGTGCGTGACGGGTTGTTTGATGATGCTCACGTCGGGGGGTGCCTGTAACTGCGATATACTGTGTTTGTTTCATATTCTTTCTCTTCTTTGTTCATTTTTCCTTGTTTGAGAATGAATGGATTTCTATTCGATGCATATGCAGTGATCTGTGTGTAGATGGGCGCAGCGGGGACTCGGAGGGACAGGTCAAGTACTCCTCGGGTCTCGAGGGACGGAGGCGGTGAAGTGAGTTGCGCTGCGGATAAGGCAGGGTTGGTAGCGTACGTGATTGGCTGATGGTCGAAAGTGAATTGGGGTGCATGTGATGCTGTCATGACTTCCATTTGTGGAGGTACACGAGGAGGGGTATGCCCAAATAGGGGAATCTGGCCCGCCAGTTGGGATGGAAGCGGGCAGCGTGGAAAGAAAGGGCGGAAGCAGAGTCCTCGGAATGGGCCGAGACGTGCCTGGCGGTGGGCTGATACTCCGACGGGCCAAACAAGCAAACACACCAGTCGTCTTTTTTTGATCGTGGACAAGACACGACCCGTTGACAACTCTCCCTTTTCCACCTCCTTCCAACTTCAGCGATTCCTTTTAAGGACCAGGTCCGCACCGTCGCTGCCACCGATCTCGACACAGTCGCGCATATCGTGCTCGCCGTCGACAACACCTCCTCTCCTCTCCCTTCTCTCCTCTCAACGGTCAACAGCCCCACGTCGTCGCCGTCGTCAGGCTAGTTTATGGCCTTTCGTTCCCAGACCAATAACCCGCAATCTTATCCGTTTCACCAACAACAACGCACTTCCATTTCCAGCCAAAACCAGGAAGACTCTCAGTCTTCCCCTGCTATGCGAAAGCGTCAACGTATTGAAAGCGACATGTCCAACTCCGTAAACCCCCAGTCCGCTACCAACCCCCAGCAGCCCGGCCAGCCCATGCTCCCCGGTCAGGTCCCGCAGCCCGGCGTCCCCGAAGACGGCTTCATCGCCGACCAAGATGCTGCCGAGAGTGGCGGCGACGAAGACGAAGATGACGAGAAGCCCAAGTCGGACAAGAAGGCTGGTAGACGCAAGATAAAGATTGAATTTATTCAAGACAAGTCGAGACGCCACATAACGTTCTCCAAAAGGAAAGCTGGTAAGTGATCTATGTGTATTTCCTCAGGGGCTTTTGTGGACGCGTTTGCTCATCGTGTCCCGCGTGTCTCACAGGTATCATGAAAAAGGTATGCGCGTCATCACGATCGACCGTCGTCCCTGTTGGCGCTTATCTAACACACATTCCCTTTTGCTTCGCAGGCATATGAGCTGTCTACCCTCACTGGCACTCAGGTCCTCTTGCTCGTCGTGTCCGAGACCGGTCTCGTGTACACCTTCACGACCGCCAAGCTTCAACCCCTTGTCACGCAGCCCGAGGGCAAGAACTTGATTCAGGCATGTCTCAACGCGCCTCACGGCGGTGTGCCCTCATCGCTCCCCGTCGGGGCCCCCATGGGCCGCGCCACTGGGCCTATGACCATGCCCGGACCCACCAATCTCCCCGGTGGTCTCTCCATCCCTGGTGGCCCCGTTGGCGGTCCTGCCGCTGGCAAGGAGGAGAATGATGACGAGGGTGATGATGAAGCTGCTCATGGTGGACGTGCGACCGCCGGTGACAAGCGCCGTCGTCGGTCGTCCAACGCTGCCCAGGCCGCGTCTTCGCGAGGTGGACCTGGCTCTCCCTCGACGCCTAACAGCACGGTCCCGCCCCTCAACATCCCACAGTCGTCTCAACAGCATCAGCAACCTCAGGGTCCCCCGCCTCCGCAGATTGCCCTTGGTTCCCCCACTAGCCCACACCAGCACCATACCCAGGTTCCCCAGTCCCCCCAATACACTTCACCGACTGGCGCGTACGGTCATCCGCAGCAAGGACACCACGGGCCCGGTGCAGGACACGCAAGCCCGACAGACCCAGGAATGTACGGCGGGCACATGATGCCCCCTCCCGGACAGTACTCTTACTCTCCGGGTGGTGCTCCGCCACAGGGCGGGCAGCCTTTAGGTGGGCTCGCCGCCGCCGCCGCACAACAACATCAACACTGGGGTGCTCCGCCGCCGGTAGGACAAGCAGGGCATTACACGAGGAGATAAAGGGCGGGATCTCGGACTGTTGAATTGTTTATTCTTTCCTGATTCTTTCTTGTCCTTGCGTGCCGACCTGGGTCGTGCACCACGCGCCGTTATGCATCTGTCCTTCTTGCGCACCTTGTTTTCACGCTTACAACAACAAATTTGTACATTAACCCAGCCCTGATCCCCCCTCTACCAAGTGCTTGTTTTCTTCTGCCCCCCTTCAACCGCCCTTGTGTTTGTTGCCTCACCTGAGATGCTTGGCTGACGATTCCTGCGTTGTGTTGTTTATGTGTTCTTGTTCTGTCAGCAAGATAGCGAAGTGAATCGTAGGCTCTGCTACTGAAAATGCAATCCATGTATACATCGACTATCTACTATTGGTGCGATAAGGGAGCGGAGCGGACATGATCGTCGGTGGCGCGGGTAGATCCAGGGAAGCTACTGGAAGGCCATTGGTCTGGTGCTTCATCACCACAGCGGAGGAAGTGAGGGGACCGGGAGAAGGAGGGTGAGGAATCGACATGATGAGAGGATGAGGAGCATGGCGTGGGGTGGCGTGGGGTGTTCCGTGTGCCGCCTGGTGGGAGGCGCAATCAGCAGGCATTTGGCAATGGCAGGAGCGAGCTAGAGCTTATGTTGGCTGGGTAGTATATGGCACATGTCTATGCATAGGACGTGCCGGTGCTATTGGCGGATGCGCCGTTGTAGCCCATGGTAGATCAACAAAAACACGCGACGCGACGCGTCTCACTGACTTTGAGACAATCAACGAACTGCGAATTATCACATGGACCATCACGTATCATGGCCGTGGACATGACTGTGACCGAACCAGGACTGGTACCATGGGGAAGGGCGTGCGCGCGCCTGAAACGAGTAGTGATTCGATGTTTGCTAGTTTTGATGTGCGCTGAGATGCGATCTGGAGACTGAGGTGGACATATGCAGATGCACCGATGCTCTGATTTGGAATGGTGGGATGCTCAGCGGGTGGAATCGCGGACGGATATGGGTCTCGGGTCCCCTGAGGCAGGCATGGGGCGCTGCTCCGAGTGAGTCGAGGACTCGAGGCTGCATAGGAGGATTCGCCATCTTCGGGCTTCGAGAGTCTGTCTAGCTGCGCCGACCGGTGTGCGGTTCATTTTTACGCGCATGACCGGTAAGTCGTATTCAGATATTCAGGGAAGACACCGTGCGGGTATCATGGGTTGAGCAAGGGCAGACTATAGTAAGTGCTATACAGTACATGGGCTCTTCGAAGGTACCGACCGGTCTTCGACTTCGATGCAGACGAGCCAAGGACTAACACGCGCCAGGACGCCGGGGCGCAGCTGGAGTACTAGTGACAGAAATAGGCCGGGAAGACTCGTCCGCTCGTTGGACGGTCCGGCATCCAGTCAAAGTGCCAGAGGAAGAAAGCGACTTCCTTATTATGTGTGTGTGTGTGTGGCCAGGGGGGCAGACCGTGGACGTGGATAACGCCTCACAGGCTTCGCGCATCGCGACAGACCAGACTTGGACAAGTACTCATGCAGGTCGGATGGAAGCAAATAGTAGTCGTGCCGTAGGCGGAGGCGGCGCTCATCTTGCGGCAGCGCCAGTCCGCGTCGAAAAAGGAAATGCCGCACTAAAAAGAGGACGCACTGAATCGAGATCATCATGGCCACGAAGGGCAAGCTTCTAGGGCGCATCTTCCTCTGGTTTAGGAAGGGTTGGGAAGGGAAACGGAAGAGAAACGAAGCTCAAGGCACGACGGTACCGTTGGGAATGGAATGGGGATATCTCTGGATTTGTCGGCGGCGAATTTGTCTAAGGACCTTCGGTGGACAGAACAAGACGGCGCTGTTTCCCAGCGATCGGATACATGGTTTAATTTTGGCGTCGGCGGGGTATGTACACACGACGACGATATCGCTAGCGCCGCAGGCTCTTTGTTCTTCGACATCCACCATGAAAGCAGCTCGTCTTGGGCGATAGTGCGCTCGCTCAACATTCGCGTTCCCCGGAGTCGCCGGTTCTTCGACATCTTGATACCTGTCGTTATGCGCACTAATGGCATGAAGGCCCAGCTCGCTGTCTGCTCAAGATCGAGAGGAAGATGTCATCGCATCGAACTGCCGGCAACAACAGTCTTGCAATCATGAAATGCTTCCGCTGGGCGTGGTGTCAGTTGCCGGGCCGTCCTCCTTTGTCCACGATTCTCAACACAAACGCTCTTTCAGCTGATTCCGCCTTCTGATCTTTGAAGTAGGTCGCGGGGCCCTAACGGACGCACCGCCGCGACTGCAAGCTAGCAACAAATGCCAAGCTTTGAGCTGCGCGGGGCCAGAGGACCTGAGCTGCCCATACCAGGATACGAACGGTACCCGTGATGGACGCCGGCAAACCATGGCTATTGGCCCATGGCGAATCAGAAGGCCGCCCGCGATGCAGGCTCTGCTGAGCAAGCAGAGAAGAAGCTGCCCTCTAGTTGCTCCCCTGTCTGCTGTCCGCTGTCCGCCAGCCAATTTCATTTCAAAAGGAAAGTAAAGTTCGGCACTCCCTAATAGACTCTGCAGGCTCTGGCGAATCGAGGTTCGAGCTCAAGATCCCGATCACCACAGGCCACCACAAGCAGGGCACCTGCCAAATGCGTCTCCTCGAACCGCGGAGGCTTATCTACTCTCGCATCTCCACCCATTTAGTTCAGTGGCTTCTCCAAAACCGGGAGGCTCGGACAGATGTCCTTCGATTCTTTCCAAGCATGGGATCCGGAGGAGAATGCAACGCTGCGGGCCTGCCACGGCGGCGTCGCGGAGTCTCCTCATTTGGATGTTTGCTCCCTCGACCTTTCGCTCTCCGGGTGACGTCGTCCCGAGGTGAATTCATCAGACTTTGGCAAGTCGATTTGCACAAGGTATCTGGTATTACATCGTATTACATATGTTACAGTTAAAAGGTTATAATAACAAGAATAGCTATAACAACGCGTCATTATCGACGAGGTATAATGTGGCATAGAAGGACAAACAAACAAGAATAATAAGCTTATAAGCAAGAGGCGAATAGATATCATTAAGAATAAATGGATAAATGAGTAGCACAAGTGTCCATGCGTGTCGTAAACCAATGCGCTGACGTGCTTGATGATGATGAACAAATGACGGGAAGAAAGACGGAAAATGAAGATAGCGATGAACTTTGATTAGATATGTTGAACTTTGTGGCCTCGAGCGCCCAGTGGTAGACGGAGGTTCGCGAGATGGACGGCAACGTTAGCGGGGCTAGTGCCATAGCTGGCGAACAATGCCCAGCAGGGGGACACCAGGGCCTGTCAGCATTGGCGCTTGGGACAAGTCACCCGCCCACTGGCCACCCTCTCCAGAGCATCGGCGTCGTCCCAAGCCAGCTACCTACAGCCACTACTGCCTCCTTGCCCTGCAGGCGTGGCTAACCTAGCTTTTTAGCTTCCGCACCTGCCATTCCCGTCCGATCGTCGCCGCCGGAGCTTGTGACAATGACGAGGGAGACGCGCGTCCCGGGCGGCGTGTGGCGAATGACAGAGAATTAATGAGCTTCATAGCTGCGACAACGAGAAGGCGGAGAAGAAATGGAAGCGAGCTAAGGTTTCCACGCGACGAACACGCGTAGCGACCTGCTCAGGCGAGCCCATGGCGGCTGCAGACCGGGGTCGGGCCCCTGCGAGGATGCGTCGGCGGACGCGGCGTACTCCCGCCAGCGCGCGCACATGTTGTCGAACACCTGCTTCTCGTATGGCGGTGGGCCGGTGGGCGCCATCCAGCCGAAGCGGTTCTCGAGGCCAGATCCGACAGCGATGTGCTCGCGCATGTCACTGTGGATGGAACATACGTCAGCGATGCGATCTTGACTTCGACGGCTCAGCCACAGGGGTCACTAGATTTTGGCTTCTAGCTTCTACACGGCCCCCGTACGTCGACGTTGGCGTCCACCTTTGGGCTAGTGCCGAAACGTGCACTACTCCCAGAGTGGCCAGAAAAATAGAAAAAATAAAAAAGCAAGAACAACTCACATCTCAAACCGCACGAGCAGCGCATCGAACTCGGCCCTCGTCAGCTCTCCGATCTGCTGGCCCACACCCACGTTATCGATCGACGCCGACGCCGACAACCCCTTGCCTGGCTGGCACCCTTCCGTCTGGTACCACTCCACCCACTCCCACATCGCCTCCGCGCACGACACGATTTCCTTCACCCGCAGATGCAGATGCAGTGGCAACGTGCGCAGATCGATCTCGAGCTTGTCGTTCGGGAGCCGCGTCTTGAACAGCGCCAGGTTCGCAGGAGAAACCGACGGGCTGCCGACCGCGCTTCCACCCTCCGCCCCTGCGAGAGCAGACAGCGCCGACATGTCACCGAGCGTACTTGCGGTCGAGCGCGGGCTGCCCGGGCCACCGTCGCTCGCGCCCACGGTGCTGCCCTCCCGACTTTTGTTGCCCGACAGAAGCTGGTTGAACGACGCCTTGTGCGACGGCGAGAAGGCGGTGAAGCGCACGTCGTCGAGCGATACGTACGGGCACGCGCCCATGAGCAGCTCGAGCTGGGAGATAATCGTTTGGCGGTCGGGATCCCACGGCGCAGCCGCTAGCCTCCGTGGTCCAGGCCCAGGTTTGAAGGCGGAGGCGGTCGGCGTAGCGCTCGTTTGGGTGTCTTCGCCGTCGTCCGCATCATGAGATCGCTGCTGCTGCTGCTGCTGCCGTTGTGGCGGCGGCGGCGAAAGCGGCTCCCCCGTCGGTGAAGTGCGGGGCGGTGGGAACTTGAAGACGATGGGAGGGTGCGTCCGCACATCTACCGAGGACAGAACGACGTCAGCTTCATCGTAACCAATGACGCAGGCGACGCAGACTATATTAAGCGCAGGATTCTGCTCTGCGAATTGTCGGCGGCGAAGGTAACGACGGGGGGTCGCAAGGGAATCAATCCACATGCGAAATATCAAAAAGGAGGAGAAACCATGTGCATTGTCTGCTCTTTAGCTCCTCGGGTTTCGAGAGCTGAGACGCCATCGCGTGGAAGTGGCCAGCGCACTCAGCAACCTCCCTGCTCCAGGCGCTTTAAACGCCAAAGGCCGTTGCCCATTCCCCATGTCCCCTTCCCCAACCCACGACGACAAAACCAGAGATGAAGACACGGCGACTCACCCTTGAAATACAAGCCCATCGTATTCGCCAGCAGGCTCAGCGGCGTCAGATTCACGAACCTGGACGCATGCATCTCGTTGTAGATCGTCTCCAGCACCGTGTGGTCCCGCGGGTTCGGCGGCGGCGGAGGTCCCGTCACTGTCGCATTCACAGCAGCTCCAGCGTCGCTAACCCGGTCCGGGTGGTGGTCGCCGCTGCTCTTCCCTTCGCTCGCGCTCTCTCCACCAATAGACGCGCCCGTGCGCCGCGCCTTGCGCAGCAAGTTCACGCTCGTCCCGCCGCTCGCGACGGAACGCGTGTCCACGCTCAGCCGCATGCGACCGGAACTTGACGAGGGCGCGACAACGGCGGTGGTGGCAGCGGCGGCGGCGGAGGTTGCTCTGTCGCCGCCTGCGCTTGTCGAGGCCTTGCGCTTCCGCGCACCCGGATACGCGGCGAACATCGGCGGGTTCACATCAATGTCGCTGATCACTGCCTGCGCAGCCGCGTTCATGCCTGCCTTGGCCGACTTCGTAGACCTAGCAGAGGCAGACACAACGGAGACGGCGGAGCCCGCCGTCGAAGGTCGTTTTCCAACGGGTGCTTGCGCATGCGGGATAGCAGGGGAAGAGGAAGCGGAGGCAGGCGACAGGAACGGCAGTGGCGGAACGGTGGGGGACCCGGTGGAGGCCGGGCTCGATGCGGACTTGACCAGAGCGTTCGGGACTGACAGCGACGAGTGGCGGGTAGGCGGGTGAACGACGACTTGCTGCTGCCGCTCGCTGCTGCTCGCCCCTGGCGACGTTGCCGGGCGTTTTCCGGTGCGCGATGCTCTAGCACTGTCACCATTGTACCGCCTGCCGCGGTCGATCGCGAGCCCCGAGTCTGAACCGGCGCTCTCGCGTTTGGCTTTGCGCCGCTCGCGCTCGAGGTGTTCCCTCTCCTTCTCCGTGTCGGATGTGGGCTGGATGCGGACGTGCGAGCTCGACAGTGTGAACGACCGAGCGCGCAGGATCGGCTTTGGAGGTTTCTCCTGCTGTGACTGCTGCTGTTGCTGCTGCTGTTGCCGCCCAGAGGAGGGGGGTGCACGACCGCTTAGACTGCGTCTCAGGCCAGTCATGCCCATCTGGTGCGCGATGCTGCTCGTGGCACTCCCGACGCTCATGCGCCTCGAGAATCGGCTGCTCACGGGCGAGCCGTCGAGATACGCCAGACCGGGTATCGAGTCCGTCTCCTCGCCATCCGCTGCCTCGTCTCCACGCGCTATCCCAACCTCGGCAGCCTCGGGCCCGGGAGTCAAGGACGAAACGGATGCTTTGGAGGACGAAAAGAGCGACGTCGTCTCCGTGTAAGCGTCGCTCGCGCTCGTGTCCTCGTGGCGCTGGCTAGCCTTGCTGTCATGCGCTTCGCTGTCGCTTTCGACGTGGGCGTCCTCGCCTTCGTTGGTCTTGCCTGGGAAACTAAGGTCGTCTTCGATGATCTCGAGCGCAGCGCCAGGTTTCATCACGCGAGTAATTTCCTATTCACAAAGGCGGTCAGTTTCCGCATTCATCAGCAAATTCTTAGGACAAAAAGCATACCTCAAACAGATCGTCCCATTTGTCCTCTGGCACACCGCGTGCGATGCGCTTGATGTGCACGTAGTCAAATTCCTCGTTGGGGAACGGCAAACCTTCAAGGCTGTCGCGCATGGTCAGCAAGAATTTCTACAGACACGTAAGAAAGGAACAGTTGTAACGCACAAATTGTGCTGCTCCCACTTTATGCGTGCTGAAAGCCCCGATCCGATCGTGTTCAGGTTCGGATGCAAGGGAACGACGTCGAGTCCTACAAAGTGCGAGTCCTAAAAAGCGACCAACAGAAAGAAATCAACAACACTTAAACCTCCATCTTTTTTCCAAGGGCGAACGGACTGACCTTCCAGACGCGGGCGCACTCCATGATCCAGGTTCCCGTCCCGCAGCCAATGTCGAGTACTTTCGCGGGGGGCGTCTCGAACACATGCCACGTCAAGCTGCCGCATATCTGTCTCGCCCACAGCGTCTCCCAGACATCTCTGTTGTTGCGAGGCGTTCACATTATCACCCAAATGGGAGACATAGAAATTAAATTCAACAACATAAACTATAGCCAGGGGGAAACAAACTCACAAATCGACAACCGCACGCTCGTACGAGCGCGGGTACGGCGCCGCCCTGCGCGGCTCGGGGTGGTGCATCCGCTGCGACGCGTCGAAGCCGCCGTGCACGTTCAACACGTGCGCCGCGCTCGGCGCGCCCTCCCCGACCGGACCCGTGCTCATCCCGTCCGCGCCTCCCATGCCCATGCCCGCGCCCGTGTCCCCTCCTGCTCCCACCGCGCCCGCAGCGAGATCCCTCCCGTTCGCCGTGTGCTTCACAAATACATATTCACCGGCCTCCGTCCGCGGCGTGACGGCCGTGCTCGCGTCCGCCGACGCGCGCTGCGATGCGACAGCGCACCCCGGCTCGCCGCCCGGGCGGGGCACGAGCAGCGGGCCTTTGAGCGCGAACTGCAACGCACGCGCGTCGAGCGTGGCACGCAGTGAGGAGAGAATCGCGCGATCGGTTGTGTTGAAGCGGGGCGCAGTCGTTCCTGGCCCCGGCGCTGGCCCCGGCGAGCCGTGCTGCTGCTGCTGTGTAGCCGAGACTGGGGGAGGCGGAGGCAGCGCCTGGTTCTGATACTGATTCTTGTTCGGTGCCGCCGCCGCCTGCGTGAGCACCCTGTGGTGCACGCGCAAGAGCGGGTGCATCAAGTGCGCGTGCTCCTGCTCCTGAAACTGCGACTGCGACCGCGCTTGAGGCGCCGTCCGTGGCCTGGTCTTCGCGGCCGCTCCGGTCCGAAAAGGCTCTTCCTGCTCCTGCGTCTTCTCCTCGTACTGCGAGCGCGTGCGCATAGGCGCCGGTGAGCTCGATCGCGGCACGGTCTCTTGCAGCGTTGCCAGCCCCGGTGAGGCTGGCCCGGTGGTAATGGCGGTGAGCGGCAAGGACAATGCTTTGCCGTGCGCGCCGTGAGAAGGCGTAGGCGAAGGGGGAATGGAGGACCGGGACTGATCCGAAGGCAGGGGAGACGAGGAGGGGAAGGGACGAGGTTGTTGCGGGGAGGGTGAACGCGAATTGCTGCCGCCGCCGCCTGTGCTTGTCGGCGAGCCCGGCCTCAGGAAGGAAGAAAAGGCCGAGGGCGCGGGCCCCGCAGAGGGTGCGCGGCGCTTTCGGAAGGGTGTACGGAGAGATGCGAGGGACGAGGGAGAGGTAAGGGTGGGAGAGGCGGAAGCGGTGGCTGATGATGATGATTGGGCATGGGTCTGCGACTGGACTTGGGGCCCAGATTGGGAGCGGAGAGCGGAGAGCGGAGGGGGCGCCTTGGAGTTGGAGGAGGCGGATATGGTTCGACGGCGGAGGAGAAACTGGCGGGTGCGGGTGGCCGTATTAGCCATAGAATGCGTCAATACTCATCGCGATGGGTAAAGCATAAAACGGACGTGTGGAACTTACAGGAAGTGAGGGTTTGTCCTTTGCGCCTCCTGCGCTGCTGGGTGTGTCGGGAAACGGCGAGCTGACGGGGCTGGGGTTCGCGCTGCCGCTTAGAACGTGCTGCGGGTGTCTCGGCGGGCGCGGCGGAGGTGAACCAGTGCCAGACGTGTTGGGATTGATCTTGAGGGGCGACTCACGCAGCTCGAGCAGGGGGGACGACCCTACGCTGAGGCTTGTCCCGCGCGTGAGCGACGTTGCGGACCCGATTGGCGTGTGGCTGTAGAACCCGTCCCTGCCGTCCTCCGCGCTTGCCAGCGCGGAAGCCCAGGTGCGCATGCTGAGCGCGTCAGAGCTCATGTTCATGTTGAAGCTGCTAGCGTGATAATGACTGTTGTTCCCGCTCGAGTCTATACTTGAACTCGTGCGCGGGCGTGCAGCTGCGCCGCCGTAGCCGTAGTCTGCGCTGGCACTGAGCGGCCCGCTGAGCGCGGCGGCCTTGAGGAGGGACGCGTGCTGCGACGAGCTGGGCACCGACGCGACAGACACAGACGAGCGCGGGCGCGCCTCGGGGAGGAACTCGGGGTCGATGGGCGAGTCCTCGCCGCCATCCCCGTCCACCTCGTCCTCGGTCGTCGTCGCCGTCGTCGCGCTCATCCACCCTCCTCCCCCTCCGCCGCTTCCCCATCCACTGGCCGGCGCGCTTTCCCATCCCACCCTACCCACGGGAGCGGTGGCGGAGCGGGACTTCCGGGCCGCCACGGGGGAGGATGATGAGCGCGAGGAACGATGATAGGCAGCGCTGAGCTCGTCCACGGCGTCCCCCGCTTCATCCCCGTCCGCGTCTCCGTCCTCGGGCACATCCTCGTCCTCATCTCTGTCTCCATCCGCATCTACATCCTCGTCTTCATCGTCCTCCCCATCCGCGTCCTCGTCGGGCGCAAACCCGTGCCGCCGCACCATGTCAAGGGACAGCGAGAGCGTGAGGCTCGTCGGGCGCGTGCGGCGGGACGAGATGGAGGACGCGCCGCCGGGCGAGGGTGCGCGTGCGCCGTCGCGCAGGTTCGGATTGGGTCTGTAGAGATAGCTGCCTGGGCTGCTCGAGTCGTGGTCGCGGTCGCCGCGTATGCGCTCGCCGCTCGCGCGGGCGCTCATGCTGCGTGTGAGGGAGGCGGAGGACGAGCTGGATGGGATGCCGGCACTGCCTCGACCGAGACCCGGGGGCAGCTGGAGCTGGGACTTGTTCTGGAATGGGGACGTCGACTTGGAGGATGGGGAGGACTGGGGCGGGCGGAGGAAGGCGGGCTTGAGCCAGCTGGAGGAGGGTTCGGGGGAGATGCCATCGGGGTTGGTCGAGTTGGCCCGGCGGAGAAAGCGGGAGGTCGCGCTCAGCTGCTTATCCTTGCTCTTGCTCTTGGTAGGCTTCGGCTTTGGCGTGGTGGCGGACTTGCGTGGGGTGATCGGAGAGGTGGATCCAGAGCGAGGGGGCTTGTTGGGGTCGCGCAGGTTGGTGGGGAAGGGGGCGAGCATGGCGCCGAGGGAGAAGGAGGGAGGAGGGAAAGAAGCTCAAGTCTGAGGGAAGCAGACCGTCGGCGAATACGCGGGCGATCTAACCGATGGATATGGAATACTCCCCCAACACTGCCTGATCACGATGTCCGCGTCTTCGTCGTCCTCAGTCTGCTCGCCGACCCTCGTCGTCGTTGTCGTTCAAAAAACAACTCGCAAGCTTAAATTTTGATGCTGCTGATGATGACTGAGCGAGAGAAAATGAGGGGAAAGAACACAGATATAAAGCCGCCGTCGACGATCGAATCCTCAGGACGCGCACCGGCCGACCTATCCGGACAATCCGACAACCCGGGGCATATTCACCCCCTTTTCCTGCCCATCCCTCCGCTCCCGCTCGCCCGCCCGACAGTCACCGGTCCCAGTCAATGGCCAGTCATGCGCAGCCCACAGAGCCCGCGCGCCCAAGTTCCAGATCTAGCAATAATCGAATCACCCGTCCGGGATTACACCTTCTCCGGCCCTGACAGATTGGCAACTGCCTGACAACAACATCACCATATGTATGTCTTCATCTGTCCTAAAGCTTAATCCTCCTCAACCGTGCGTCACACGACACAATCAGTAACCCAGGCACAAAGATGAGTACCGCCCTGTACTGCCACCATCACCATCATCACCCTGCGCGCTGTCAATCCATAACTTTTTTGATTCTGCAGAAAGCAAAGAAGAGAAGCAAAAGCAGAAGGAATCAGCGATCCGATAACTCGTCCCAACGTCATCCATCGACATCTCCATATGTCCATTACGCCCCTAACCCGCTTCACGCCTCCCCGTCCTCGCCTTCGCCCTTGCCCGTCTCATCCCGAATCCCGCCCTCGACAAAGCTCATGATCCCACTCAAATCCAACAACTTCACCACCTCCTCCGCCTTCTCCACATCCATCTCGCCCAACACCCCATTCACGCTCTCCAGCGTCCCCTCCGTCAGCGCACCCTGCAGCTCCTCGGGGAACCCGCTGAACACGTCCCACCGCATCTGCAGCGCCTTGCGCACCTCCTCCACGTCCAGCTCTTCCACGCCCTCTCCCTCCAGCCGCAAATCTTCGGGCGGCGGCCCATCGGGCACGTTGAACGTGATGCTCTGCGATGGGTCCTGCGGCACCAGCTGGATCTGCTCCCGCTCCGTGCTCGCCTCCACCTTCGACGCAGCGACGCGCTGCACGAGGTGCGCGAACGTGTCCTCGACGTCTTTCACGAACACGTTTACCGCACGCGGGTCGCCTTGCATCATCCTACGATAAAAAAAGTATCAGATCAGCCTGCAAACATTGAGCAAACCAAGCTAACAACGCACTTGCGGAAAAACACCTGGATCCCATCCCGCCCGAGCTTCTCGCCATACTGCAGCAGCAAGCTCTGATGCACGCACTGCTTCGCGTACTTGCTCTCTCCGTCCCCTTCCGCCTTGAACGCCTCGACGAGCAACGCGTCGCTCGCGCCGGGCACGACCACTTCCCGGTGCGCCTGGATGTACCGGTACGACGGCTCGTAGGCCCACAGCGGCAGCCGCGCGAACTGCGCCAGCGCGGGCGTCAGCTCTGGTAGATCGTCCAGGTCGTCCGCGCCATCGATGGTTGCCGCTGCCGTGGCCGACGGAGGGGAGGTGGAGGATGACGGGGCAGAGGAGGAGGAGGCGACGGGGTTGAGGGTCTCGTATGTCGTCTCCGTCGTTTTAGTGGTCTTCTTCGTGTCGCCTACACTCGCAACGGGCTTCGGCTCGGGCTTTGCTGGTATGTACTGCAATGTACAGCGCCGTTAGTATCTTCTCCCCTACATGGACCATCACGAACGCACCTTGCTCTCCCACCCCTCCCTGATATCGTCGCTCGTAATATGCTTCTTCTGCTCGGCCTCCTCCTCCTTCAGCTCCTTCTCGAGCTTACGCGTATGCTCCCCGAGCCCCGTCTCATGCTTCTCCAGGCCCTTGACAAGCTCCGCGCCAATATCGAACCCGTCCCCCTTCGCCACCTCCTTCGCCGCCTTGGCCTCCTCCGTGATCTGCAACAACAGCGACAACATCATCGCATCATACGTCGGCTGCCCCGGCGCACTCGTCGGCGGCCTCTCGTCGCTCGGCCTCGTCTGCAGCCTCTCCAGATTGCCCTCCCACTCGCGCATCGCGGCGCCCTCGCCGCCGTCTGCGTGTTTGGCGCGCAGGGCGGTGAGGAGGGCGGAGACGCGCGGGGCGAGGACGTTGTTGCACGCGATCTCGGCGCGCAGCTGGGCGATGCGGGCTTTGCGGATCTCGCGCTTCTCGTGGATGTCGCGCTGCTTCCAGCGGACGAGCGAGCGCTTGTCGACGTTGGGGTGGCCCTCGATGTCGGAGTCGTCGGAGAGCTCGAGGGCGTCCCATTTGCTGTAGTTGAGCGGCATGGTGGTGTGTGTGGTGGAGGTAGCTTGGAGTTGGTGTGTGTAGATAGATTAGTGGCACTGGTGCAATTGAACGGATGGAATGTTCTCGATGGACGGAGAAGGCGGGGCCTGTCTCAGTGGCTCAGGTCTACCGAAATGCGCGATCGCTTTCCTCGTGGCCTTGGTGTCTGACAGGTGCAGACGGAACCACGGATGAGTCGGCTGATGTGGATGGATGGATGCCACTGTCAGGAGCAGCAGCAAGATCGATAACTTGAGCGTTCGTTCGGTCACCGGAAACGCTTCCATTGTGGTGCCACAAAGTAAATCTAATCTAATCTCTCCATCTAACACTCTCGATCTCTGTCAATGTCTCGAGCTTGATCCGTGCGTCGATGTGATGCTGCAGTGTGCACTGGCATTGACAGAAAGCTACAGAAAGCTTGATCAGTGTCCGCGGCGATCGATGTGATGCACGCAGCTGCACTCATTGACACAAATTCTGACATCCTTCCAGAGCATGTCCTCAGCGCTCCGAACACGACAGACCTCGACGTACGCGTTCTTTCCCCATCCGCCACTCGCCTGCAGACCATTATGCTACATCTAAGGCACCTACTGGTTGGCTAGTCGTGAATCCTCCTAGTGCCTGTTTACGCACCATGCCTCCCACTCCACAATGCCCAGTGGGCCCAGGCAGGCCAGCTGACAGCGCCTGCTGCAGCGGGCCACAGTATCACGGTCATCGTCTTTAATTTCCCACTTTAAATACCATACCGTACAGTAGATGGGAGCGGGTTCATCACCCTTTGTTATTCTCCTCACCTTTTCTCCCTCTCCCTCTCCTCTGCGGTAGTCGACGAGAGCATGTCAATCTTCCCTCAATAAACGCACTTCTCTCTCCGCCTCTTTGCATGATGATCTCCCCGGAATTCCTTAGATTCTACAAGCCCGGCCTGAGACGTGCAAGTCGATCGAGTGGCTAGCTGGGATCATCGGTCAGCCCTTCTCGTACGTCGTTCAAGGTCATGGGGTCTCCAGTATGATGGCAACTGTCATGAATTTGTCCAGAGCGTACGCATACGTCACCGCAGGACAGACGCTGATCAATGAGCGATGATCGTCGACGTCGACTATCGAGACGACTGTGGTCTTCAAGCTCCAAGCTCGAGCGTTATCGCAAACACGCTGGTGTCCTGAGGCCTTTGCGCCCTCTGCTGGAGGCCGCGCGCTGTCTGCAAGATCGGAACCACAGATTCGGATGCCAAAATACTTGTTGAGCCACCGACGACGTGGAGGGCGCCAGCAGAGCTGACTAGGACTGCGATCCGATGCACACGCGATAAAACATTCGGATTAGTTACCACCGCTGGGGCGTGCATCCTTCTTTTCCCGCCCCGAAGCCTGAGGAAGGAATGGGGGAGAGTGTGCGTGCCAGTGGACTAGGATAGAAGTGTGTGATGACGATGGCCTGTCAATATCGCCGCAACCCGCACGCTCTGAATCCGGCGCATACACACACACGACAGCACCTGATAAACACCTGTTGGCACACACGCTATCACATTAAACTCTCAACTTCACTTCTACTTAGCTCGTCCAGATATCGTCCACCTCAACCTCGCCCTCGCCTCCGCATTTCGTCAGTCTTCTCTGGCCACCGGACGAGTACTTACTGCCACTTTGTGCCCTGGTATATTCCCCTTGGAATTAACATGGCTTTGGCGCCCGTTATCGCCTCTGCTGGAACGCTGCCGCTTGAACTCGACGGAACCGCAATCGATCCAGAGCTCGAGAAACAGGCAGAGGCAAGGGAAAACAAGGACCATGCGGGTATGTTCGTGGGATCCGTCGGCGCAGGGGGAGCCTCTCCGAGCGAGTTTTCTTCTTCCTCCGAGTCTAGTTCGTCTAGCATTAACGTTGGTCTCGGCTTCGGCGAGGTAAGCGTCTATGTTACATCACTCCTTCCTTTTCTCTACCCGTCCCCTCCACCGCACCTGCCTGTGTTAGCACTCCACCGTCTCCAATATGAACCCATTCAATGTCCCTTTGCGTCATGTTGCCATAATCATTGCACCATGGCTCCTTCCAAAAACTTCCGGTCCCGCAGCCTACGTTTACTGACTAACTAATGCGTCTGTTTATACCTCTCTCGCTCGCTCACTCCGTGCCATCGTCGCCTTCATTATCATCGCCATGCACACCCACTTAATGCGCAAAAAGGCTGGCGGCCCCGGCACGCCCTTCATCACCAACCAGCGGTTCGAGTATCCGTTCCCCGACCCGCACCACAGCCCAACGGAAGACCGGCTCCTGTCCCTCGCCGCGCGTCCGACGCTGCCGTCTTCCGTGAGCACCGAAAGCTCCTCTTCGTCGTCATCACAGCCCAGTGCAGACACTAATGCTGGCGCTTCGTCCTCCTCCCCATCGCACTCCCCCGTGCAGACTACCCACGGCCTCCCCATCTCCATCCCCAGCGCCCTGTCCCCGCCCAAATCCACTGGATCCATACCAAATCCACTTTTGACACACCCATTAATCCAGCCGTCGCCACCACCACCGCCCACCGCGGTCGCTTTCTCGCTAAGCAGCCCTCCCTCCTCGCGGCTACCCCAGTCGCAGGCCCAGCCGCAGCACCCACTCTTGCGCACGCAGACGCCGCCTGTGCCGCCAGCACTCAAGCGTCGCTTGCAGCGATCGAAGTCGAAGCTGAACAGGAGCAGCACAGATGAGGATGTGCGCTCGGAGAGCGCGGCGTCGGACGAGGCTGCGGAAGCCGACGTCGAGGACGAGGTTTCGTCAAGTGACAATACCCATGACGACGCCCATGTGCACGCTCGTGGCGTGGCGAGCACGACGACGGTGCAAGATTTCAAGCTCGCGGTGTTGTTTGTCGGTGTGCTCCTTGCGCTACACAGTTCTGGGAAAGTCGTCTCGTGGATCTATGCGCTCGTGTTGTCTGCGTTTTCATGATTTCCTCCTTGCTTTTTTTCATTCTTGTGATACCCTAATGTCACCGCGGCAGCAAAACAAATAAAATTTGCTCGCCTGTACCAACACCAAATCCGAGGGACATGTGCGCTATGCATTCCCTTGTGTGTCCGTAAAGCACACCACCGTACACTCATACGCTCAACCAAATGTTTCACCCGCATTAATGCGGATTGATTTCGTCTATCCCGATCTATGATACGTACCGTCGATCCGCTCTTCGCATCTCGCTGTTTTCTGCCCTGGAACCCATGCCCATGTCTGATGATGACGACCTTCATACACGTCCCCGTCCATCTCCTTGCGCAATCCGTACCTTGCCATTACTTGCATGTATCATTTACCTCTGTTTTCCTGTCTTTTTCTTTTTCTTTTTTCTGGTTTTCTTCTTTTGTTACCATAATGTTATTCCCCTCAAGTCGTTTCGCATAGCACACACGGATATCTTCCTTTCCCCCCTTTTTTCGGTGTTTTCCATAGTGTCCTCCCCGGTTTTTTTTTTTCACCCTGGAGCTCTGTCATCTATGTAGGTCTACGCTACATATCCCTATGCACAGCGTGTCGCCGTCGCGAGTACACGTCTCGGGGCCGCGTTTTAATGTTCCCTTGCAATATTTGGAATTCATTTGGCGCATGTTATGTCATACGTGTTGTTTTCTGGTCAAAATGTATGTACGATTGATTCTTCAGTTGGAGTGAGAGACTTGTAGGATGGATGACGAAGGTTGGACGCAGTTCCATTGATTTATCCATGACCGACTCTGACAGATGGATTACGGTAAGGGCCGTTGATAACGCGATGAAAGAACACTTTCAGATAGATATGTTGGGATTGTCGAACGTTCAACGTTTCAACCTCCCACACTTGTCGCGCATCCTCCGCGCGGCGTGCTCTCCAAAGTCACCTTGTCTTCTCCACTTCCACGTTCTTCACTTAAACAAGCTGTCCATTTCTCGCGAGCTCCTTCAACCCCGGAGCATGTCAGCAATCCTTTGAGCACGATGTCGCGGTGTGTTGTTCATCACGGTGCCCTACACGTTCGTGAACAGGCCGTTGATTATTGCCGAACAATGCGACCATGCTACATGCATGTATACGGTCCTTGGAGGCGACACGCTGGCTAGCACTGAGCGCTTGAAGCTGAAGCTGTACCAAGCGTGTTGCGCTGCGCATCCTCGGCGCTCATGCCCATGAGCGGGGACTCGGAGTCGTCGTGCATGGCATAGCAACTCCGACCCCAGGACAGAGGCACGGCCCTTGTCAGAGATGCTGCTTTTCGTCGTAACACAGTTGAACATCCTCAGTCGAGTCTACGCACGAACCGATCTCGAACGGATCACAGCAGTTGGCTTTACTGTGAAGATGGTTTAGGCTTGGCTGGTGCATAGTCACTCGTATCTGCTATCCCATTTACCGCGAGCTATGGCTGGGGGCTCGTGGTTCAGCCCGCGGACATCTGGGCGCCTGGCTTGGTTGCATAGTACGTGATATGAATCATCCAATGCCATCTGTACATTCAGCTATCGGTCCAGGTCTTTCGAGGTCATTACAGGGGTCCGTCTTCACCATCACCAAGAATGTGGCGCTTTGGAACTAGAAAGCTGCATCTAGTCATTACCATGGCACTGTATTCTAGTGATAGTCCTTAACCCGGGATTTTCGCCCAGTTGGTCTGGACTGCCAACAATGATACTGATTCAGATACACAAACGCTCGTCCCATTGAATAATGCGACACTGATATATCGCATATATGCCGGAAACTTATGGAGCGTCACAGAGTCACGGAGGGCAAAGGATTGGACACTGGCAAGGGATACATCGCGAAAAAAGGCATGTCTCCGTCAACCTTCACGCGAATATTGTTTGCTCAATCATGGTGGCCTATCTTAAGTTTTAACAAGTAATATGTTTATGCAAAGAAAGTTGCAGCTGTCATGTATACAGGTCCTCGAGGGTTTATACTGTGATGCTTGCCCTCATTCACCACAGGAAGTGGAATTCTCGAAGCTTAAGCGCTTAATTATGAGCACCGAGTACAATCCTCCGGCCCGCTGGTCTTCCTGGGCTTCGTCTAATGTGTTCTGGCGCATGTCGTCACCGGTTATTATAAAATCTTCTCATGGCGGACATCTTCGTAGTGGCATGGCCTACCTAGCAGCCCTCCTCGGCTTTGTCCATTGGTTATCCTGTTTTGGCGCAGCCATAAATTCTCCTTTACCTCATATCCCACTCGTCGGGAAGTCGTACAACTCGACATGCCTCATTTTACTTGCCATAGTCCGCGGCAAGACGTCTGTGCACCCCCCTGACCGATCCCCCTCTGACCTCCTGCTCCCACTCCGTGTGTGCGGCTCGTCATTTGTGGAACACCGCTAACCCCGTGATGATGTACCGAAGCCTTCATGTTCACAGACCATTCAGAAGGAGAGGTTCTCTCTCATTTTCTCCATGCCTCGTGACGAACATGTACGCTTAGACATTCGGGGCCCGTATGGGCACGGCGTTCCGACAATGACGAGAACAAAGTGGTGCGTTGAGCAGAGGGGCTACAAATAGGTCTTTCTGGGCGGGGATTCTGCTTTACGAGTGCGGTGGTGCTCTCGCCTTGTTACCCCGCTCAAATCGTACTCGGTTTTACAGAAGCGCTGCACGATGTTGTCCTCCTACGCAGCTCTACTGAGCATTTTACTCACCGTCACGTCCACGATCGCGCAGGTGGTGACAGATACAGGCACAGGCGGCACCGCGATTGAGCTCGTACATCTCTTCTACGACGAGTGGCCGACGGGAATCGCGGTGTCGTCCACGGGGCGCAAGTTTGCCAACTACCCTGGTAAGATCAGGCTTGGTTCAGTATAGACAATCATGATGGCTGATGCAATTGCAGGTGGACTTGATTACAATGACACGAACACGGGCAACAACGGAAAATACACCGTCGCAGAGCTCGTTACCAACGCCACGGAGTCGGCGTACCCGAGCTTAGAGATGAATAGCCCGCCTGGGGGAGCCATCAACTACACAACCAACCCGCCGACCGCCGCCGGTTACGCCGACTACCTCATTGGCGTGCAGAGCGTGGTGATCGACAGCGCGGACAGGCTGTGGATCGTTGATACCGGCCGCGTACTGAACGAGAACGGCACTCTCATGCTGGCCTCGTACGGTGGGCCTAAGCTCGTCGGTGTCGACCTAACGACGGACAAGGTCTTCCAGACGATCGTCTTCCCACAAACCGTCGCGTTCCCCGACTCATACCTGAACGACGTCCGGTTCGACCTCCGCCCGAACGTGACCGCAAGTGGGCAGGGGATTGCGTACCTCACGGACTCGAGCGTCGAGGGGCGCACGGGCCTCGTCGTCGTCGACCTCGGCACGGGCGAGTCGTGGCGACACCTCGACTACACGACGTACGTGCAGGCCGACCGGCAGTTCGTCGCGTACGTCTGGGGGAAGCAGCTCTACGCCAACTCGCCGGGCAATCCGTTCGGGTACATCACGTTCGGCGTCGACGGTATCGCGATCTCGGCTAACGGCGAGGACCTGTTCTTCGGCGGCGTCGGCACGCGGTACATGTACTCCATACCGACGTCGTACCTGCGCGACAACTCGGTCAACTCGGACGCGCTCGCGCAGGGGGCGGTGGTGACGCGCACGCAGAAGGGCGTCGCGGATGGGTTTGAGACGGACACGAACAACTTCATCTACCACGGCAACATGGAGCAGGAGGCCATCTCGTTCTTCAACCCGGCCAACGGGACGGACCAGATATTCGTGCGCGATCCGCGCATTAATTGGGTCGACACGATGAGCGTTGCCACGGACGGGTACCTGTACTTCACGGTTAACCAGCTGTGCTTCGGTCCGCTGATGTATCCCGGCACGGATACGAGGCAGAGGCCGTTCGCCATGTTCAGGGCAAAGCTGCCGAACAATGGCACGAAGATCGGGGTCAACGGGACCACAGTTTGAGCCGGGATGATGTTGATGATGAGTGGAAAGAGCAGAAGGACCTGCAGACGGGGTGCCAAAATAAACGTCATTTTTTTTCCTTTGCGCGTTTTTATCATTCGAACTTCGAAGTTTTTCTGTGCCATATCCTTGCATCATTGTTTGGCGGGCAACAATGCAGATGTACCATCCGCTAATCCACTTGCATACCATCGGGTCGACGACATGGTTCATAGTCAGTTCATGTCAACTAGTTGGCTTGTTTGCTCCAAAATCCTCATCTCTATACATCTTGACGTCGTGTAGCGGCCACGTCTCGGTCGAGCGATACTACGGCGTCCGGATACACAACCTCGTATGACTGTCGTCGCCGTCGCCACATGTGATTCATGATCCTCTCAGTATGAGTTCAAGATCTGGTCCTATTTTCGTTTATAAGACCGCGTACATCTCCTGCATCCACAACAGCCAGTCAAGTATCCCCGATTCTATAGCTTTGACTGGTAGTCAGTACTACGCGTACCTCATCGCAATGACCAACGAAGCCCTCAAATCACACTACCTCGCCTACATCGCCGCAATCAGAGCCCACACAACAGACGGGTCCTGGTCACTTGAGCCCTATGTCGCCGACCAAGTGCTGCTTAACGGGCAACAAATGACACGCGCTGACTACGAAACCATGATGGTTCGAAACACATACGCGGATGTCCCCGACCTACAAATTAACGTGCTTTCCGTGCTCGCGTCCGAAACAGAGGTTGCGGCGCGTCTCCAATTCGTGGGCTCGCCCGTGAGGCAGTTCCTGGGCTGGACACCCAAGGAGGCTGGCGGAGGGGAGAGGGTGTCGTTCGCGGACAATTGTTTTTATCGGTTTGAAGGAGGGAAGATCAAGGAGATCCACAGTATTATTGATCCACCGAAGCCCCTGTAATCAGCTCAAACGGCCCCGAAAATCCATGACCGTTGTCACAGTACGGTAGTAGGAGCGCGCCACCAAATGTTGACTCACTTCGGTGACAATCTTCGTCTCACATGTGGATCGACGTTTACCATCGCACCGCCTTCGACGGTCAATATAAAGGCCTCTGACTTGTGTAAGACCAAGACCCATTCGTCAAACCATAACCACCTCACCTGCTGCGGTCATCCTCAATACTAGACTTTATGTCCAACGAAGTCCTCAAAGCCCACTACCTCGCATACATCGCCAGGCTCAACGCGCACACCCCGGACGCGTCCTGGTCCCTCGAGCCGTTCGTCAACGACCAAGTGTCGCACAATGGGCACCAGATGACGCGCGCCGACTACGAGAGCATGATCCACGGGCATTACGAGGTCATTCCAGATCTACACTACGACTTGCAGATGCTGCTTGCGTCCGAGTCGGATGTGGCGGCGCGCATCCAGTTCGTGTGTTCGCCCGTGAGGGAATTTCTAGGCTGGAAACCTAAAACAGCTGGCGGAGGGGAGAAGGTCACGTTTGCGGAGAACGTTTTTTATCGGTTCGAGGGAGGGAAGATCAAAGAGGTTCTCAGCAACCTTGAGACACCGAGACCCTTGTGAATCAGGAGCATCGAGAAATGTCCTTGGAGCTTAGAATGTTACACCAGAGACAAAGGTTGGAGGGGTGGCTTTCCACTTTCCATTCATCAGCAATTCCCGTAGGAAATTCTAAATATGTTGTATAGTAAATGTTAACCAAGAAAAAAAACCAAAGAGAAGCATCTATGTACGTGAATGAAGCATTATTCAAGAAGTGTAAAAAAGAGCTGGTCGTAAATGTCGATACATGCGTAAAATGGACAGCGTTAGTAACATCACACTATCTGCCGAAGGTCCATCCTTGTCCTGGCCATCCATCCACGTCCGATATTAAGGAGAACCATGCGGGTCGTTGGTACAATGGTGGGTATGCGTTGATTTTTGAACAAGCACCGTGTTGAACTTCTCAAATGGTCTAAACTCTGAATCTGCGAATCAGGAGCGCAAGCCTTTACTTCTTGCTAAGGGCCTGAAGCTGCACGTATTCGTAGTAGTCGCCGCGCATCGAGAGAAGTTCATCGTGAGTGCCCGCTTCGCTGACGCGACCCTCCTTGATGAAGTAGATACAGTCTGCGTTCTGGATCGTCGACAGACGGTGAGCAATGGCGATCGTTGTCCGTCCGCGAGCAGCCTGGTCGAGCGCCTCCTGGACGATCTTCTCCGAGTTGGAGTCGAGAGCCGAAGTGGCTTCGTCAAGAAGGAGGACCTTGGGGTTGCGGAGGAGAGCACGAGCGATGGCGATGCGCTGCTTCTGACCACCAGAGAGCTGAGAGCCCTTGCCACCAACCTCAGTGTCGAAACCGCTGTGTGACCATTAGTATCAAACGTGATGTCAAAAAATGATGCAAACTTACTTTGGTAGCGACTTGATGAAGTCGAGGATGTTGGCATTGCGGCAGGCAGCCTCGATGTCCTCTTGTGTGACTTCCTCGGCGGGCTTGGTAGCACCGAGCAAAATGTTGAAGCGGATGGTACCAGCGTACAGCGTAGGCTCCTGCGACACAAGAGCAATGTGCTTGCGGTACTCCTGGATATTGAGTTCGTTGATCGGGTTCCCATCAATAAGGACGCGACCAGTCAAGGGGTCATAGAAGCGCTCGATGAGTTGGATCGTCGTACTCTTCCCGCATCCACTAGCACCGACGAGTGCGACGTAAGTGCCAGGCTCGACGGTCAGGGACAGATCACGGAGGACACGGACACCAGGGCGTGTGGGGTAGCGGAAGTGCACGTTCTCGAATTCGATGCGGCCCTGGACCTCGCCCGGAGGGAGAACCTTGCCCTCAGGCGACTCTGCATCAATTTCAGGGACGGAGTCGATGAGCTTGACGATGTGTGCGGCAGCACCGCGGGCGGAGGACATATCAGGAACGAATGAGAACACGTTGCCCGCCTGGATGGCGCCGAACGTCGTGCTCATGAGCGCGATGAAGAATGCGGTCGTGTCGATCTCGAGGCGCGAGACGAGCGTCGCACCGTACCAGAAGACGAGGGAGATGACGAAGAAGCCCATGGACTGCGAGAGCGCGTAAAGCATGTTGGACCAGAGCGCGGTGCGGTTTGACTGGCGGAGCGGGCCCTCAAGGGACTCGCTGTACAGCCGGAGGCAGTCGTCCTCGCGGGTCAGTGAAGCAACGGTGCGAATGGACCCGGCGGCTTCGCAAGCCATTTGAGCGGATCCCTCGTGAGAGGCCTTGTTGGTCTGGTCCTTCATCACGACGACACGAAGGCGGATGTAACCTGCAGAGACGACGAGAGGAATGCAGGCCATGCCGACAATGGCAGGCTTCCAAGCCCAAGCAAGACCGATGATGGATCCACCAATGATTGTGGTGATGGACTGAACGATGGCACCGAGAGTGACACCAGCGAGACCGTTAACCTTCTGTGGGCTGTCACTCAGGTTGGCAGTGAGAGCACCAGTCTGGTAGAGGAATTTGTTAGCAAGCACTCGAACACCAGATTGACAATACTTACGGAGTTCTCGTCGCGATCGAAGTACTCAATGTCTTGCCTAAGGATAGCCCGGAAGCTGATGGAGCGCAGCTTCGCAGTGAGAATGGCCGCAGAAGAACCGAAAATGTAGTTCGAAGAGGCGATCGCGAAAGAAGACACAATGGCGATCAGGAAGAACCAAAGTGCATTCCGATCACCGTCGTGCCGCCTTGCCGAGTTGGTCGGATCCGAGAAGCCAGAGATGGCATGGCCGTAGACGATACCGAATGCGGGGTACACCATGCCAACCACTGCAACAACGGTTACTCTATGTTATCAGGGTAAAGAAAGCGTCTGCACTTACTCATAGAGAAGAAAGCACCAACAGCGTATCTGGGCAGACCCGGCTTGTTGATTAATGCCATGCGCTTGAACAAGTAAGACATGCTGTAGTCGTCCTCGCTGATTTCGTGCTTCGCCTTCTCCTCATTCCGTTGCTTCAGTATCTCGCTGGCGACGGATTGCTTCGTGTTTTGGCGACCAAGAGGGATCTCCCGCTCCGCTTCCTTGTCCATGTCCTTGCTCGATGATGATCCTGGGATCGTGTCTTCATCTTCCGGGGTCGTGGTAGCATCCTGTTCACGAGTCTCCCGGAGCTTCTGAGCCTGCACAAGCTTGGAGTAGGCTCCGCCCTCGTTGGCTAGCAGCTGGTTGTGCGTACCCTGCTCAAGAACAAGACCATCACCCATCACGAAAATCTGTTCCGCATTCTTGATCGTAGACAGACGATGCGCAATTGTGATCGTCGTGCGTCCAGCAGCAGCCTTGTCGAGAGCATCCTGCACAATCCCCTCGCTCTGCGTGTCGAGAGCACTCGTCGCCTCATCGAGCAAGAGAATACGAGGATCGGAGACGATGGCACGAGCGATGGCGACACGTTGCTTCTGGCCACCAGACAGGAGGAAACCACGCTCGCCGACCATGGTGTCGTAGCCATTGGGCAGCTTGGTAATGAACCCATCGGCGTTCGCTTTGATACATGCCTCCTTGATGAGCTTAAACTGTTCATCAGGCGAGGCATGCTCCCAGGGAGTGTTGATGAGACCATGTGCAACGTTACCACGAATGGTAGTGGCGAAGAGGGTTGGCTCCTGTGACACAAGTCCGATTTGCGAACGGAGCCATTTGACGTTTAAATCCTTCACGTTAACACCGTCGAGTTTGACAACGCCAGAGAGAGGATCGTAGAAGCGCTCAATGAGGGAAATGATGGTCGATTTGCCAGAGCCAGATGCGCCGACGAGGGCAGCAGTCTTCCCGGCAGGGAAAAATATGTCGAGGCTCTTGACGATCGGTACATCGGGACGAGAGGGGTAGTTGAACTTGACACCCTCGAATTGAATTTCGCCCACAACCTTCTCAAGCTTGAGACCGTTGGGGTCGGCGGAGTCGATACTGGGAACTCGCTCAATTGTGGCGTACAACTTGGCGGCGGCACCACGTCCCTGGGTGATAGCTAACAAGGGTTGAGCCTGCGAACTACACGAAACACTTTGAGATTTTACCTTGCATTTCTGGGGCCATCATGGCGAGGGAGAATGAACCGATAAGGATGGCAAAGAACACGTTGACGACCTCGCCAGCAGTAGCTAAACAGAAATGTTAAGTACATAGTCTTTTAGTGAGGTTGCAATATAGTACTTACCACGACCCTCGTTGATGAGAGTGGTGCCGAAGTCGAACGCCAGGGAGTAGGCAGAGTAGATGACGAAGAAGAAGATACCGAGACCTCCACCCTGGTAGATGGCCGCTTTCATGTCGACCTTGAGGGATCCAGCGATGTGCACGTCATACAGAGATGCAAGGATATTCTGCGTGCCAAATGCTTGGGCAGTGCGGATAGTCGAGATAACTTCTTCTGCGAGAGTACCGCCCTCGGCAACGTGCTTGAGCGACATCCTAATAAAACAAAAAGTCAGTATCTTCTTGAAAAGCTGGCAATATAGGAGAGAAAACGCACTGCATGTAGCCCGAGACGAATTTGTTCATGACGCCACCGGTGATACCGATGCAAGGGAGAATTGCGGACATTGCAAGGGCGAGACGCCAATTCCGGATGTAAGCGAGGATGAAACCGACCGCGAAGGCAGCGATGAACTGGGAAACAAGAGCAACCTTCTCAGACATACCCTGCTGGACTAAGTCTGCGCAAAAGATGCATAAAGGACCATGATTTGGAGTGTTATATTAAACTCACGGGTATCGGTCTGGATACGAGTGGCGACTTCACCAGCGCCAACATCATCGAAGTACGCAATGTCTTGACGCAAAACAGCTTGGAGGTAGCGTTCACGTATGCGTTTGGCGTTGACCTCTCCAGTGTATACCCAGATGAACATGTATGCATAAGTGCAAACAAACATGCCAACACCTGGAGTGATGTGAGTTGACATACACTTCAGTTGCGGTGCTGTTACACGTACCAATGTAGACCAGATAAGACGCATTGGAGGCTGCAGAGTGCCTGAAGGAGACAGCAGCTGAGTCGAGGCTTTGTTCAGCTTGTTGAATGGCGCTTGAATTTCCTGTAGAGAGGATGCCTTCCAAATTTACCAGCTCAGAACCGAAGTTGACAAAGTCCTGTGTGAGTCGTCCAAAGAGCAAACTCATAAGCGGCTAAACCCCGAGCTTGTCAGTGTCAAAACGACGATCATGCATCCCTGAATACCGACCTGAGCAGCACCCGCGGCAATAGCACAGACAATGCCAATTAAGTCAATGGCGATCTCAAACCGTGTTGAGTACCTAAAACAATATGAGATTCCCTTGATCCTCGATTGGCATATTCGAACAACAACATACGTGAACAGAGACGTGAACGAGACTGGTGGAAGCTGTTCGACCTTCGGTGTGACGGCAACTTCAACATCACCGGCTTTCTCGTCATCATCAGTGGACGATTTAGTTTCCTTGGTTTTCTTGCCGCCAAAGAGCCCACGCTTGGGTTTAGGAGCTGGAGGGCTGTTCGTGTGAGTCTGGTCCGACGGAGGGGATTCGCTCTCTTTGTTGACGGATGATGCGCGCGGAGACGCCATGGTTGGGGGCGAGAGAGCGCGTGAGACTCGTCGAGTGGAATGCCCGAACGATGGCGGGGGTGGCTGTCGCGGCCTGGGGGAGGGATGGACGTGGTATGGGTTTACCGGAGTGCAGCAAATGGTGTGGCCATACCCGCCCGATAATATACCTTGCTTGCCGGGAGCAGAGTCCCGTTGGGAGTCAGCACATTTATGTCAGATAAGGGCGCTTGCGTGCGCTTGGCATCCTTGTCTGTCTGCGGCACAACTGACATGGCAGCCCGGCCACTGCGGAGACCACTTCCGCGGGCCGGTACCTGATTATCTAAGTGATCGTTCGCTTCCGATTGCTTGCCGCTGGCTGACGATCTTTGACGGCCCATGACTCGTTCAGTATTGACGCAGTTCCAAGGACTGGGTTTGGACACTCGGCGCCATGGGCACTCTGCAAGCCTCCGACGCCGCAAGGCCGGAGATTGCGTGTGTCCTTCGAAGGTTCCAGCTCATTCTCACATTTTATTTTGACCCTTACCCACACTCAACCCACACGGACGTCGCTATGTCGTCTGATAACCGAACAGAGACTAGCAGTTATGTAGCTAGATCAGCGCAGCCATTCCGATAGTGTCAGACCATTCGAATATTCATTCCACTCTAAAATTACGGTGTGTATCTCCGCAAACTCAAAGATGCTATATGAAAGCTTCTCCAAGATGTTAGATCTGTAGAAGACCACTCAAATTGAAGGTGAAGTCAACGGAAGGCCACAGGTTATTTGTGGTAACCTTGAAAATCCCGAGTAGCCGGGCCTCGGGTCCATCGTCGGGGGTTTGGATATCGTGCCATCGCTGCGCAAGTTGACGCGTTGACACGCGCACGGTTGCCATCACTGTGGCACACGCATGCACCCAGATTCACCCAATGGTCTCTATTACTTATCGGACGAGTATCAGGCGTATCATGACATGACCCACATCATTGAAGTGCATCAGGGGCGAAGATGCGGAACACTTGCGCAAGCCCTTTGTCCTCTAGCTCTCTTGTTCTCTGACCTCCTCCATCGCACATGGAGTCCACGCTTGCTTGACTTCACGCCAGTGTTTTACACTCTTCCCCGAGCAAGCCGGCGATGCGACTTTGCTCACTCCAAGCTTATCAAGCCCTTCCGTCGGCCTTGCCCAATGGGCGCAAGGCCCTCAGGCTCCATCACCCAAACCGCTCGTTTTCATCTCGGCGATATGTTGAATTGCCAATTGCGATGCTTCCGAAAGATAACATATGATTCGTGAGCTTAACAACCTCGTAGTGGCACTGCAAGGTACCGAGGACGGCTCCGAGTCTCAGAATGAAATTGACGCAGGGGATCCTCGGCGATCGATATCCCCCTATATGTTAAGTGCCCACTGCCAACGGCCAAAAACTCTCTTAGTGTTCCGAGCGACACGGGCCCAGAGAAAGCTGACTATTACGCTCTCAAGTCAGTATCGAAGCTATCCGACCCGGTTTTAACAGACTTGATTTTTGACAGTGACGGGTCGCAACGGGATCCACAAAAAAGTCTGTTTTTCAAGCTATGCTCAAGGCTTTAGCTTTAACATCGGAATTCATAATAACGTTGTTCTGGTTCTGATCTTTTGAGTTGAACCGTGTTCATTATCACTCGTAATTGGCTAACCACGTAAAAGTAGTTCATTCTTGACATGTCCTCTATCCAACGTAAATTAAGCAGCGTCCGTGAACGCCGAGAATTGTGATGTAAATACTTAAAGTTAATGAGCGGCGAGCACGCCCCGGGTATCCGCCATGCACAAGTGATACAATGCTCTCTTCTTTCAAAGCCCTTCCCAACGCAACCCAACCAAATATCACACCAACCCGTCCCTCAGGCTAGCGGCTTATTTTTTGCTGAGGGCCTGAAGCTGCACGTACTCATAGTAGTCGCCGCGCATCGAGAGAAGTTCATCGTGCGTGCCCGCTTCGCTGACGCGACCTTCCTTGATGAAGTAGATACAGTCCGCGTTCTGGATCGTCGATAAACGGTGAGCAATGGCGATCGTTGTCCGTCCGCGAGCAGCCTGATCGAGGGCTTCCTGGACAACCTTCTCCGAGTTGGAGTCGAGAGCCGAGGTAGCTTCGTCAAGGAGGAGGACCTTGGGGTTGCGGAGGAGAGCACGAGCGATGGCGATGCGCTGCTTCTGACCGCCGGATAGTTGAGAGCCCTTGCCACCGACTTCAGTGTCAAAACCGCTGTATGCTGGTTAGCATCATAGAAGTTACTCGAGCATACTTGTACTTACTTGGGCAACGATTGAATGAAGTCGAGGATGTTGGCATTGCGACAGACGGCCTCAAGGTCCTCCTGGGTGACCTCCTCCCTGGGCTTCGTGGCACCGAGCAGAATATTGAAGCGGATGGTACCAGCGTACAGCGTAGGCTCCTGCGACACAAGGGCGATGTGCTTGCGGTACTCCTGAATATTGAGCTCATTAATCGGGTTTCCGTCAATCAGGACGCGACCAGTCAAGGGGTCGTAGAAGCGCTCGATGAGCTGGATCGTCGTACTCTTCCCACATCCACTGGCACCAACGAGCGCGACATAGGTGCCAGGCTCGACGGTCAGGGACAAGTCGCGGAGGACACGAACGCCAGGGCGTGTAGGGTAGCGGAAGTGCACGTTTTCGAACTGGATGTGGCCCTTGACTTCACCCGGAGTGAGAACCTTGCCCTCTGGGGATTCCGCATCAATGTCGGGCACTGAGTCGAGGAGCTTGATGATCGAGGCTGCCGCGCTGCGCGCTGACGACATATCCGGCACGAACGAGAAAACGTTTCCGGCTTGGATGGCACCGAACGTCGTACTCATGAGGACAACGAAGAACGCGTTCGTGGGCATCTCAAGGCGCGAGACGAGCGTCGAGCCGTACCAGAAGACAAGCGCGATGACAAACATGCCCATAGACTGAGACAGGGAGAACATAAGATTGCTCCAGAGGGCCGTGCGGTTGGATTGGCGGAGGGGACCATCAAGCGACTCGCTATACAGACGGACGCAGTCGTCCTCACGGGTGAGGGAGGCAACGGTACGAATGGAGCCGGCGGCTTCGCAAGCCATCTGAGCAGAACTCTCGTGGGCGGCCTTGTTGACTTGATCCTTCAGGACGACAACGCGGAGACGAATGTATCCAGCGAAGACAACGGCGGGAATGCAGGCTATGCGGAAATGAGTGAGATATTGCATTGCAAGAGAATGGACGCTAACTTACCAATACCGACGAGGGCGGGCTTCCATGCGTAGGCCAAACCAATGACGGAACCACCAACAATGGTTGTTAACGATTGCACGATCGTGCCCAGAGTGATGCCGGCAAGACCATTGATCTTCTGCGGATTGTCGCTCAAATTCGCGGTGAGAACGCCGGTGGCGTTTTCATCCCGATCGAAATACTCGACGTCCTGGCGCAGAACTGCTTTGAAAGTGAGCGAGCGGAGTTTGGCAGTGATGATGGCAGCAGAGGCGGCAAAGTTGAAATTTTGCGCTGCAACTGCGAAGGAGGAGACGATGGCAATCAGGAAGAACCAGAGGGCATTCCGGTCGCCGTCGTGGCGTCTTTGCTGATTCGACGGGTCGGAGAAGCCAGCGATACCTTTACCGAAGACGATACCGAGGGCAGGGAAGACCATTCCAGTCACTACCAACGAGTCAGGTCCAACATTTTGAAGAACAACGAAAACAAAGACCTACTCATCGCAAAGAAAGCCCCAATAGCATACCTTGGCAGACTGGCCTTGTTCAGAAGGGCAATGCGCTTGAACAAGTACGGCATGCTATAATCGTCCTCATTGATATCATACATCGCCTTCTCTTCATTCCGTTGCTTCACAATCTCGCTAGCGAGAGATTGCTTCGTGTTTTGGCGGCCAAGAGGGATCTCCTGTTCTGCCTCCTTCTCCATATCCTTGCTCACGGCTGACCCTGGAATTGTGTCTTCATCTTCCGGAGTGGTGGTGGCATCCTGCTCGCGACTCTCCCGGAGCTTCTGTGCCTGCACAAGCTTGGAGTAGGCTCCGCCCTCGTTGGCCAGGAGCTGATCGTGCGTGCCCTGCTCAAGAACAAGACCCTCACCCATCACGAAAATTTGATCCGCGTTCTTGATCGTCGATAGACGATGCGCAATCGTGACCGTCGTGCGTCCAGCCGCAGCCTTGTCGAGAGCATCCTGCACAATTCCCTCGCTCTGCGTGTCGAGAGCACTCGTCGCCTCATCGAGCAAGAGAATACGAGGGTCGGAGACGATAGCACGAGCTATGGCGACACGTTGCTTCTGGCCACCAGACAGGAGGAAACCACGCTCGCCGACCATGGTGTCGTAGCCATTGGGCAGCTTGGTAATGAAACCATCAGCATTGGCCTTGATACACGCCTCCTTGATGAGCTTGAATTGTTCATCAGGCGAGGCATGCTCCCAGGGAGTGTTGATGAGACCGTGTGCGACATTGCCGTAGATGGTGGTCGCAAAAAGCGTGGGTTCCTGTGACACAAGACCAATCTGCGAACGGAGCCACTTGAGGTTAAGGTCTTTCACGTTGACGCCGTCCATTTTGACAACACCAGATAGTGGGTCGTAGAAACGTTCGATGAGCGAAACAATCGTCGACTTGCCAGAGCCGGATGCACCGACGAGAGCGGCAGTCTTGCCAGCAGCGAAGCTGATGTCCAAGCCTTTCACAATCGGGACGTCAGGACGAGAGGGATAGTTGAATTTGACGCCCTCAAAAGTGATTTCGCCGATAACCTTCTCAGGCTTGAGACCGCTTGGGTTAGAGGAGTCAATGCTAGGTACTCGTTCAATGGTCGCAAACAGCTTTGCGGCGGCACCACGACCCTGAGTAATAGCTGTTGTATGTACAGGTCAGTAATCTAGAATGTCCTTAGTAGTATAAAGAATACTGACCTTGCATCTCAGGAGCTAACATAGCCAGTGAAATAGAACCGATGAGGATAGCAAAGAAGACATTGAGAACCTGACCGGCATTGGCTACAGAACAACATGAGTAAAGTCTTAGGAGCCATTACGGATGCCGAGAATGTTACTTACCATGGCCGTCGTTAATCAGCGTTGTACCGAAATCGAACGCCAACGCGTAAGAGGAGTAAATGATGAAAAAGAAGAAACCAAGGCCGATGCCATGGAAGATGGCCGCCTTTGAGTCAACTTTGCGGGAGCCCTCAATATGAATATCGTAAAGCGACGCCATGGTCTTCTGAACACCGAATGCCTGTGCGGTGCGGACCGTCGAAATGACCTCCTCAGCGAGCGTGCCACCCTCAGCGACGTGCCTGAGCGACTCCCTTAAGGAAAATGAGAACCTGTGTCTCTAGAAACATCAAAGGCGACATACTGCATGTACCGTGAGACGAATTTGTTCATGATGCCCCCGGCGATAGCGACGCATGGAAGGATCGACGTCATAGCAAGTGCCAGACGCCAGTTGCGCGCATACGCGAGAACGAAACCGGTGATGAAGGCAGCGAACAACTGAGCCACGAGCGCGACCTTTTCGGATGTACCTTGCTGGACCAAGTCTATTAATTCATTGGCGTTAGCAGGGCTAAGTTGAAAAGGTGCTGAAAGGACATACGGGTATCCGTCTGAATTCGCGTCGCAACTTCACCAGCACCAACATTGTCGAAGTACGCGATATCTTGCCGCAGGACAGCTTGGAGGTAGCGCTCACGAATACGTTTGGCGTTTACCTCTCCTGTGTAGACCCAGATATACATGTATGCGTACGTGCAGACGAACATGCCAACACCTGGGTTTTCTCAGCAACATATCACTTATCAACCATTATGAAATGCGCACCGATGTAAACCAAGTACGACGCATTAAGCGCTGCCGAATGACGGAACCCAGCCGCGGCCACACTAAGTACCTGTTCAGTCTCTTGTATAGCCGTTTGGTTTCCTGACTGCATCGCGGCCTGAGCTAAGGCCAAGTCCGTCCCGAAGCCCACAAAGTCTTGAGTGAGTCGTCCAAAGAGCAAACTCATCAGGGGCTTATTCATGCATCAGCATCACGGTGGGGTGAGTGAGATTGGGAGTGGATGTACCTGAGCAGCACCGGCGAGAATCGCATTGAAGATGCCAATGACGTTGATGGACTTCTCAAACATGGTCGCATATCTAGGCAGAACCAGGTTATTTGCGGCCTAAGGAAGGTAGTGATTGGCTCACCTGAACATGGAGAAGAATCCGACTGGAGGAATCTGCTCGAAGGGCGTGCTAGTGGTAACGGCGACATCCTCGCCCTTCTCGTTTTCATCCTGAGACGAGGGCACGTCCTTGTCCTTCTTGTGACCAAAGAGGCCGCGCTTGGTCTGCTTCTCGCCTTGAGAGTTGGTATGAGTCTGTTCCGACATGGTGGTCAAGAGACCTGTGAGACTCGGACAGTTGGCGCCCGCTAAAGGGGTATCCCGGCTTCTGGAAAGCCTAGAGAGTGAGAGAGAAGCCTAAGGGAAGGGTGGTAGGAGTATGAGGACGCTCCCCACCACCATCCAAGTTGATATATGACGCCGTACGGGAGATCATGGCCCGTGTAGTCAAATGTATTATGTCAAACACGCCGGCGCCTCCCGCTTCACGAGCGTTCCATGGCGGACCTGTCAATACGAAGTCCCTCGTTGACAGTTGGCAGGTCGCCGACGTTGTCTTGGAATGAAAATCAGCCGAGTCCCTTCATCTTGCTGTGATACGGAAAATGGATCGTGTTTATGTTCCAATGCTCAAGAGATTCTAGCGTCGATTTCCAGTTTATGCACTATGAAACCACGGTGAGCCACTCACCGGCAGCCCCGCATCAGATCAGGCTTTCTTGAGAACACCACTTTCCAAGTTTAAACTACTTGGGATGGATCTTGCCCTGGATCGCTCCGACGGAATGGGCTTCCATCGGAACTCGGGAGCTCGGTGTTCATAGCGACCAATTGGTTGCCCTATTGAAGCGTGGGTAGTAGGCCTAGGTGTAGGCAGCCACCGCAGGAGGGAAGCTTGGGCTGGTCCAGACGTGCGTTGACAATTCTTCTTCCAGGTGTCTACCAGGTGTCCTCCAGGCAACTACCATCTCGTATTGGAGACTGCAATGCAGAGGGTAAACACTATGTCATAGCCATGATCAATAGCCATCACACGCGTCATGCTATCTGCCCCTCGAAGGTGAATATGACAGCCCGGGCCCCGGCGACCTGAGCATCGTCAAGTGTCGGCCCGACCGCAAATACATCAGAGACCATGTTTGCCGTCATAGATAGCGGGTGCTTACTACGAATGTCGCAGACCGTGACTTATCACCTTTTACCAGTTGTGCACATACGTTTGACACTTCATCCTTGCGCGGTGGATTGAAAGAGAAAGCCTCTGAATGAGTGCTCGGTCCAGCATGACCAGTGAGCACGCTCACCAAACGTTATTAGGTGAATGCTTATTCTATCAGTAATGTGTCTGGCGTCCATCTCGAGCGGTCTACTGGTCAATCCACTGACTTGTGTCGAGGTTCCGGTTCAATTTTCCGCCAAATGGCAAGAGGTGACCTTCGGTACCAATCATATGTCCGGGAACGGCTGGTAACTGGTGCTATTTAATGAAGAACTGATGAGTCGTGATGCCGAGTGAGTAACGACGTGAGTCAGTAGGACTTCTCTCATTATGTCTGTTTTCGCGTTGTGCTATGACCTCTGGATCCGTTATTTGTCATAGCCAGTATATATTAGTCTAAATTGGGGAGAGTTACTTTTTGGTGTCAATGCTAATGTGCCAAAATTTTATGTTAGTAATTTGACTGTTGTAGATGTTAGTGGGTCCATAATTATAGGGTTGCTGACGATCAAATTTGCTTCCGAAAAGAGCCGCTCTGCGTTAGCTACTTATTGATATCGCAAGGGTTGCGCAAGGGCCAAGACTGCAATCGATGCTCGCACAACGGGAGACAACGGGTCTCCACGACCCTGGCAGCTAGAGGTTGCTGAAGCTCACACCGAATTGAGTGTTTTTGTATGACCCTGTAACTAACGTGATAGCGCATGCGCAGCTTTGAAGGAGTTCTGAACTTCATCATCAGCAAATACCCACCAAGCCGTCTTTAGATCGCAAATAGAACAGATTGGCGAGTATCCTAGCGATCAAGAAGTCCAGCATACAATCGAGCGAACCAATAAAAATTCGTTGCGTGGGATGAGAGTGGTTCGGGTCCGCTACGAGGACGTAAAAATGGCCCCTGTGCAGAGCCGACCGTTGCCTAAGTAATACTAAGAGCACGTGCGCCGGGGTACAAAGACTGCACACTTTTCAAGTTTGACCACGACCACAGAAACCCACCAACGACACCCAGTTGAAAGCAGGCTTTCAGTCCTCTCCTTCATCACTTTACTTACTAATAATTTTACCTCGACCTACCGCTCTCACTCGAACACACTATGTTGAAGAGTCTCGGCAAGCTCAACAAGAAGGCCTCCTCCGCCACTCTTGGTGCCTCAGACGAGAACCCCCGCTCGACTACTCCTACTCCCAGCAACCCCGGCGGCGTGCCCCGTAGTGGTCTCCTTACCATCCATGTCATAGGCGCTGAAGGTCTTGCTGTGCCAAGCGACAAATCAGTCCCTGAAGCTGTTCAAGATGCACTTTCCACGCAGCAAGCCAAAGCTGCTGCAAGCGTGTCGCCCGCCACCGTCTCTCAGAACCGGAAGAAGCACGGAGCAAAGGACAGTGTCCAGCGCGCCCAGTGCTGGTGGCTTCCGTACATCGTCATGGAGTTCGACGTCAACCAGATACTCATCACACCTTTGGGCGGAGAACTTGAAACGCCCCTGTACATGTACCAGGCCCAATTGTTCGTTTCCTTGGCATTCAGTTCCTTTTTTTCATGCTCACCAGCATTTTATGATACCTTTAGTGATGTCTCGCGAAGCTCAGAAGTCTCGATTCAGTGCTACCTCCGTAAGGAGCAGCCAAAGGCTCAGACCGATGGTCTCGCGGACGACATGGGTGATGATGTGTACCTGGGTGGCTTCACCTTCACGCCAGACTTCGACAACATTGGTCCTGTTGCTCAAAATGAGTGGTTCGATCTCACAGGTGGTCAGGGTAAAATTCAGATAGGTATCAGCCACCAGCCAAGCACTGTCAGTATCAGTATTATGAACATTGACGTGTATGCTAATCCATCCTAATACAGGGTCGCTCATTAACGATCGATGACTTTGAGCTCATTACCGTGATTGGGAAGGGCAGCTTTGGCAAGGTACAGCATGATTTGCCATCGTCTTCAAGACGTTACTGAGTCGATTTCAGGTCATGCAAGTACGCAAGCGGGACACGATGCGTATATACGCCCTCAAGACCATTCGCAAAGCACACATCGTCGATCGCAAGGAGATTACTCATACACTTGCCGAGCGTCTGGTCCTCGCGCGGATTAACAACCCGTTCATCGTGCCCTTGAAGTTTAGTTTCCAGTCGGAGCAGAAACTTTATCTTGTCCTTGCGTACGTTCGCACCACCTATTCACTTCATTGCATACTGATCTCAAGATAGGTTCGTGAACGGAGGGGAGCTGTTTCATCACTTACAACGCGAACAGCGCTTCAGCGAGGAGCGTTCTCGGTTCTATAGCGCCGAGTTGCTACTGGCGCTTGAGCATCTTCACGATCTCGATGTTGTCTATCGGCAAGTGTTTACTGTTGCTGTGGTTATGTATGTTTTAACCTCTCTGCGTACAGTGATCTCAAGCCCGAGAACATTTTGCTCGACTACACTGGACACATCGCCTTGTGTGACTTCGGCTTATGCAAGCTGAACATGAAGGACTCGGACACGACCAACACTTTCTGTGGCACGCCTGAGTACTTGGCGCCCGAGATCTTGAACGGACATGGATACAGTCAGTGGTTTTCCCTTGATGTATACTACATGCGTTGAACTTGTTGCAGCCAAGGCCATTGACTGGTGGACCCTTGGCGTTTTGCTATTCGAGATGCTTGCTGGTCTTCCGCCATTCTATGATGGTCAGTACTTCTTCGCTTCTTCGTTTCCGTGATTAACAATCTGGTGCAGAGGTAACCGACAAGATGTACCAGAAGATCCTGCAAGACCCTCTCGTCTTCGGCCCCGAGATTAGCGAGCAGGCGCGCTCCATTCTCACAGGTCTGCTCACTCGCGACCCAACCAAGCGTCTCGGCACCAATGGCGCGGAGGAGATCCGCAAGCACCCGTTCTTCGCGGACCATATCGACTTCGACAAGCTCCTGCGTAAGAAGATCCAGCCGCCGTTCAAGCCGAGCGTGTCGAGCCCGGTCGACGTGTCCAACTTCGACACCGTGTTCACTGCGGAGGAGGCGGTGGACAGCTTTGTCGATGGAAGCCAGTTGTCGCAGACTGTACAGGACCAGTTTGCGGGTTTCTCGTATGATGGCTCTTACATGCCCGTCGATGCTTAAGGGTTTCTCGGTTTTCTCTTCTATTTCACACTCCCCCACGTTCGTTTCCCAAACTAAATCCACATCAAGCTCTACCTTACCTCACGTTATATTACCCACAAGGATGGATACGCATGTCTTATAAATATTATTACTGGCCTCGTCTCACAGCACCTATAACTAAACTCACACTCCTTCGTCGTTTACTGTCCTGTTGCTCGTCATTTGTCTTAGATATCCACCCGTTACTCGCCTCGGATACATCTGTAGTGTAGATCACGCATTCATTAATAGTTGATTGAACGCATTTTATAATTGGAGGGAATTTGAACACCCTAGTTTACTAGTACTACACAACATTATACTTCCAGCAGTTTACCGTCAGGAGACCAAGCAGGGTTGTTGGTGTTTATACCACCAACGCCTCCCTCGTAGACGTGCTCCAGGGTCAGTTCCACGCTCGGAGACACAGGCTCGGCTTCCATGGACCAGAGTGCTATAGCGACAGTACTATGAAGGACGTTGAGTATGTGAGCGCTGTCAGCAGCCGGTTGATATAATCACTTACTTTGTCCCATTGTAGTCGAGGATGCCTTCATGCACCGGAAATTTGTACTGAGGGCTTAAAAGATTTGGTGACCTTTCATCCCTTTTGGCAAAAGTAATGACGACTTACCCAAGATTTGCAATCATGTGTCCCATCATCCACCCATTCACGAAGAGTCGAAGGCGGTAAGCCTGTCCCATGGTCGAGTTATCAAACGTAAACGCCATCGGAATGTCGTACCCCTCCGGAACATTGAGGTTGAACGTCGTCACGAAGAAGACGCCAGCTGCACTGTCAGGTAGCCCCTCAGAGAGGTCGCGCGACTCCCAAAACGAAGTATTGAAGCCCGGGAGGTGCCAGCCCATCCTCTCGCCATAGAGGCCACCTTCGTTTAGTACACCACGTAATGTGTCAGGGAAACTAGCTTGGGGATGAGTGAATAAAGATGAGCAGAGATGTCTCATTTACTTGGTGTAGCCGCCGACTTTGCCTTGAACCATCCAAGGACCCAAGTTGCCCGAGTTGAGCTCAAAACCGCGAATACCGCGAGGTGATTTCTCCTCGTTTACTCCGTCTGCGAGGATTAACCAGTGAAGTTCAAAGATAGTATAATTTAGGGTCACCAACATCCAGTTTCGTCAAGACCCATGTTATCCTAGATGTGTGCTCTTAGCTTGGGACCCGCGTATACATCAACGGTATTGGTTACCTGCACAACCGTGATGACATTGTTGTATCTTGGATCGTAGTTCAAGGATCCGCTCGGGAAGTAGAATGGTGCATCCACTTCCTCAACCAGGTTCGTACCATAAGACGAGCTGTCGTTCAAGTTCCAGTCAAATGGGATGCTTCTTACGCCGGTGCAACAACCTTCTTACTTTCCGTATGAAGTGTTCATGAAGACGTCGTTAATTCATACGCTAGCAGCAAACGCTACCAGGTACTGTGTTCGAATCTTTAAAAAAATGCGAAAGTAAGGCGATGCAGCTTATCATCTCCGCCATTTATGGATAAGTTGACATATTCAGTACCTTCGTTTGCTTCGAAGTGTCCTCGCCAGAGGACTGTTTTCACAGCTGTCAAGATGAATTTAGCAACAACTACTTCAATGATCAAGAATCTTGCCTAAAACTCACAAGTCATAGTCGCATCCATACCAGGTCCTTCCATCACCATACAAGGGAGCAACTGGGATGTTCGTGGAAGTATGGTTCACAAGCGTCCAGCTGGCATCCGAGAAGTTGCTTTGTATCTCCGGCAGGCAGTTCGCGTACTTCCAGTTGGTCAAAACTGGGGCAGTAAAGTTGGGGTCAGTAAACGTGAGGTGACCGACAAAGCCACCACTGCTTGTCAACATTTTCGACGCGGGCGCATCGTTTATGATCGCCTCCCCGTTCCAGGTAATGGCGGTCACTTGCGGAGGAGCTACTACGGAAAGGGTTATGCTTTGATTGAGGTCACCGCGAAGTGCAAGCGTGATATCAGATATTGTTGCATTGCGGACAAGGTAAGGACCCGCGACAAGCACCGATGTGTTCGTTCCAAATTGCCAGTAGTTGGCGAAGTCGTTACTAGTATCATTCGAGGCGATAGTTGGTGCCCAGAACGAGCCGGCAGTGTGAGTGTCCGCGAAGAGGATAAGCTGGTTCTCTGAATCCCAGATAGTTTCGATACTAGTAACGCCAGGGAGAATGGTGATAATGGTGTCGCTGCTGCTTCCCCGAGTGTACTTTACCAAGCTTGTGTTGGACTGGTCAGCAGTGCCCGTAAGAAAGACTGCAGCCTCGTGCTCTTGATCCGAGTCCCCATACAGGAGAATCACGTCTCTGTTAGCGATTTGGCTTGCATACATAACCTGTGCCGTTGTGAAGAGAATCCGCGAAGATTCTCCAAAAGGATAATTCGAGATAACAAGTTTCGATTGTCTCCTAGTCTGCATCCAATGGTCGAGTGTTTGGTGGGAGTCGGGTAGTGATGGTAACTCTTTCCATATGAAGAAGGCAGCACTCTCGATATAGAAGGCGTGATGGGCAGCAGGCTCCAACTGAGACAGATAGAGACAGCGTGACGAATGTACTATAGCATCCGTGGCGAGTAGCCTGATGTGGGCGAGAGCTCGAGTAGTAATGACAAGTCTTATTCACCACCGTCGCTCAAGTTAATGGAAGAACTGTTTCGATTCGCATCGGATGAAGGGCACAAGTACCTACGCAACGTTCTCAAAGGATGCATGCCATACGACACGCACGATTACCAATTGGAAGCTATCGGGCATGTCCTCGATGGTCGCGATGTCCTCTGCATCACGCCAACAGGATCAGGCAAGACTGACGCCCTCATCCGTCTCATGCACATCGCGCTAGCCTTCTCCAAGGATGAGAACCACCCGAAGACCGTCATTACCATCCCGAAAGATCCGGCAATGGTTGTGGTCTGCCCTACCAAGGCTCTTGAGGAAGACATGGTGCGACAGCTGTTTCATCGCACCTCATCCCGCCAGACTGATCTGAACGTGTCAAAGGCTGCTAAGATGATCAAAGCTAAGCTAGAAACCCGTATCATCAACAGCGACACGTTGGGGGAGGCTCGACGAGAGGGAAGGGACTTACTGAAAGAAGCGCAGACAGGGGTCAGTATGATCCTCGTCTCCCCAGAGCAACTGAAATCGAAGAAGTTCCGCCACCTCCTGGATAGTCATCATATCACTCAGCGTATCCTCTTCATGGCAGTAGACGAGGCTCACCTGCTCAATTCATGGGGCCACCACTTTCGAAAGGACTTCCTGCAGATAGGGTTCTGCCGAAAGCAGCTGCCTGCTCGCGTCCGAGTCTTTGCAGCAACTGCCACACTGCGCCCTGGTCAGCCTACCGAGAACGTCATTGGGCTTCTGGGATTCTCCGAATACCATGTTATCCGGCGCTCCAATCTGCGGAGTGATGTACAGCTTCTCATGCGTACGATGACATCAGGACTCAATGGACGTGCCTTCACCGAGCTCAGCTGGCTTGTGCACTCCAGACGGCCAGCAATTGTCTTTTGCACAACTATCGCACTCGGTTTCCGTGTTGCAACGTGGCTGCGGCAGCAGGTTGGGCAAGACCATCAGCGACGAAAGAAGATACGCATGTACAACTCACTGAATTGGTCAAAGTATAACAAACAAACCATGAAGATGCTCTACAAAGATCCCGACGGATGTATTCTTGTCGCAACTAGGGTCCTGGCTCAGGGCATTGATCCACCAAGCATCCGAGACATTGTTGTTCTGGGCGAGCCCGACGACTGCGATGACTATCTTCAAATGCTCGGTCGCGTGAACCGAGCCGGCGCCTTTTCCGATTCCCGGGCTGTCTTCTATATTACTGGAGGTGCGACACAAAAGGCTTCTGCAGTCATGGAGGGTGGAGAAGGCGAGCGGCCAGTAAAGCGTTTGCGGAGGGAAGGGGATGACGGTGGCAAGATGGCGGTCTCAGTGGCCAAGTTGATTGTGGCAGGGTGCAAGGTCAACTCAATTAACGCAATGTACGGAAACCCTACCGGTGAAATACCTTGCCAGTGCGAGTCTTGCATGCTACGACCGGTGAACACCAAGGTAAAGTGCGACTGTAGTGGCTGCATTGTAGATGTATGCAACACAATCAAAGACGGCAAGTAATTAATAGAATGGTTCACATGTGCTCGTGGTTTGCCACGCTTTCTGACTTGTTGATTCTCACAGGACATTCTCACACGGTCGTGTGCTTTTCGTGCCGACCGTGGCTGGAGGTCCATGGCTTCGAGACCGAACTCGGCTTTAAGCCGAGAGAAGTGGTACAGGTTCCGAGAGACAACGTCACGTACGAATGTATCACCGTATTCCTGACCCTTGCGCTGAACAACTGTTTGCAGGAGCCGATTGAAGTACTCCTGCATGAAGTCGAGCCCCATGAAATGCCCTGGCTGCCCCGTCAAGTTAACTAGCATGGCGGTAAGCATTGCATCGTGAAGTTCAGGCGATGATTCGAGTTCCGCTGACACTATGCTTTCGAGCAGATAGTTGACATATTTTGAGTGGCTAGATCCCGCAAACGTGAAGAGCATCAACTGGTATGGCAGCCTAAGTAGTGTTCTGGTTCATTGAATACTAACAACGCACCTTCAGCATTTCATAAACGCGCCCGACGTCACCTTCAGCAGCAGCATATGACGCCTCGTAACATACAAGGGCGTCCCGAATAAATGCGATCGAACGTGCGAGAGCCATATCACCTGCGAAGTCCGACTTGCTATCCGCTGGCTGCTGCACCGGAGAGCCCTCGGGTACGGTGTTTGCCCATTCCTGGTTCGCATTCACGTCGCGACAAGCACGTTGAAGTCCTCGGGTGGATGAGTAAGTGTGATGGAGCTTTTGAGCCAATGCCTCCAAGTCTTCAAAGGTAGGCAACTCGTCCTTCTTCTCGAGCTCTTCGAAATGACGAAACAGATCTTGATTACCAATGCCAAGTATGTGGCCCCAGCAGTCGAGTGTCCGAGCCTTCAGTACGGTGGTAACAAGGTTCATACCGGGATAGAAGTCAACCTTCTTGAGATCGGAAGGGGTAGGTCTTCCAATTTTGGCAGCGTTATGACCAAGCGTTGACGGATCGTTGTTGTTCTTGTCTCCCCAGTGGTGTTCGACGAGCCGGCTGAGGTCTGTCCACAAAGTATGCCACAGTGCCAGCAGAGGTTGAAGAATCTCGAGTTTCTCGAAGGGCGTGTCATGGTCCTGTAAGTACTTCTGCAGCTGAAGTGTTTTGTCGTAAGTGAGACCGTCGCCGCAGGTGAACAAGAGCCGTTCGTCGAAGTCCTCGGGAAGCTGTCCAAGCTGAGCTAGCATATCGACAAAGGTATCCTTCAGCTCAGTGGTGACCGTCTCGTTTTTGCTGACTGGAGCCAACGGGTAGACCTTGTTGGCCTTCGCAGGGAGTGGTTTGATGGCACACCGCGTACGGAATATTTCCGAGACACGATCTTTAAGGTGATGAAGCTGTGGCACCTCGTTAACAAGCAGGAGTATCCAGTGCGTGGCAAAGACATTGTCGACATGTGCGTGGTTGACAAAATCCAGCAGCTGATTGGTATTCACCGTCCTACGCTCACTCTTGGCCTGCCGCTCCGCTTTGTCTTCAAGGTTGAGAGCCTTGACATCGATGCCATGTAGCTGCGCATATGTGCCAGCCACCCCAATAACCATCTGGTCCGTCATCCCCATTGATGAGTAACGTACATCATGTTTGTGATGATGCTGAACATTGTCGAGGGTCAGGACACCAACACTCTCCAGGTCCCGACCTGCACACTTCGCTGCGACCGCTTCCTGAGCAGACAACTCAAGTAGGCTTCGATATACGGTGCTGTAGGCAACACCTGTCCCCTTCCGACTGTTGTGCGTGAAGAGATCATGCGGAACTCCCAGTGCAAAGTCGTATATGCTAGATGTGAGCTGGTGCTTTTGGGAGTGCCATGAGCGCGAAAAGTCGAGTGCGGTGATGCTGCTTAAAGTAATCTAGGCATAATCGTAAGCCATCATCATCATCATCTAGTAGCATTGGTTGACTTACCAACTCAGCAGGCCGTTTACTCCTCACCACCATGACACCGTTCCTCTTGCGTGCCTTGGGAGTAGCAACACTCAAGCACAGCTTGTACATGAGAGGTTGACGCTGTCGGACAGTGTCCGAAATATCGGACATAGTCGTGCTCCCCATTCCACTCCAGCTAAGCTTCTCGCAATCCGTCCCACTGCTGCTGCCTATCTGATTGCCTGATGTCCGTGCTAGGTTCTTCACGCGAAGGCTGCTAGTCTTGTCGGTCGCTTTTGTGGCTTCGCGGATGAGCTCCTCTTCAACGTTCTGGGCTGCAAAAGCCATGAGAGCGGCATGCGCAGGTAGGATCTGTTGGTACGGTGTTTCAAGGGAGTACATGGGCATACTGCTGTCCTTGCCGAATGGATTGCCCATCCAGAGCTTCACAATCTGGCCGACTCCGATCTTCGCATGGCCCCTTAGGAACTTGGATATGTACTGCTTGTGAGATTCGCTTCGCTTGAATGGCGGATGCGAGGTCTCTGCTCGGAACAGGTGGTGTTCCATCTCCCCTAATGTCATGTTGTCAGTGTTCAAGATGGCGAGGATGTCGTCAATTGTGTCCTGCCACGTCCGCTTGGTGGGTTTCTGTTTCTTCTGTTGATGCTGCAATATCCCCCCCGATGTCTTAGACATGTTCTCATCGGTGGGGAGCTTCCGTTTCTGTGCACGTGGAGTATTCTTGGCTTCTCCAGGGGTTGTTGAAACGCGCCATCGTGCAGTTGTAGGTGATGGAGGGTGTGGTAGACTCGGAGACAGTGGGTACATGGGGGTGACTGGTGGGGTTGCTGGCGTAGGAGTAGAAACCCAGCGGATGAAGCCATCTCCTGAGACGAACTGACTTTGGCGTGACGGACTGAGGACGTTCTTCATTCCGAGACGTATTGAGCACCAGTCCTCGCAATTCCGAGACGCGACGCGACGCGTTTGTTTACCCAGATGCCCCATCCCGTGACTATTACGTGTGACTTATAGTGACCATCAGTGACGAATGGTGACCACGTCAGTAGTTGACACCTCTACTCTCCATATGGCGTGGACTCGTCCGTGTATAGAAAATGATTGATCTCGTTACCAGACTCCCACTAAAGGCGTGACCATTGAAAGCAGACCTTTATTGTGAGGAACGACTATCTTCCGTAAACTATAAAGTTCTGCCTACGGGAGACTAATTGTCTCCCATTGAGCTGGATGTTCCGTGCAACTTGAGGAATCTCCAGTGTGCCGTCAGGTGTGGAGACCTTCATTGTAAAGTTCACCAGAGACCTAGGCACCAGCTTAGATCAGTACTTTCGATGTAGCCCAATGAAAAACAGTATACGTGGACGTAAAGTCGTTGTGTCGTGTGATATAGAACGAGGTGTTCGTATCAGGATTATGCAACTTGATAGGTAGCGTAGACCGTCGAATTATTCGAAACCCAGACAGCATCAGAGGTAGTGTTCCAACCCAGTCAGTCTTGTAAAATGTGGGAGAGCTACGCAAAAAGATATTCTGACGCTTCAGTTCATCAATGCATCATACATGGAATTCAGGGTTCTGTCTTCAGATATAGCGGCGCCATAGTCGTAAGACGCTATGACCTCGTCAGAACGCCCATTTGGGTCAATGGATTGCTCGTACTGAAGACCCCAGGATAAGGAAGGCTGCCCCAGGATATCCCACTGCTTTAAATCAGTTTGACAATTTAAGGTTGGTGCAAGGGAACCCTACCCGAAGGTCATGTAGTAGTTCAGCACTTTAGCGTTTGCCGCCCATAAATATTAAATTGTGATAAAACATGTTCTCAAATTGTGCATTTGTCAGTTCCTGGCATCCTTCGTATTCTGAGTGCCATCGAGCATGAGTGACAGATTAACACCCAATTATGTATGACACAAACACTCACGAGCTGATCCGGGGCCCCAAGCAATCTGAGAGCCAGCTTGGAACTACAATAGGGGTGTCGATAGCAATTGCTACGAGTAAAGTCCGCGCGCCTCGGGGAAGTCAAACGGTTGCCATGGGTTGGCAAAGCGCGAATGTAGGGCGCCCGTCGAAGTGGTCGAGGGATAGATCCTTCTACCGATGGTGTGTGGTTTATGGAAGTCCGGAAAGAGCCGGGCCGACGATGACATACAGCATCCCAGTCGTACCCACCGCTCGATTTCACCTGACTTCACCGGTCACCAGTACCGAGCTTGAGCTGTCCCGTCCTGCAAGCGGCCCTTTACTCATGGCAACCACTGCTCATTGGATTCGCTCAGACTACGACCCGAAGGATAGGGAACGGCTTGAAAGAGAGACCGGTCAACTTCCCGTCAAAGGGGCAGATGTAGACGAAGCTGACCCATGGGAGACTGAAACGACCATCTTTGCTCGACGACGTCAGGCCCCGCCATCGTTCGTACCGGCCATTGTGCCATACGAGGCTCTCTCACTAGGCTCTGAATTACCAAATTTCCCCGCAAAAAAGCGCTTGCTCTCAGAAAACAATTCTGCGGGATGGTATCGCAGTATTATCGCGGAGTCGTCTCAGGATCCACCTTATATCAACACCTCTTATCCTTCTCCCCTCTTCCAGCGGCCATCCAGTGCACCCAAAGAACCTCTGGTCTCCAAATCCGAGAAGACTACAAAGAACAACTGGTTCATCAAACGTGCTTTACGATCCGCACCATCTACGGTGCCAAGTACCCCGCCTCCAACTTTAGCTGACATACTTGATAAAGAACCTCCCCCGAATTCCTTTGACAAACGTTTCGTACCACCTGTATGGCTAGCCATTGGCCCTTCCAATAAAGGCTTTACAATGCTTGAACGTAGTGGCTGGAACGAGGGTGAAGGACTCGGGGCCCATGTCCACAATGCTGCGGGATCCATAACATCAGGGAAAGGGGAATCTAAGGCACTGCCCACTTCCCTCTCCACAGATGGCCAGGAAATCATTGATCTGACACTCACTGACTCCGATTCGGAGGAGTCTGTAGTGGACGTCGACTCGTTACCTGACGCAAGCACCCCTGTACTAGTTGGAGCATCGGCCAGATCAGAGCGTCAACCCATACATGACCAAAGAGCCTTACTTACCCCTCTTCCCACCGTTCTCAAGTCAGACAGGCTCGGGATCGGACTCAAAGCCAAGACGGAGGGCCCATATAAACAGTCTAAAAAGCGCGTCACCCATGGCCAGGCCGCTATGGCTGCTCACATCAAGGCTTCAAGAGAGTTGCAGCTCCAGAAGGCACAGATTGGTCGGGGCAAGAGAGGCTTTGCGAAACAGCGAAAGAGAGAGGAGGACGAGAGGAGACAACTACTTGCCGATTTTAACTCGTAAATTTTCCCTTTTGTCATTGTACAATAAGCTTTCAATCTTCAAATCCCACAGATTGGCTGCATTAGTTCGCCGCCAAAGTAGATGGAGCTCGGAAGTAGGCTTTATGGCATGCTGTGAGAAGTTTGCTCATTTTCCGGTGAGGTCTTCGTCCATCTATTGTTGATCATAAGCAGTACTAGTCCTAGTCAACCTTCGGCCTCTTGATAGGGTCAACGTCAAGGGTACTAACGTCCTTGTCGACGCTCGGAATGAGATCCCAACGAACGCGTATTAATGGATGCGCTCAGCTACTTGGATCTGGAAACCCGTTATCTTGCCTCCACGCTGAGGCGTATCGGCTAACTCATCATTCAAAAGCTTCTGACCAACGTCCGATACTACTTGCCCCGAGCCATTCTCGCAGCCAAGACTCATCATGCCTCAAACCAGGTACCGATTACGTCGACGTCACTGATCCCGTTCCTCAACACCTTCCTAGCACTTCTTGGAGGATCTACGATTACATTGTTGGTTGACAACTACTTCTCCGGATTAAGATATATAAACTGGCATAAAGTAACGACCTGTAACGACCGTACGCATGACGGACGACCACTGGTGACGACCGCCGTCGTACGTCAGATAAAGTTAATTATAAACCATATATACATTTCTCCCGCCCCTTCCTTCCGTTCTTGCCTCGCGGAGAACGTAACGGGGGTCACGGGAGGATAGCTTCGCCCCATGTGCCCTTCGTCGGTTCGCAGTGCACGTCACGAACATACATCCTCAGCCATTGGACCATCTCCTTGCTGATCTGGGGACACCGTGTGATGTCTATGCACAATAATTGGCAGGGAACGAGGGCATGATTCGGCAATGAAGGCTCCGATGAGATCTGAAGTCGTGCGGAGGCAGAAATGGATGTTGCTTCTGAAAGGAGAGGAGCAAAGAGATCCGAAGTGGATGTTCGCCCAGATAGACGGCACTCCACCAGGTCGCGGAGGTCTTCCCATTCTATCGACGTGCAGCCGTCGAGGCTCAGAGTCTTCAGCTTGGGACATATCCACGGACACGAGTGAGGCGGATTTCCTAGATTCTAAGTGAAACATGTTAGATATTGATAGCACACTCCTACGGCTCTGAATTACATACCCTCAACACGAAGCAAGAAACTTCCGTCATGTCGACCAACTCCAGCGTAAGCAGTGAATCAAGACTGCTGAGAAGACCGACAAGTTTCTGCTCATCAAAAGAGCAAGAATCGATGCGAAGGTGGGACAGGGGGAGGGATGTACGAGATTGTTGTTGCAGTTGCTCAAGTATCGGGGTGAGATTATCCAAAAATGACATAACCAAGACTTTGAGGTTTGGGAAGGACAGACGGCTAAGAATTGACCTCGTCCTACTCCATCCGCAGTAGTGCAGGGACAGCTTCGTCAGCCGTGAGAGGTCAACAGTGGCCTGCGACCTGAACTCGCGTTCAAAAGTAGCGACTTCGTCGGCATCGACGTCGGACATGTGGCGAAGGACTAGCTCCTCTAGCTTGGGGCAACTGCGAAGGATATCCAACAACGTCCCAAGTGACGGTGCACACTCTTCCCAATACCCATCGAGTTGCAGCACTTTTAGATCGCACAATATACGCCGATCCCATCCGAAATTGTACGATGCGAAGTCGCACGAGCGGAGTCGAGGAGTATAGCCATTGAACAGAGAAAAACTCTGACTTGGCTCAGCCACCTCCTCCAGTGAGTTGAGAACGCGTATTGACACGGTCTCAAGATGAGGCGCACCCTCTTGCCAGTGCGCTAGCGCAGAATGTGCATGAGTGCGATTAGACACGCTGAGACGGAAGGAACGCGCACGCCAGAGCGCAGACCGGAAGAGATCCATCGCGCCCACAATGTTGGCAGTAACATCACTACCCCATTCACCAGGGCGAGGGCCGAAGTTGATCGTGATGTCCAGTGGGACTGACTTTGATCGCGACAACCTCCGACTCGCCTTCTCGAGCGAATCATGCGGCCCAATGACGATATTCGACCAAAGTTCCGGCGTATTTATCACAACGTCCTTCCAATACCGCGAAACTAGCATCAATGTAGACACCAGCACCGTGTCATCGCCGACGTTGAACACTCCAGCGACGAAGATCAAACCCAGGAGCTCTTCGGGAAGGTTTTGAATAGGTGACTGAGAGCGTACGACGTGGTTTAGTTGCTGTTCCAATTCCCTGCGCTTCTCTAACAGCGATGCCATCTGTGTGTCAAGCGAATCCAGCGCTTCACGTAGGCGAGGCGCCGAAACGCTCGATGGAGGAGCGGTGATGCTATTTACCTGCCTGGCCAATGACAATGCCGACAGACTAGGGTATCGTTCAGGATGCGAATGCGGGTATACGGGGGAGGTTTTCCCTGAACAATGTGGAGAAGGGGTGGCAGAATTGAAGAAGGGTATCGCTTCGTACGGAGGGGGCGGTGATGATGGCGAGGACGATGCCGAAGAGACTGGACTTGGCGGTCTGGAGAGGAATGGGGGGACATTGTCGATAAATTTCGATTCTCGGCGAGTATACAGCAGAACGCTGTCGTCTCGGGACGGACGCGACAGCATGGTGATACAAGTCTGGGGAGACAATGCAAAGTTAAGCAAGCTGCGAGCTCGTGGGCTCCTTATGAGTGTCGGAGGGGGACGCGCTCCGCGTATTGAAAGGCCCGATGCCTCACGTTGCTGTAGGGTTGACTGGAACAATCAGTTATGAAACCAGGCTAATGTGTCAGGTTAATTGCAATACATTGTCAACGCGGTACACCACGACGCACCTTGTGTCCTCATAGCCGTTCAACACGATTTACACGACGCAATAGATCTTTGGGCGATGCCAATGCTGGTGATGTCGTAATGACCACGACAGAGATTGCTTAAATCAAAAAACAGTATGATAAGAAAAGGACCTGCGAAACGATCGCAGGTCTGGTGGTATGGACTTGTGCACGAGGCCGGGGGGCATGGTGAGATGCATTACTCCACCGGGATAAAGTGTCTTGATTGCATGATGGCACGCTGCAACGTGGGGGGTGGTAGAATAACAGGTTGGACACGAGGAGGACAACGAGGCAGACCAGTCAGCGGCAACGCGCGAACGCCTCTCCGATTATTACTGCGTTTGTTCACACAAGAACATAACAAGGACCGGAACCGGCGAGAGTCCTACAACCTTACTCACAGAACCTCCTTTACAAGGGGAACCCTCCCTCTTTGCTCGGCGCTGGGGCTCTACTTCCCACTAAAATTCTGTTGGTCTAAACTCTAGTCTGTCCATGAGGTTGCACGTAGGAGATAATTAAGATAAGATCCGATCCACTGAACATTGAGATCTTGAGACCTAATCACGACTCTCCAATCGTTCCCTCGATCCATCCGCGCTGCCGCGAAACGAAGCCATAGTAGAAGAACTGGCCGAGAACCTGATCCACTATGAGCTCATAATCCACTAGGTAAGGCATGATACGTACGATCAGATCGAAAAAGACGGTCAGCGCGCTCCCTATATGCAAACAATTTATATCTAAACGACAATCAAAAATCGAGTTAGGCACGCACCTGCCAACCAACTTGAATTTTTAATCAGATAATCTGGGTCCATGGATGCAGCACATATCGACAGGGCGTACGTTGTGTTGCCAAGTATGGCAAACAAGAACAGGCCTGGAGCAAGGCCCTCGCATCGAGTCTTGAAATTTTTCACTTTCGGCAATGACCTTTGAGACCCATTTTCAGTTAGTCGGTGCAAGAATACTCACATATTTGAGGGATCCGAGATCCAACTGTCATCGGAACAGGTCAGTCATTCAACGTTCAACCTTCCTACAACGGTCATCAATATGAATACGCACGGAAAAGGATAGCGCTTGTCCATCCTATGATCTGAACTTCCCACTCGACCCCTGCCTTTCCCTCAGACAGGGATTCAAGTGCTTGAGGTCCTTGCTGGCGGCCTTGAAGACTTTCACTAATAAAATATGCGCCGACACCAGTGAGACAAACGAAAACCACTGCAGCGGTGTATTGAAAGAAGATCTTCCAAGCAGATGGCCGCCTGTCTTGGAGGGGCAAAATGGAGATCCCTATAAGGGGGTCTTCCTCCGTGGGCGCCGCTGGAGATGTTAAGCGTTGTCGAGACTTCCACCGGTAGTAGTAGACCTGTAGGAGGAGCGTAGAGTCGCAGAGGGTGTACTGAAACAGCCTCAGTCTAATGTTGTGCTTGCCATAGGCGGACGGTCATCACTCACGTAGACACCGAGAATGACGACAGTGGGCAAAAGGCCGCCCATAATCGCGCCTATGACGTTACACAAATCGCCGGCGAGCCATATGTATACGAAGAGAAGCGACAGTCCTTCCCCGCTTTGCAGCTGATAGGTCTCTATAATTTGAGGGGAGTAAACGATAACCCTGGCAAAGGATGAGAAAATTCAAGGGGTCCTTATCAGACGCACATACCAGCATGCGATAGATATCCAGCCCAGCTGCCTTACAAGTTAAGAGGATTTCTGAGGATAAAATAAAACCTTACGACGCTGCTAGCAGTATCGCCTGTTATGATCATCGCTGCCTCCAACGCGCCGTGTTGACTGTAGGATGATAGAGGGGTCAACGTTGTCGACACTTGGTCGAAACTTCGTACTGTCAATGGAATTCTTTGTCACGTGCTAGCCGATCCGACACGGCATGTGTGCCGTTTTTGATGCGGCTTGGGGAAGAACGCATATTCGCTCACTCGACACTCACTCATTCACCATGGAGGGAGGACAGGACGCATTCAGACGCTTTGCTCAGCAGGTCCAACGCGCAAGCCAGCAAGGAGGTGGGCTTCCCCCAGGTGGCGGGAAGCTGTTCGCTGGAGGTGGTTTGCTCGTGGCATTGGTTGTCGGTGGAATTACTCTGAACGCGAGTTTGTTCAACGGTGCGTATGCATATGCCGGTCTCATGTGTTCTTTCCACTTATTTTCATGTCAGTTGACGGTGGCCACCGAGCCATCAAGTATACGCGGTATGCTTACTCAGCCATCCGTATGCGCACTCATGCTCACGTCTATGCAGTCTGTACGGTGTCAAGGATGACGTCTATGCCGAAGGAACTCACCTCAGGGTATGGGCATCGGATAGAGACCGTGATGCACCGGCTGAACTCTTTTAGGTACCATGGTTTGAGCAACCCATCGTATTCGACATCCGTGCAAAGCCCCGGTCTGTTGCGAGCTTGACTGGCACGAAAGGTATGCGGCAGAGCCCTTGTAGTCTCATCGGGTATTGAGCGACCCAAGACTTACAGATGGTCAACATTACGTGCCGTGTCCTATCACGGCCGTCGATCCAGTCACTACCCCAAATTTACCGTGAATTGGGCAAGGACTATGACGAGCGCGTTCTCCCTTCTATTGTGAACGAGGTCCTTAAGAGTGTCGTTGCACAATTCAACGCCAGTCAACTGATTACGCAGCGTGAAATGGTACACTTCCCCTTCTCTCCTGAGTGAAGTCTCTTATGGAACCACCCCTGAAAGGTTTCCCGACTCATCCGCGAAAACTTGACGAGCCGGGCACTACGCTTCAACCTTGTCCTTGATGATGTTTCAATTACCCACGTAGCCTTCTCTCCCGAGTTCACCCATGCTGTCGAGGCCAAACAGGTAACGATTGTCCATGTATTTTGAGACTCGAAACTAATAACTCGACAGGTCGCTCAACAAACGGCACTTCGTGCGGCCTTTTTAGTAGACCAGGCCATCCAGGAGAAGCAATCTATCATTGTGCGAGCACAGGGTGAGGCCCGTAGTGCGGAGCTCATTGGTGAGGCTATGCGGTCGAATAAGGGGTTCTTGGAGCTGCGTCGCCTTGAGGCTGCTCGTGAGATAGCGAATGTCTTGCAGACCTCTGGTAACAAGGTTATGTTGGATTCGCAGGGGTTGCTCTTGAATGGTACGTCCTTGCGTTTTCTACAGGCAGCCTGTCTTATTAACGCTTCGCAGTGACTGGAGATGACACGAAGGAGTTGTTGAAGGTCAAGAAGTAAATTGCTTATATCACGGCCAATACTTACGTCTGGCGGCGATTACTGCTAATGATACAATTGTGCATTCTCATAATCATACAAACCTTATGACCTACTGAAGGTCCCTGTGTTCACACTTCAGACGGGTAGAGAAAAGCTACTCTAAAAGCTTTATTGCTTGCAGGATATTATACAAAAGGTAATACGATTGCAAGGACATGCAAGTGGCAATGCGGGAGGTCAACGACAGATTAAATAAAGAATGCAAGAAGTTGTTCAATGAGGCTACCAATGTGCTCCATTACCATTCAAATTCACTGAAAAACATCAGAAGACATATGGATATGGTCATGACCAACGTACCCTGTACATTTGGCAAACAAGTAATCTTTACCATTGACGTGAATCATACCGTCTTTCAGGGTACACTTCCACTTGTTCTTCACACGTGCCACCTTCAAACGGCGTCAAGATCTTGGTTTGGTCCTTGACCGCTTGGCTTACCTTGTCATAAGTGCAAAACACAATATCAGTCTCCCCCTGGGTTCCTTCCTCCGCTTCCTCTTCGCCTTCCGTATCAGAGTCATCAAGGTCACTGTTAATGGCTTCCGCATCATCGGGCTGCGTAGATGCCTGCGAAGGCTGGGGTAACGAAGGGTGCGACGTGCGCGGAGCGTATGCCTGACTCGGTGGTGGCGAGTCCTCCTCTGAATCTGAGGATGAAGGACCGTCGGTCTGAGGAATCCGCTGAGAAGGTGGCCGGGGAGACTGAGACTGCGCTGCCTGAGTCTGCGGTGAAGCACTAGAGCTAGCCGCAGGTGGTACGTAGGCACGTTGAGCTGGGGCAGTAGTCTGACGAGCGACTGGTGCAGGCTGGGACGCAAACGAAAGGACACCTTGCTGTCCCCCAGGGTATGTAGGCTTAAAGCCATTAAGCTGAGGGCCCGGTAAAGGAGGCATAGCAAACGGTTGCATTCCTGGTGGGCTGAGCATGTATCGATTCTCAACAGGCTCTGCCTTAACTTGCGGTGACTGGTACGCTGTCGGAGGCGGATATGCATGTGCCATCATCTGCATTGCCGCCGGATGCGGCGGGTACGCAGGGTGATGTGTCTGAGGCTGACTCTGGGGCTCGAACTCCGCCACATGCGAAGCAATTACTTTGTTCTCCCATTTCTAAGAGTGAAAGTGCAGCATCATGCAACTATGAAGACGTATACAATAGATTAAACAGCTGACTTACACGTTGCAATTCGGCAAGGACGTCCTCAGAGACGCCATACTCGTCGAACTCCGGCTTAATGGCCATAATGACTTCATCTATGACAGTGCGGTAGATGGAAGGCTCGAGAACGGCGGGTGTCATTGAATGATACCTATATGGCTAGTCTCGGTGAGCAGCTCACCACAATTTTATTCGACATGTTCCACGTAGGATCTCGTCGGCGAGCACAACAAGCGCGGGGATCCGGGGGGGGTGGTGGGGAGAGGGGGAGGCTTTTATACTTCTATAACGAACCGGGAAGGCCTTCGCTTTCAAACTCCGCCACGCCAATGTGCGGCGTTCCCACGCACAGGCCACCACCTCTGGGTAAGACTCATATATGTTTGACTCGCCCTTGCCAACGTCAAAGATCGTCCCAGCCTCTCTGGCTTGACGAGCTTGGACTGCTCATGTATCCGGAACAAAATAACATATATGTACAGGATGTCATTGATTCTGATCTTGTCCTTTATCCCATTAATGTGGATCAGGTGATCAGTGAGGTCTCTCACGTGCAGCAATGCCGAAACGCGTTTTAGATTTCTCAAAGATTTCTTGTCTCCTTGTTGACGCGAACCCCTACGATGGCTCGAAGAACTCGAGCCCGTTCCACTGGACTTGATGCTTCCGACCTCGAGAATGAGCTGAGAGGGTCCTCACCGAAGAAAGTCAGATGGCAAGGGAACGTCACCGCAACCACCGAGAGCGAGAAGATAGAAACCATTGAAAGTACAGAGGAAATTTGCGAATCTTTGGATCGTTTGCCAGGAAAAGTACCATCCAGCTACGTTCCTCATTCGCTATCGACTTTCAATTAAACTCGAATAGGTCTGTCTCACGGTGCTTTGTCGACAGTAAGTCTCTGATTGTGTAATCGAAGGCCTGAAGACGTCACTGATAATCATTTAGTGGTCGGATCAGCTGCGCATATTACCATCCTACCGAAAGTATAATATACGTGCTGGAGGATACGCAAGAGAGTCGTCAATTTGACAACATAAACATGGGTCGGTTGATGGTTTTCATGCAGAATTAGGTCCTCATCGATGTCTAGTTCTTGATCAATGTCAACCAGATGTCGTCCTAACAAGTTCTCAGTCTGATGACGATCTCATCAGTCTTCTCCAGGGACGGAGTGAGTAAGCAACTGATATCTATGCAGTCGGGTGGATAACTCGGCGGGTAGTGGAAGCTTCCGCTGGTATTTTTCAGATCCGCCCTCACAAGGAGTTTGTGGCTCATAGAGGGCGCGAGCGCTTCTTGTCGCTGAAGTTCCTTTCGGAACTAGAACATATTGAATGTAATCTCCAGTCAGACGATTCCGATAATTCGGCGCCAAGGAATGCATATGAATTCATGAAGCAGAGGTCAGCAAATACCATTGATCCAACAATGGCCCGCTGGAATGCAGCAATACGTATGGCGAACTTTGCCTCTGTGGAGAAGTCTCCGCTATGTGTAAGCGTAGTGTATGCTTGCTTACTTGCTTACTTAGCACGTTTCCCCCTAGATGGCAAGCATAGGGGCATTACTTGACTTTCTTGTACGCGAACGAGCGGCGGGAGACCTTGATGATGCCGGAATTGAAGGTCTGGATGTTCGCAATGTGATGGCGATGAACCTGTAGGTATTACCATCAAGAAAACTGGCTGATTACTCAGCACAGTATTTCAGAGACGGTTTCATGCAGATTAACGCCGATGCACTTTAGTGGGCCGACATTTGATAGGCCCTGTATATCTAGAGTTGACGTCCCTCAGTTCCCTTCAGGTATTTGAGAACGAAAGCCACGCTTCTATCCACTCCGACAAAACCAAAGAAGGACTTTCACTATTCGGTAAGCGAAGTCGTGACAATTGTAATGTTTGTGTTGATGTCCCCGACATAGGGATCCTGGACACGACACGTACTACATTGGGGAGAGCACTGATGAGGACATGGCTTTTACGCCCTAGCTTGTCAACCAATGTCATTGAAGCGAGACACAACGCGGTTGAGTGCCTGATGTACCCCCAGAACCTTCCAGTCGTCAGCGGCATTGCCGTCCACCTCCAAGGAATTAAGGACATCCCCAGAGTCCTACGCACGCTGAAGGCAGGCAAAGCGGTGGCGTCAGACTGGCAGAAATTAATGAAGGCAAGTCGGTATTAGTCCATCTCTTGCCATGTTTACTCAAACATACCAGTTCACTTACCATTCAGCAATAATCAGAGATGCGTTAGTAGAACTCAGCAGAAGCGAATTGGTTGATATCATTGGGCGAGTGGGTCACTGAGCTCAAATTTCCACATCATGCACTGCTCAGTGAACCTCCCAGTTGACGGAGGCTCTTGATATTGGCAGCTACAAGGAACTAGGAAATATCATCAACAACACAGTTCGTTGCACTCAGTCACCACTTAAAATGTCTCGACTTCTCCTTCCTTCTAGATTGATTGGGAGGAATCGAGTTTTGCTGGTAGAGTTTGTGTCAGGTCACACATTGACGAAGAACTTGATCAGCGAAAACGCGTTTATCATGGCATCGATTCAGTTTTGGTAGGTGTCTTCATCAACGAGGCGCTTTCGCACAATTTACCCCTGCTTCAGTCGACAGTAGCGGCTCAGATTTCCAACGCCGTCCCTTCAAACTTTACTCCGTCTCTGAACGTGGTGTACTTCCCTCAACTCGGTAGGCGCTATCTACATTCTTTCAGAATCTATTGACTGTTTGAAGGATATCTTGTATGCATTCCGATGCCTCAAAGCTGGCCTGAGACACAAATCCAACTTCCAGACGGATGGACCCTACAGGTATGAATCTTGTCGATAATCTCCGTATCTCCTATTAAAATGGTTTTAGTTCTCCTCTGAGTAGCCACTTTTCGTCTCTCACACTTCGTCAATTCACATTTATGAAGGTCTCATTTGTACTACAAGTCTGCAGAGATGCATGGTAGGGCATGGCTTTTGCTGCCTAGTTCTTCGAAGACTAAGTCGCATGAGATATGGACGAACACATCGGCGACCTGCATCCGTCGATCGTAGGTAACTCGGACTCTTCAATTGTGGACCAAGTTGGATACTAAGTGCAAATAAGACAGGGAGATTGAGATCATCCAGGGCTTATTAGAGCAGGTCTTGGGATTTGAAGACGGCGTTATTAGGGCGTGTGATCTTTGCGCAGAGCTAGACTGTCTGATCTCGTTTGCAGAAACATCAGAAAGCTTCAATTACTCTCGTCCACGTATGGTCAAAGAATCGGTACTATGGATAACCCAAGGAAGGTAGTTATAAAATCTGGAATTACGCATCTTCCCTTTTCATCCTTTTCGCAGGCATCCTCTTCAGGAACAGGTGGTTGACACCTTTGTTGAAAATGACTTGCATATCGTCGGCGGAGGACCCAACCTCGATCACTCGGACAACGAGAACGAAGATATCGATGGCGATAGCACACATCCCGCCAGTATATTAATCTGCACCGGAGCAAATGCATGCGGAAAGGTCTTCTCAGTCTAATCCATCAAACTTGTTCGATATCTTGATAAATCCCTTCTTCAGAGCGTTTACTTGAAACAAGTCTGAGCTTCTCTCTTGCGATCTTGGACAGTGAGGCTTACGCATGCTCAGGCTGCGCTAATTCAGATCCTGGCCCAGGTAAGCCTCAGTGCGCTAGTTCCATCCTGCTGACTATACGCTGCAATAGATAGGATGGTGAGTCATATGAAGCCATGCGACATTGACGCTCACAAGGTCCAGCTTTGTGCCAGCCAAGGCGGCGACTCTCGGAATCGTGGACAAGAGTTAATTCATGTCTGCTCATAGCTCGCTTTTGCTGACCCCATCTGGCAGTCTTTACCCGAATTCAAACCAGAGAATCGGTGTCCAGAGTATATATCACTTCTCAATGTTGGTATATCACTAAGTGCTTGCAGGTACAATCGGCGTTCATGATAGATCTGAACCAAGTTTCTTTTGCTTTGAGGAATTGCACGTCTAGATCTCTTGTGCTTCTTGATGAGTTTGGCAAAGGGACAGCACCCGCAGGCAGGTTCTATCCGTTGGCTCCCCGTTCTCTGCTGACAGTGTGCACGAACTCGTGCATCGCATATCAGATGGGGTGGGATTGTTCTGTGGTGTACTCAAGCATCTGCTCGGTCGCCGCGCCACTTGTCCCATGGTTATCATTGCCACTCACTTCCATGAAGCGTTTCGAAAGCAGCTTATGGATCGGAACAAAGTCCCTATCACCTTTGTGCACATGCAAGTCCTTATCACAGAAGACAGCGACACGCTTGAAGATACTCCTTCTGGTACTCCTTGGGACGAACACTCGAGCAACTTGGGTCCTGTAACTCCCAATGCCAAGATCACTTACCTCTATCGGTGATGCCCACACACTGTGACTGTGCACGTCCCAGACTAGAGCTTTCCATAGTGTTGCACCTGGCCTCTCTGTCAGCTCGCACGCGGCTCAATGTGCTGCGTTCTTCGGCTTGCCCACACGAGTTGTGAACCGCGCCGAATACGTCAGGTACGCAGCAAGAACTCCGCTTCACTTCTCGGCTCTTGTTACCCTTGGCTACGAAACTTGATGGTGGAACATTGATACGTTCAAAGCGAGCTTCTGGCAGAACATGAAATTGGAACGTTACTAGACGAAGATCTAGATGCAAAAGAACGGGCCGAACTCGAGGACGCTGAAAGTATCTGCCGCGATTTTCTAGCCTGGGACTTGACTGGCGATGAAGCGATGAAGCAAACCAACGTCAAAGAGTCTTTGCATGATGTTCTGAGGCAGACCTCTGACACTGGCTAGATTAAAATTGCTCGGGTCCGATGTTCTCATGTGAAAGAATCCAACGAATTACAATGTTGTATTGTACATGTAAACGCTATTCTACTGTCCTGAAGGTCTGATGTGGTGTGATTGGTCTAGGATTGATTTCTAAGACTTGCTTGAGTCTTCCTTGTGAATCTCCAAGCCCGGGGGAGCGCCCATAGCTATCAGACAGAGTTAGAATAGCATATGTCTCAAGCAATTGGCCGCCTCACCTTCTTTGATGGCTCCATAAAGCAAAAACTGCCCAGAGACCAGACCAGCAGTCATGACCATCCTCGGTCCGAGCCCAGCAAACAGTCCACGGAAGCCAGCCTCGCGTGCCAGCACAGCGAGGCGATGGGGCATCGATCCTGTAGGGCCATGACCCTTGTTTATCTGACTCAGGAGCGTGTCCGCAGGCTAGTAGGCGGTTAATGAGTTGTATGAAGGTTGAGCTGGAGAAGACAACATACATGACTTAGGATGGCGGCGGCGAAGCCCGCAATGATACCACTGCCCAAGTTGAGACCGAACCGGCTGCTTGCCGTCATGTTGTTGCGGGTGTCTTCCGACATTGTCCGGTAAGCTGCTTCATGACAAAACTCGTTGACAGTGAACTGTCCAATAGCGTACGGTATCTGTCTAGCCACAATATGTCATCTCCTGACAGAGCCGAAAGCTTGGTTGTGACACTCACTTGCAGAGGATAGGGAGGAATCCAGCATAGAGCTCACGTACGCCGCCTTCTCGTGCGAGGCGAGTGAAGCCTGACACCAGGCCAGTGGCGTAGTTGCGCTCGGATACGAGTCTGATGCGTGTGGCCTCTAGAGGTGTCAGGAGAATATCCGCGAAGAACCTGAGGATCAATATCTGTCAACTTCCTCCATCTAATTTGGTTGAACGTCGTCTTACTCGGCGACACTGGCAGCTCCGAGATATATGGCTGTCCGATACTGCACAGAATTCTCTGGTCCCCCAGCGAACTCGACGCCTTTCTTCTTCCAGTACTCGTATCCTGCAAACTTGGCGCCTCCTTGAACGAGGTAGCCCACGGCGGTTGGTCCAAAACCGGTTAGGAGCGCCTTCGGTCCTTCCTTTGAGATGACCTGGCGTGTACCAGCAAGCATAGATTGACCCTTGAATTCAGGGTCTATCTGTATACGCGTCTTCACGACGTCAATAGCTACAAGTGCTTGTCAGTTCTTGGTTTGACCTACGAGCACACAAAGCGACTTACGGGTCATCGCTCCATGTGTGACACTGGAGAGACATGAGGAGGACGTGGTACGGTAGAGTGGCAAGTTACATACGTGCAGCATAATGCTCCTACATACGACAGTCAGCAACTTGAGACGAGTGTAGCTGCATCTCATTGTGACATACCTGCGAGGAAGAACGAGGAGTAATCTTTAGGCGTGAATTGGAGTGTGGCCGTTACTTGCTTCTCGGACATTGTGATAGGACGAACTCCTCTGAGCTGCTAGCTGTACTAGAGTGGTTGCGAAATAAAACGGTAGGGAAGCGAGCAGGCAAGGCATATATTGAAGCGCGCGGGGGGCCATTGACGTCACTGACACGATAAGGTCGGCTGGAGAAGCTCATTACTGTTCTGTCAAGCGGAGGCCGTGGTCCGGGTGAGACCGATCACAGTGCCGGCGGTTCTGCAGCCGTGGTCCTCGAACGAGCCAATCGCGCTCTTCCCTCCTGCCCCTTCTCATGTCCATGACTCGCTCCTACATGGTCATCCCCGGGAATCCTACGGCAAGGCTAGGTAGACCTGGCTACTAGGTAATACGCTGACACCGATATCAATGCGAATGCACCCCGAGTCGGTGACTGCGCTCCGACTGGAGCTCTTCCGTGATCGGACCGTCCGTGTGGTCCCATAATCTGTTCTTTGACTACGAGGTCAATAATGCAACTTTTGCCTAGATGGCACTTTTGAGAAATTATTGCCTCAATGAACGAACAGGGATTTGATTTGTCCGCGGCCGTTGACATACATATCTCCCCTCCAGTGTCCCACTTAAGCCGTCTACTTCACAACGTTGCGCCAGCGGCCTGGCTGCTGGTCAATAATGTGTGTATATTTGTACTCACTTCTCCCCTAGCTCAACTGCTCAGAGACGTCGCAACGTTAACACCGCCATCCGAGGCAATTGCGCGAATCGTAATCTTGCATTCGGCGAGTAGCTGCTGGACACTGCACCTGAACGTTCGGAGTAACCTGCTTTTTAAGTTGTTTCGGCTCGGTTCCCGTTCTAATCTTAAAGGGTGTACACTTAGTGATTATCCATGCATGGCATCCTCCCACTAGCTGTTCGCTGTTCACATTGCCTTAAGCTTCCTCCAACGCCGAGAAGATAAACAATATCATATGTCACAAAGCCTTTGTGATCGCGCGCGGGGAAATCGAAATCGACGGGAGGTCACTCCACGTTCCCCACCTTCATTTGTCATAGGGACGACGCTACAGCCGGCAAGAAGTACACCCCGAACTAATGACAAATAGGCAAACCTGATAGAGCATTCTACTGTTGAAGATTATTCATTGGCTCATCGCGTAGTACTGGCCACTGTTGACGCGAATCGGCGGGCCACGAAGTGATGTCTAGCCGTCTTTCCTGATGGATCCACCTCAACTAGGTCGCTGGGCTAACATAGGCTGATACGAGGTCAATACGAAGCCATTACGGAAGGACCGGCGGAAGGATGATCTGGTACGATTCGCAGTGGTACTATTTTGCAAATTGTACTTTGCAGTCTCGGCTTTCGATCGAGGTGCCCGTGGCGTATGGGGGTCAAGAAACCCATTTATACTGTCGCGTGTTCGTCACTTTTAGCAGGAAAATCTGTCCGTCTTGACCATTTGCAAACCAAAATGAAGATGACAGAGCTGTTGGAAATAGCGCCTTTGGAGACCGAACGCCCATTACCCTAGTGGTAGTACCATCCGCAGCTATAAGCATGGAAGAAGGGTTCCCTGGCGTCTCTAGTGCTAGTCCTTGAATTGACGTCCCTATCGCTCGATCCCTGTCTCGAGCACACAGAATGTCAACAGACGCCCCCGTGGTCCCCTTGCTCCCCGAAAACGCGCTTGCGAACACCTATGGTGCTTTGTATATATGTGTCGTGGTATCGGCCATGTAAGGGATTGTCGTTCTACTGAGACGAAGGGCGATTAGTGGATCTAACAATACATGACTGCTCAGGCTCTTCGGGCTCACCAATCTCCAAGCATTCTTCTACCTCCGGATACAGAACCCCAACAATCGCAGTCTCATACGCTATAAACTGGCCGTGCGTACGACCCTCTTGATCAAATCCGGGTTCTTATCAGTTGTGATGTAGGTCTGCTGGTTGTGGTTTGTAGTCTTTTAATAGTTCTGCTGCGACTGGTTGTCCTTAAGCGTGAACCAGGATCTTGGATGCGTTGCATCTCGCTCTTGTCATCCAGCTCGTCTACTTCTATTTGGTTGAACACTTTGGAGATGGAACAATCCTTGACCAGGTCGTCTGGAGCTTTAGGGTAAAAGTCTCCTGTAACAGCCCACCGTGCATGAGCTAACGAGGTTGTCAGCTCCAAATAATCATCTCCGTGGGTTTGTTATATCGACATGTCTTCTCGTGTTATGCTGACGCTCATCATCAGACCCTGGTTGTATACTCCGTCCACTGGTAAGTGCACACCACATATTTGAGACTGCTGGAAAGCTCAACTCGAGTATTCATCTCCGGCAGCCTATATGCGTACCGTGTGTTTCTGAGTGAGATTTAGCACATTATGTCCGTTGGCTTTAACTCACAGCATGTAGTCAGCCGTGCTCGGCGGGTGAACGAGAAATTCGCGTATCTTGCTGTAAGTTGCTATAGTTCTTTCGCTCAAATGTTGTTGACTGACTGACATCCAAAAGTGTATCGTCGTATTCTTGGCCTCCGGTGAGTCGCCACAGCCATCATAGAATTCTGAAGATGTTTGAATAAAAACGGCATAAAAGGTGTTGCCATTGGTGAGTTCAAGACAGTCTGCCCATCGCGTCCAGCTTATAGTGTTTACCTCCTTTCAAGCACTTTGCTGGGCAGTGTATGTCGTTCGTTATTTATGCAAGAACAAGCCAGCGCTGAGATCCCTTCAGCTACCGCGCAAACATATACTCAATTCTAATCAGACAAAATAAGGTATGAGACGCAGACGTTAGCCAGGCAATCCATCGCCTCACTACTGGGCACGTATAGTGGGCAACATATATGTCTCTTGGAACCATGGTCGCCGTAGATATTATGCTGGCGTCCTCTATGTGTTACCTCTTCCACGTCTCTCGTACTGGTTTTGACCGGTAAGATAAGCCATGTCATGGCTGTCAAGGATGCAACACTGAACGCTTAAACAGTACGGACTCTATTCTCAGGATGCTGATGCGTTATATCATACAGACCGGTGTTCTGACCAGGTATGCCCCACCTTTTCCATGTACTTGTGTTGAGGGCTGAATCACCCGGAGCCTATGTTCTTTGTCTGCAATGATCTGCGTAAGTGTGTGACATTGTATTGCGGAACAGGTTTTCATTGTGCCGTAGATGGCAGTCATGCCAGACAACTTCATCTTCATGGGGCTCGAATTCTTTCTTACAAAGCGTGCGCACTTGATCAATGTTCTTAATTGGCTTGTGGCTGACAGACCTGCGAACAAGTCTACGTTAATTCCTTCTTGGCTTTGCTGAACGCATGCCACTACGATAGGAAACCCTCGCAAACGACTTCAACTCTGCGGAGCAATCCCACACATAATTCTAGGGGTGATCGGCAAGATATCAATGGTCTAGTAGAAGCAGACCTATCCAACGTCATCGTTATTTCAAAATCATCGACGACCGAGGTTTCGGTTGATGCCTACTATCCGCCAAAGCCACACTCTCTCGATGTGTGACTGTCGAGCTGCTCAAAAGAATAGTTCCTGTCTCATTAATCATTTCTAAAGAACTCCTGGAACATCAGTGGAGAGACGAGATAAGTTTGGGGTCATCGAGATCTAGAGCGGAGAGGCACTCCTATGTAAGGATTCGGTGAGTGTTTGGGAGTGGTCCAGGGTGTGTTAGAAGTTCTGGCCCTCAGGTTTGGTACACCGGGCTCGTGTATTGTACTACGCTCAATCAATCGTTGTTAAACGTTAAACTGTGTCGCGGCGAATCGTGGGTTTTTACAGGCCAACCTGGAAACATTAGAGTACTTGTGCGAGTTCGGAGATAGGGGTTCAATTGATGTTGGGATATCAGTCGGTGATCCGAACCCTTGCAGTGTACAAGTCTGCAACTCTTCAAACCTACAACTCAATGCTTACCTCCATGTCCCTCCGAAACCAAGTCCACGTCGGCCTGTTTCACCTCGCGCCAGTTTTGACCTCCGGTGCCTCCTTAGCCTGGGCATTCTCCGAGTATCAGACCCTCATCCCATTCCTTCAATCGGACATCCCTGCCGCGCCCCTTGCATCATGGTTTAACAGGTGGTTCCGGCTCGCTACAGCTGGTATCGTCGGCTGTGGACTAGCCTCTACCAGCTGGGGATACGTAGGATCGACGCGGGCAGCTGGGATGGCGGGGAGACTGTATTTGTACGGTGCTGTCCTGTCGGCCGCCCACTTTGCGTTCGTACCTTGGGTGAGTGCACGCCCTTTCCTGGCTTTCGTAAATTTCACTCGGACAACGCGTGTGTCCACGTTTGTGGCGTTTCATTAACTGGCTTCTCATTTTTTTTTCAGATTGCGCCCTGCATAGAGCGCCTGGTGTATGGGCCTGAACATAGAACGAAGGACGAACTCAGGAGGTGGCTAAGGATCCATACCGTCCGAACGCTCCTGACCGACATTCCTGCTTTTGTGTGCTTTACGTGGGGGTATTTGGAGTGGACATCATAATTTCCGGGACGCGGGGATGTGCATAGAGTGTGCATTATTGATACTCGATTGTTGTAAGGAAATTTGAAGGAACGTAGAACAAATGTTAAGGGCACGTCCTTATTCAATTCGGTGATCGGCAGGTGAGAAGCAGCCCGGCTGCATAAACAACAGCCTCTTCATTGGATAGCCACGACCTCGTTGTATATGTAGCTACCTATCATATTCACAAAACCAGCCGCAGCTGCCACATCTACGTTCGAGGAAGGCTAGATGCTGCGGTCTGGTATGGTGGCTTCTGAAGATTAAAGATACGACGCCGCAGGGGGCACGGGGTAAACCCTGATTGATGAAGAGGGTGAGACAGCTCATACGCCGAGGAGGCGGAAACGCAGCCCCTTTCGCGTGGTTATCGTGAAGAGCTGTCCTTGCGCAAGTAGGAGCCTTGAGGAGGAGGGGAAGAGGGGCAGCACGCCCTGAACACGAGCCGGGGAGGTGAACAGAATAAGTACCGGGGTCGGCGGTCGAACTCCGCTCTAAAGCATCCCTTTCCCTACTGGGGCACACGCACGCCGTCATTTACTGACCTCACTTGCGCCCCACCTTCCTCTCCATCCGCCCGCCATGTCCGTACACCTCACCCCATCCAGCTCTCTGGGCTTTAACAGTGAGAACCCTTTCGATTGCGCCTAACGATTGCATAGCTGACGGACTCTCAGGACCATTTACCAACTCCATCAAACGCATACTAACAATTTCGAACAACAATGCCCAACCGGTCGCCTTCAAGGTCAAGACGACCGCACCAAAAGTACGTCCCATTCTCTCACTCTCTGAAGACATACGCTCATGGTTATCAGCTGTACTGCGTGCGCCCCAATACTGGCAGAATTGAGCCAGGCGACAGTGTTGACGTCTCTGGTATGTGTTTCGTTAGGCGCCCCGTCATGGATACACGTTGGTAACATATGATCCCCTACCCAGTCATGCTTCAGCAAATGAAGGAGGAGCCCCCTCTATCCGCAAAGTGCAAAGACAAGTTCCTTGTCCAAAGTACCTTCATCACTCCTGAAAAAGAGACGAGGGGTCTGCAAGACATCGTGCGGCGTTCATTACCTCGTATCTGATTGGCGCTCATACCTTCCTGCAGTGGAATGTCGCCGATTCAAGTGACGAGTGGAAGGTTCACTCGCAGAAGTTGCGTGTGGTTTACCTGCCTCCTGAAGGCCAAGTGCTTGAGGAGGAGGAAGAGGCTATCAGCCGCGAGCCTTCCGGCATTCATTACGGAGTGGAAAAGGAGGGCAACGGCCACACCCCAATCGTGCCTCAGTTTCAGCACGAGGAGAGCTCACCAGAACAGCACCGTGATGCTCCGGAACGTATTTTTACGCCGCCACCCGAACAGCAGGTCATGCACGATTCACTCGAAGAGCAAGCTGACCGGCCCGACTTCGGCGTCGTTAATGTGAACGTGCACTCCGCCACCCCGCCAGCACCAGCACCAGCACCTCCAGTTATTAACCGGGAGCTCGAAGAGAAGTACAAGGAGGCACAGGCGGAGATTCAACGGCTGCGTGCACTCCTGGCTGCCGTTCCCGATCCTAGCTCAATAGCAGACAATGAGTCTGTCGACCCCTCCACGGTGGCCCCCACCGAGCTGAGGCGCCGTCATGCCACCTCTGCCATTTCCGAAGATGGCCGGAGTACTTACTCCAGGTCGGAAGTTGGCACGATGGTGGACGATCATGCTGTGCATCAGGAAGGCGTCCCGTTGCAAGTGGTCATCATCATTGCTGTCGGCGTCTTCGTCACGACATATCTGTTCTTTTAAGCAGACGAAACTGATCAGAATTACTTCTGCTTCCTCATCATATAATCTCTGCATCGTCTGCATTCTACGCGATGCCGATCGATCGTCGTCTGCTGTTTATCTCTAGTTCAAAGGAATTGGTACGTTAGGAGTAGGTCTAGAGAAGTGCATCTCTCATCTGGAGTAGTAAGGTTATTGCCCTCGAACGCTATTTTCTTTGCCGATACTTTTCTTAGCGACACACTGCTGTTGTCTCGCGTTACGTCTATATCTATACACACACCTCTTTTCTTTATTCATATGCTTCCCACCGCGAGTGGGCTTCATTCTCGATCTACTTGCATATTCGATACCCCAGGCTGCCTCGAGGCGCGACAATAATAACCTGCTTTGCTTCCGGACAGCCCGTGACTTGACGTGGGATGTATGAGGTCATGCGATGACTTGCTGACGAGATGGCACAAATGTCTCATGACTACACCAACGAGAATAATATCTTGGGCGCGGAGCGAGAGATATTTATTCGTTGAACCGCATGCAACGAAGACCATCACGCCCTCAACTCAACGACTCTTCTCCCACCCCAGCCGCAATGGACATTAACTACGGAACACCAAAGAGCTCGAGGAAGCCCGTCTTCATCACGGCCGCGGTGACGGCTGTGGTCATGTTCCTTCTTTTCTCTGCCGTGTATAACCCCAAAGCAGAGCCTGAACAGATTCTGGTCAAGAAGGTAGGCTCTCACAAATGTGGCGCCCTCCCGCTGTACACTGAAGAACGAAAACTATAGGCTGTGGTTGTGCTCAAAGGAGACTCGGCCGTCTCTGGTACTGTGACGTTCGAACAGTCGTCCGTGACTGGTGCTGTCAGCGTCTCCGGCAAGATTGAAGGCCTCGACCCTTCTACTCAGCGCGGCTTCCACATCCAGTGAGTTTGCCTCGTAATTTTGTACGTAACGACGACCTAATCACGCTCATGGTTGCGTTGTCTAGCCAGCTGGGTGACTTGAGCGATGGATGCACATCCACTGGGTCGCACTTTAATCCTTATGGCAACACGCACGGAGCCCCCGCTGATGAAGTGAGGCACGTTGGGGATTTGGGAAACATTGAAAGTGACGAGAACGGGGTTGCCGATTTCTCGTTGCGTGACTCGGTGATATCGCTGAATGGAGAGCGGAGTATTGTTGGGTGAGTCGAAGCCCGAGATTTTCGTTTTTCTTTCGTGTACACACACTTTATGCTGACCATTGACCATGCTATACAGTCGAGCTGTTGTGGTGCACACGGTATGGTGTTTCCCTTTTATTGTTGTAATATGTCGAATTAACTGAATGCAAGGGTACCGACGATCTCGGCCGTGGTGGCAACGAGGACTCCCTGAAGACTGGCAATGCAGGCGGCCGCGCTGCTTGTGGCGTAATCGGTATGTTCTGGCTGCCACTCGGAATTTCCTACCCTTAATTTGATATTTTAGGCCTCGTCGAGTAATGGCTCTCATCGCTAGCATGACAGTTGACTCGTGTTTCAATGTATGCTTTCATGATGTAATAACAGTGACTGCAGCTGTGCCCCAAAATGCAAAATATGAAGAAGGTAGCTTCGCAAATCAAAACCATCGCTGACGTTGGACATCTGCAGCTTACTTCCTGCTGCTGGTGCTGTTGCTGCCAGCGATGGAAGCAGTGATGGGCCCGTTCTCGATGTACACGCCAGAGAAGTAGAAGTCCTCCGTCTCAGCCGAGTTCACAAGGCGCAGCACGCCGAGATGCCAGTCCTCCGAGTTTGTGGACGTCGACGCGGTAGTCTGAGGCATCACGCGCACGAGGTCGTCGCCACCGGTGGAAGCCCAAAGACCGACGGTGCCAGCGTCAAACTAGGTAGGAAATGTCAGCCTCCGTTAGCGTGTTTGAAGACAAAGAGAGCGATTCACATCGATGTCGTAGGCGAAGTTGTACCAGGTGCCTGCTTCCCATTCGACTCCCCATTGGGGCTGGCTCTGGATGTGCCATTCGAGATAGGACGCGTTCGGAGCGACACCGTACTTCATCTGAGTGCACTTTGGGTTAGACGATGTTTTGTGGGTTAGGTCGCGGACTCCTTACCTCGGTGAAGTGCGACTCAAAGAAGACCATCTGGTGCTCGTCAGCGGACTGCGGGCAGATGTCAGTATTGTCACAAGACCCTGTCCATTAACTATGACCTACATCGGGAGCGTTCGTCGCCGAGCGCATCATCGAGAAGTGGTAGAACAGCTCGCCCTGGCCGAGGTTCTCCTTCGTTTGAGGAATGAGCTCAGAGCGCTCAAACTGCGAGTTCCATGTCGACGTGCTGTCGATGGTCAGCTTCAGGCCGTGCGTCTCAGACGTGTCGGCCGGGTTCTTGTAACTGGAACAATCCTCAGAAGGGAAGCAATATACTGACGCCCAACTGACGCCACGCTAGACTCACGAAGGGTCTAAGGCCAGGTAGTGGCTGGTGTTCTGGCTTCCATGGATGTACTGGATGACATAGTCAACAAGCAGTTCTAGTGCTACCGCGATACTCTTACCCATTGATACTCTCCAACCGGGTTGGCCCATGACCCTGACGGAATTTCTGATAAGTATTGCATCGCTAGCTAGACATCAAAATGCGGGTTACATGTATCAAAGTCCGCAGAAGTGTTGTAGTAGTCAAAGCTCCCGGACCAGATTGTGGTACCAGCAAGGACGGGCCTTGCTATAAGTGCGGCGAGAGAGATCAGAGCGGTGTTGAAGGAGAACATGTTCGAGACAATTTGACGCGTAAATTGACATGGTAGTGGTGCTTACACTCACTTTAAGTATGTGTGGGTTGTCAGGAACTGGATGGTTAGCGAGGTTCAACCGGAGTGAGATTTTCGGAGGTTGGGATAAATGTCGGACTGAACGCCAAGGTTACTTCTGCGGCGATTTCGCGAAATATCGCCCGCCTGGTGACACACTGCCAGGAACACATAGCAACGGCAGGAGATTCCTTGGAATTGGAAAGCCCCGATTGTTCGCTCTGATGTCAAAGACCATGTGATGAAGCAACTGAAGCGCCATGTATCATTATATATCCGAAATTCCAAGTACCTATGGGAAAGAAAACTAAAGTGTTTGATACAATTGCAATGCGGGGTATCATGGGAAATCAATATGAAGATGAAGATGAAGGTGAGATATAATGAATACAGAATGCGGGCACACAACTTGGTGTGCTCAGTGTTCGGCATTTGACGTCTTTGTCTCATCGTCCCCTGCGAGAGAGGAACCACGACGGCGTCCAGGTGTGCATGAACGTGGATACTGGCTCCGCCTCCGCCTCCTCCTGCCGCAGCCGCTCCTCCGCGGCGATCTGCTCCTCGACAATGACCTCGTTGACCACTGCCTCGCGCGTCGTAACGTTTCTCGACTGTGCGGCAGCCGCTGATAAACCCGTCGCGGACCGGGCGAACTCGGCTTGGGCATGTAAATCCGGCTTTGAGCCTGGGTCTCCAGGAGGCAAGAATGGTCGTGCGCTCGACGGTGTTGTATTCGTCGTGAAAGAGGAAGCAGTCCGCGGGCGGCGCGAACCAAACTCGGTGGTCAGAAGACTGCCGCCTTCACGTCCACGGACATCAAAGGTTTGTGACCGGCTGGTTCCCATCCTGGAATCCGACGCGCGCGACTGTCGAGCAACACTGCGCCGCCCGACAGATATACTACTTGACCGTCGACGGCTGAATAGAGACGGTCTGGTCTCGCGTCCCGCATGTTCAACATCGTCTTCGTGTTCAATGTGTGATACGCGATCTTGGATGGCTGGAGGGAGGTCGATATCCTCATAGCCACTAAGCCGTGACGTGGAGTTGTGGATGCTAGAAACAAGTTCGCGAGCCGCGAACGGCGCAGGGCTCGCCATAGGGGATACCGTAGACAGGTCAGCGCCGAACCAAACACCTAGCTCTCCTGCTGCCAGCTCGCTGGTCAAGGACTGGCGGACCACGACAGTATCATCGAGGTCAAGAAGCCCGCAGGGATCTCGTGGTAGCCACAGAGCATTGCTGATAGGCCGGTTGTAAAAAGGGTTCTCGTACGGGATGTCATAACGAGCTGTGTCATCCCAGGCAGGGTGCGGAGGGTATTTTTCTACCAGAGGACCATGTTGCAAGTTCAGTTTTGGCACTTCCTCATTCGAAGGTGTAGTCACGAGAGGGCCGCCAAAGACAGAGCGCATCTTGCGATTGGTCGTGCTCTGATGGGAATCCCGAGGGAACTCGACACCTTGTTTTCTCTCTTGGTCCATGGAGCTTAGCCTCGAAAACGCCGGTCGCTGCATACCGAAAGGTATGGGTTGCCTTCGTTGCGTCTGGTGGTTCTTGCGCTGAGGATGCTCGTTGTATGAGAAGTTCATCCACTCGGGCATATGTCGCCAGGTGCGGAAACCAGATTTTGGGCGGTCGTGGCGATCCAAGTTATGCTCTGTCAGAGAGCGATGGGCTTCCAGGTCAGCTGGGGCTTCGTGCTCCTGGATCTCTTCAAAATCATTGACACTCGCGGTACCACATGTGATTTCCGCCTCGAGAAGGTCGTCCCTCTCAAAACGAGCACGACACATCCGAGTTATACTGCCAATGCCGGTTTGAGTGAATCCAACAGTCTTCGTAATGTGTTTACTCACATAACTTTCGTTGACACTGTGAGAATGATGAGAACAGCAGCCAGAGCATAGTTGACTTTCTCCTTCAAAACAACCATATATGCAAGAAAAACGGACTGAGCAAGCAAAAGCCCTTCGTGTGCGGAGGTTGGTAAGGCTAAAACACTTTGCTAAGGACATGATTGCGTACCGTCCATAGAATAGCGAACCATTCGAATCAATAACATGTGGCCATTGCATTCATAGTTCTTCGCATACACGTGGAGCAACTTAAATCATGTGAGTCAAAGGCTATGAGAAGGTAATTGTTTACACACCTGGTTCTTGATAACAGCTGACGATGAAATCAAATCAGTATAATACAAGAAATGATGAACTCATGCGTACCATTTGCGACAGCAAAGTAGATTAGCCCAAACGGAATGACAAGAGGATTGAGGACAGCAAATAATAGTAAGATGTGTATGATAAGCAGGTGATTAGGAAGCCAGTCTGAGGGCGCCGTCAAAAACCTGATAATGCGGAGAAGGGAAATCGCGCACAATAATAGTTGTAGGTACGTGGCCTGATTCCTACTGCTCGTTTCCGAGGAGTGACTTGGCGCTGCGTATTAGGATAAACGAATAGTGGAAGCTATACAATAATTAGGATATAGCAGGCACATAGTACTCAATGACTTACTCCAACTAATAAATTTGTTAGAAGTTGAGTACTTTAGCGCCGAACGGATAGTGAAGGACTTACACATAACGATTTCGAAAGAAGAATGCATTGCGGTAGTAAAGATCACTAGGTTATAGACGTCAGTTTATGGCGTTGTATGAGCCTATCGGCGATAAAAGACTTACGCCAGCCAACGTAGAATGGCCCTGCGCTAGGGAAACTCTCTTTAACGATATTCAATATCGTCTCTTCCTTGAACTCTTTAACTGAAGTCAGCACCGATTGAATAGCGGCGGTACCAACACAGAAGAACACGAGGACGTTCACGATGAGGAACTTGTAATATCGAGTCATGATCAAGTCATGAAGCGCGGAAAGAGTCGTGATGGTGTGACCTTTCTTAGCAATGAGAAGTAGCAGCAGAGGGACGAGAATCGTGAGCAAGGCGACCAAGATCGTGGGTACGAAGGACTGGATGACTTCCTCCTCCCATGGGTGTTGCGAGAGGTAGTTCGACTACGAAACTGAGTGAGCTTGGCAATGATCAAAGACGCAAAACTCACCAGCTGTGGCCAGAAAGTAGAGATGTTCGTAATGGATACCAGACCGACGAACAAGGAAACGGGAAACAGCCAGAAAATAGTGAAACCCCAAACTCCAATGTTGATGGAAAGGTCCTTGAGAATCTCCACTCGGTATGTTGACTTCATGACCCGTGTCCAATCCAGGTCTTCGTACTGAGGGGCCATGGTCACGAGGCAGGCCATAGGGTTTTTCGGGTGCACTGCAAGATACTTGCAAGCCTTCCGGGCATCTTTAGGGTCGGCAAAGGTCACGAAAGCGGTCGACACAGGTGCAAAGTCGTTGACGGCCCGCGAACGATTTTCGGTGATGAGGGAGGTAAGCAGGTTCAGCTTGGCAGTATAGTAGTCAATGGAGGGGACGGTGCGCCCGCGGAACAGGACAGACAAGTGGATAAGGGGCTGGTACGGGTCCAATACTTCTCGTGGCAGACTCAGAAGAACATCCCAAATGGTTCTTCCTTGTTTGTCATATCCATTTGCATACAGTCCTGGCTTGACCAGAACCTCCAAGTTGTGGTCCGTTGGATGCCACTTCAGCTTACGGTAAAACCTTTTCAGTTTATCTGTTAGTTTATCTGAAGCGGACATAGCGATCTTGCCGACTTGGAGCTCGTCCAAGAAGGGGCCCAAAGCGCAGATGAGCAATCCCATATGGTCATCCGCGTCATCAGTCTTGTCGTTCTCGCTAATATCCGCTTTGGCTGGCGCTTTCGACATACGCTTTGACTTTTGCCTGCTTCCCCGCGCTTCATCCTGCATGGCGTAGTATACAGCGACCAAAACCTTCTTCGCGAGTTTGAGATGCGCCGTCTCGAGCTGTTTGAGAATGTCCTCGCGGCGCTGTAGCAATGACGCTAGTTCTGTCATCTTCCGTGCCACGACGACGCGATCTATCACGGGTATGTCCTCATTGGCGGGTCGTACTTGCGGGGAAGAGAGCTCGCTTTGAGTAGTAGTGCCGACTGAGTTGTTGGTTGCCAGGGGGTTAGATAGGTGATTTGGAAGTTGTTTTGCGCGGTTGAAGCCGAAGGCGAAGAGCTTGTTAAGTATCCCTGGTTGTGTCGACGACGATGGAAGTCCGACAGAAGGCCTGTCCAAGGGCTGCGACATGTAGAACTCGAAGTATTCTCGAAGCTCCTTTTCCGAACGCAGCTGAACCGGTATGTTAGATATCATCACAGTGCGCCACCGTATACCACGGTTAGAATGATCATTGTCCAAGGGAGGTATATCCTGAAAGGGGAACTGTGGATGAGGGTGAGGGTGATATTGTGCATCTTTCTCTGTGGCAGAGTGGGACGCGGCTCGGCGCGCAGCAGCCTCGATCTGAGTTTTCCTGAAGTCGAAGGCTCCGTTGATGATGTAAATCAGGGTTCCAACCCAAGATATGGCGATCCAATATGTTATACAGATATGAATCCAGAGGAGTTTTTTCCCAGCTTCTGTGAGCACTAGGGAGGATATTGAAGCTCGAATCATGGATCTGGTAGGAACGTCATCGGGAGAGAAATGAACGTGGATAGGTAGAAGGATTGGAACGGTGGTGAAGGTGTGAAGCAAAACAAAGAACACTAGAAGAACATTCAGTCAGGCAGAAGCAAAGTCTCGAGGCGAACTTACTGCATCCCTTCAGAAATCGTAAATACAATGTCGCATCAACCCCTCGTAGCGCATTAAGCCTTTCCGGAGGAAAGTTCAGACTATCCTTCAGCCATGCTAGCGGCCAACCAATCGGTGATGGAGGTGAAGGTTTCCTGAGAAACTGTCAAGCTAATAATCGAGGGATAACACAGAAGCTTACTTTGCCCACGATCTACCTTGGTAGAGGCTATTCATGGGGAGGTAGTCAGTCAACGTTTGAGCTCCTAATCAAGGGCTCATATTTTGACTCACTAGCCAAACTGCCATGACTCCACGCTCCCAAGAGGCTCTGAGCGCAGGTGGCGGCCTCTCCGCTTCCGCTTCGCAATCTCATGGCAGGTGACCGCAACTACAATGAGTCCAATCGCAATGACAGACTGGTTAAGGAGACCACTAAAGGAAGTGTAAGTCTGGAGAACAGAAGAGCTGGAAGGGGTTGACTTGCCTGTAATTCTTTGAGAATGGTCGGGTCTGAATGTCACTCATGTTGAACGGGACCACACAACGTCAAAGGTGACGCTGGATGGTAGCAGGGTAGATCAGCGAAGGGGAGGGAGAGCGTGGGGATAGGGAAACCCTGTGTGAGGGGAGAGCCAAGGATTCAAGAAGCCTGAATGTCGTGCTATGTAAACCGGGAGAATTACGATCGAGGGGTCGGACGACTTGTTCAAGTCAATTGATGCGGAGTGCGTTGTATGACGTCGCTCCACAACGCTTCACTACACGCACTTTGTGCCCGCACCGGTCATTTCCTGACACTCGTCGCACGAAATATATGGACAGAACTTCAAGAGATTGTCGCAATGCCCTCCTCGTTTAAGAAGGATATTTCCGAGGAAGCGTCGTTGACGGTCTCACAAGTGGTTCCCTGTTTAAACGATGAAAGCTCCCGGCGGTGACCGGTGACCGGTGAGGTTCCGGAGTTAGCAGCAATCGTCAGCGACGCCAGCTTTGCTTGGCGGGGCATGGTTGGCAGTTCGCCATGAACGCTTGGAAACGTATAGTCGGGTTCAACCTTGTGGTCGCCATCATTGTTCACATAAAATACCGTGCCGAAGAAAGAATACTTAGTTACGTCTATTACGATGACACTACTTGGCTTAGCTCTGTCAATCTAAGTCTACTTCGTACGCATGATACGCAACTGGTTAGGTTTGTAGACGAAGTTCTCAGCATAATTCTTGGGAGGGATCTTCTTGACCGTTGGTTGTTGGCTAAAGAGCCGAGGGTGTTAGTCATAAAGATAAACATTGTATCAATTTGGACTTACACATAGTAGTCCCAGCCTGGAAGATGAATATGAGCGAGTGAGAAATGGCCATACACGAAACACCTCGTAATACTCTTACCTTGTTTTGTCGCAAAGTGAATAGCGTCCTCCTTGGTGCGGAAGGATATGCGGGTTCCCTGCATGTAATCGGCACTAGACAAATATCAGACTCACGTCGCAGTCAGTATGGCAAAGGTGAACGTACGAGCTGGCATAGCCCATGAGTGGGTTCTCCCATCTGCCGGCACCCTGTAGAATCTCCCAGTCTATCCGCCAACGCTCACTCTTCCCGGAGCCGCTCTGCATGGTGTTCCTAGTAGGTTGGTAGATGCGCACGGCACGGTGGCGCAGCTCAGCTGTCATGATGAGTTTCCAGAGTCGGGTTTGGTAGTCTTCAAACACTCACCTGGAGCACCACTGGTTGTGTCGGCAGGGTAGACATCTGTGAAGACGGGCTCAGAGATCTGCTGGCTCTCTTTCTCAGCCGGGTCCCTCGTCTGGACAGGTTGGATGTCTGGGTTCGTGGAGATGCCGCGACTGTAGACAGAAGCAGAGCTGCGTAAGCTCTGGCTCCGGAGAGCTAGTTGAGAAATGCGAAGCATTGACATGCTCGATGAGCGCTTGGTGGTGTTGTAACTGCAAGACGGCCACTGCCGCCGTCGGGTGTGCCTGCCTAATTGGGGCGTTCGAATCCCGACATTCGAATGTCAGGGTGAAGTTTCAGGACAACTCTTGCGTCAGTGACTCAACGCCATTCAATGTCAGACCAAAGAACGTCTGGGTGCATTAGTATTGCTGCTGTATCTTAAATCTTTCTGGTTGCAGAGTTACCTATAGGCTACAGTGGTCTGGCCTCGAGCTGCTATCAGCTGAGAATAACTCTCGATGATTGGTCCTGCTCAAACCGGAAGTAAACTACCAGTATCCTCTCAGATACCAACTTCCTTACCCACGTCTTGCGAGATAATGGCCTCCTCGCTCTGCGGCTGGCGCTTTTCTCCTAACCGCCAGTGCTTTCACTCGCCATGGCTAATGGCCAGCAACAGACTCCACGTATAATCATCATAGGCGCGGGGTACGATGAACCGGAGCAATTGACTACTAGCTCGGAGGACTAACAAATACAAGGGTCGGTGGCCTCACTTGTGGCATCCGTTTGAAGACCAAACTCAAGCTTGAGAACTTCACGGTAGGTCACGCAATCATGCATCTGTTTCTGACACTTCATGACATTGTTACCAGATCTATGAGAAATCGGAGGAAATCGGAGGAACATGGAGAGTGAGTGATATGAGGATCAAGCCTTAGACATCATCCATGACGGGCTAGGATTTCTGATACAGGCCAATACATATCCAGTCAGTCACAGGCCCACGCAGACAGGAATCCATCATGACTTCGCTTGTATTCTAGGGCTGCTCGTCTGACGTGCCGGTTCACTGGTATAGTTTATCATCCGATCTGAATCCAACTTGGAGCAAATCGCATGCCTTGCGTCCCGAAATCCAGGACTACTGGTTCGCTCTAACGGGGAAGTATGGTCTATACAGTAATCTCGTCTTCAACACGCGCGTCGTATCAGCAGACTGGGATGCAACCAAGCATGCGTATGCTGTCGTCATCGAGGATGTGTCGACTGGAAATCGGCTGCATACTTCAGCTGAGATCGTAATATCCGCGGTTGGTGTGCTCGAGCAGCCATATCTGCCATACAAAGAGATACATGGCATAGATAACTTCAAAGGGCAATCTTTTCATTGCGCAAAATGGCCACATGAGATTGATCTCCGCGACAAAAACGTCGCCGTCATTGGCAATGCTTCGTCTGGGTGAGTCCCGGAAGTTCATGTGGTTTTCACCCATTGAGAATTCCATGTCATAGTGCTCAATTCATACCAGCTATCACAGAGGATCCCACGACAAAGGTCGTGAACTTCATTCGGACACCGGTGTGGTTTAATACCAGGGCAAGAATATTGATTCAGGTTCCTTCTTGACCTTAACCAAGCTTACCTACTAATTGATAGCCTCATATACCCTATTCAAATGTTGAGAAATGGGCGTTTAAGAACATCCCAATGGTTATGAAATTTCACCGAGCCTGGATTATGTTCGACGTACGGCGTCCATAATCCAAGTATTCTCTTGGACTTACTCTTGTATTGTAGATGGACTATCCTGCATGGTTTCTCCCCAACGCGAAGACCAAGGCAGCACGCATCGAGGTTTGTGCCAAATTGTCTCCAAAGACGAAGAGTCGTGAAATTGAGATGCATGCCAGGGTATGAAAAAATACATACTAGATAACACGCCGTCCAGATACCATTCCAAATTGATACCTCCACATCGTGCGATTGACAGTCTTTCCTGCACGATCGTTGCTAACATTTCCTAGCACCTGGCTGTAAGCGTACCGGTATGATTATCAATCTTGCAACCTAGTATTGCGATCACATGCCCTGTCCTCAGTTGCAGATAGTGGTTATCTTGCCAGCACACATCGACCTAACTTAAGCCTGAATTTCGATGGGATCAGTGAAGTTGTTGGAGATGGTCTTGTCACTAGAACAGGTAGGCTGACGTTTGTGATATTCAGTGCGACTATTCATTTACATCAATCTTAATCAGGGGAAATGTTACCTTTCGATGTCATCATCTACGCTACTGGCTTTGTTGGTGTAGGTGCCTAGCTTTGCGTACCTTCAAGGACTATATTGATGTTCCCTGTTCCGAAGGATAAATATCCTGTGCACGTCAAAGGATTTAACGATGTCACTGTGCGCGGGTACTACAAAGTTCATGGCGGTCCTACGGCCTATCGCGGGACCACCATACCTGGCATACCGAACTTTTACATGATCGCAGGTGTGCTTGATCCCTTCGACCCTAAAACCCCCCTTTAAACAACTTCCGCAGGTCCCAATACAGGAACCTCGACATCAACCCTTTTTGTAGAAGAGGTTCAGGTGGAATACATCTTACAAATGATCCAACCTGTCCTCGACCATCGCCTTACGTGGCTGACTGTCAAAGACGATGCGACGGATGCGTACAACAGGCGACTCCAAGCGCGCCTGTCGCAATCAGTACATTCAGAATGCTACTCGTGGCAGCGCGTCGACGGGACTGGCAAGATCTTCAATCCGTTTCCCTGGGCGGTGATCCTATGGTGGTGGCGACTTCGTTGGCCCAGGTGGTATGATTACGAGGCGAGCGACAAAGGATGGAGGGACTCGCGGTTTCGTCGCCTGATAAGGTGGCTCATCATGCTAGTGTTTTACAGGCGCAGCGAAGTACCTGCGTCGTGACGAAATGCTATGGACACAATGCACAAATAAACAACGTATAGTTGACAGAACTGGACAGCGAATAAGTGAGTAAAGACGCGTAGGAATACAACATGATTGTAAATGCTGTGAATATTACGTGCCGAATTGAACTTGGTATATATGCAAGGTCCATGATGCGAAAAGGATAATGGTAAAATTGGTCTGGTAAAGTCTTGCCAACTCAGCTGTCGAACCCGATGAGTCTGCTGACGGGACGAAGGGTGATTACCGGCTGCCTGTCGACTGCTTCTTCCGTCTCTTCATCTGATTCGTCTTCTTCATCGTCGCTTTCGGAGTAACCGCGATTAGGACCAAACATGCTGACGACGCGTCTCACTGGCGCTTTAGGCATCGTTGCGGTCGACGAGAGAGGCGCACGAAGAGCGATGGCTTGTTCCGCGAGCTCCAATACAAGAGAAGCATCAAGCTCCAATGTGAACAAGTCGAGGATGTATCTCCGAACTGGCAACCGATAGCGGTAATTTGAGATGGTATGTAAGGCTCGGTAAAACGTTGCTGGTGAGGAGAAAACATGGCGATACTCTGGCCGGGATTTCATCCTGGACAACGGTCAGCCATGTTCAGTCTAATGTCAGTTTGGTGACGCACTTTGCTAGGGATCGCGAAGCAGCATTTGCAATCACTGTGTTGCTGAGGTTGTCGATGACTGTCATAACTTCTACCTCATGCTGAGATATGGGAGGAAGAAGCCCGCTCCGAGCATCCTTCTTGGGCTCGATAACGTCCCATGCAGGCATCTTGCGAGAGTGTAAGCACATGCACAACCCATGGCAATGCAAAACCTACTGATATAAATTTGTCAAGGTCAACCGGGACGCACAAGCCAGTTGGGAACCCTAAAGGCGACAAGGTCGCTTCCCACCCACAGTCATCGAGAATATCAACGCCTTGCGGAGTTGATGATATTAGACCCAAGACGAAGAAACATGTGCTGAAATTTCATTGAGTTTCAAACTGGGTAGAGTCGCATATGTTGTACGCACCCTCGCACGGACGGTATTAAGGATTGCTCCGCAATCTTGAGGATATCTGGTATTATTTCCGCCTCTACAAGGAAAGACAGTCCCCTCGCTGTCGCTCCGATACTGCCCTGGAATATGGTAAGTCAACATCGCAGCAAACTGGCTTTAGCTTACCACCGCCCAAAGGATACTCTTCAGCTTCAAGATCAATTCAACATCCTCACTCTCGAGGGCGTGGTCCCGGATAGACGAACAAAACTCCAAAAAATGGCCCTTCTCTTCAAGGACCTGACAGCCGAGTTCTGTTTTTGATAACTCGCCATAGAAATGAGCGGGGACGGCGCCGTCGAAAGGCCTGTTTAGTGGTCACTACTCAGCCAACGTCCCAGCAGCAAACAAATAAGTAACCCACAGGGCATCAGCGCTATACTCAACATCGGAACTGAACACTTTGGCCAAGAATATTTCGACTTGCACAACGTATTCAAGATTCCGCTCCTGAATCCGAATAAATTTTTCGAGTAATTAGATAATAAATACTGGACATACGTGAAACCAAGACTCCATTTCGGCTTGAATATAGTTTGCGTCGTAGAGGTAGCGGAAGCCCATAGAAGTGGACATAAACCTTCAATAACTATGAGCATCCAAGCGGCACAGCATGAACTTCTTAACCTTACTTTAGTAGTAGCGGATGTCCAATTGGACCTAAATGATCCATGGTAGGTTGCATCTCAACCACAAGCTGAAGGGTGTCCATGTCGTCACAGACCTCTTCCAGCGTTTGCACAGCGATCTGGCATACTTCGGGCAACGGGTCATATAGCTGTGTGACGAGCATTCGGAGCATCCACCCCACGGGTGCCGCGGAACTTTGCACCATTCCCGCAAGGTGGCGGGTAGTGAACCGGCGAAGATTCTGGATGTTTGTGAGCTTGAGTGTACCATGGTACGCAAAGGACGTCATACGAGACCACCCGTTGTCAACGTCTTTGACAGTATCAGGCGCGAATGACCATCTCTGATTTTCTGCGTGAGTATCGTATAAAGAGTAGTTCAAGGATCTTACAGTGAGTAATCCAGATGCTCAATGACGAGCTTCATGATATCTTCACGGCCACGAATCTCAGTGAGGTTGTACAAAGCAGTAAACACTTTTGCCTTCTCCATTAGACTGACAAAGGAACATAAGTTGGGTAAAGTGATTAACGATCCATTGATACTCACTCTATGCCGTCTGGATGCTTGCTCAATGTTCCAAGAAGTTCGAAATACCCGAATGTTAACGTAGTTCTCATCTTGTGATCTGAGAAGTAAGGTTCTATGTCCCCCAAATGGACACCCTGAAAATTCTGTCACGAGAAATCCCATTTTATACAGTGCGACTTACAGGCATGAGCTGCATAAACGCCTTGACAATCTGTTTCAGCAGATCATCTTCTGTCATCAGGTAACGGACTCCTTCTGGACTTGCGAGAAGTGTATTCAGAAGCGAACAGCCCAACCGGATCCATCGTTGGTTCGTCTAAACAGATACTTAGATTGATAACAAAACACAAAAATCTGTGTTGCCTTACTGAATTCTTGGGAAGATCAGAAAACCGACGGGAGAAAGGATGGTAGAATGACAGCAAGCGCTTCATAAATCGCGCAACTTTGATTGCTTCTTCCAGACGTTTCGGGTTCAGGAATGGCCCCTCGATCAGTTCTTGCAATATGTCGAAGTGCCACTTCGTATGGTCTTTGGTGAGCGTGACCTACGGCATCAATCTTTTAGCATCAGCGAATTTGCTTGCATTTGTTCTCTAACCTGAGTTTCAAGCAAGGACGTCTGGAAAGTTTTATCGTCCATCTGCATGTTTGCCTTCAACTTTGCTTGCTCAACCTGCCGTTGCCCTCGGCGAACAGCCTCTTCGGAAGAGTTGGCCCTACCCTGATGGTCAGCATCATCCACATAAGGGCCTCGGCGGCATTACCTGGGTCGGCCATTGATAAATGTGGTCTGAAGACGTCCTCTATTGCGATTGAAGCTGTCGATCTGAGAAAGTGCCGATGTCCCAATGATGCGACTTTCTCCACGACCATATTCCGATGCAAGATCAAAAACACGAGGAATAGCCTAAATACGCCGTCAATATATCTTGCCGTGAACTGATTTGAACTAGAGACATACTTGAATCTTGCTTGCGGTTGGAAGAGGAAGCACCCTATTGGCTATTTGCATAACTTCCGCCATCAGCAAAGTAGCCTTCCGTGACAAGCTTGAACTAGTTGCACACTCCTCGAGCATGCCTGTCAGAGCCTATAACTCACTTAGCACCATTATAACCATGATGATGATGATTACGAACATCAATCAGGCCTGCATCCGTGAATACAAGGACAAGTAATGCAATGTATTGATCTGTTAGCTTCAGGCTTTCTGGAGTGTGTTCATTTGTTGGTAAGGGTAGCAGTCGCTCAGACGGTTGAATTCTTGATTTGCGATACACTGCATTAAACACATTCAGCTCACAACCACCACAGTAAGCAGGTGATTTCTACTTGTCAAACGACGGCCATCAATGAAAGCCTTGTACCAGTCTGAAGCTTGAATATTCAGAAGATCGAAGAAAAAGTCCAGTACTATTTCCTATGTTGAGATAGACACAAATGAGTCTGGAAAATGTCGCACCGCCATTGCTAATGACTTACCCTAGTATCCATTGACGGGATGCGCAAGGTATCGACAATGGAACGTATGGCCTGTTGCTGGTCCATACAGAAGTACATGAGGCCTGATGGCCGTCAGCAACAGTAGTTGCAACATTAAATCAACTTACCACTCCAGGTTCGCAACATGAGTTGTATCACTTTAGCAGAACCGCGCATTCTGTCCGCATGATCTGGACCGCGACCATATGCGTCGGTAAAAGGAGAAAGCGCTATCTTTCGCCAAGGTTTGATATCAGAACATTGCGAATGCTGCAATAAAAGGGGCTCACTTCTAGGTCCGTGCCAAGCCGCAGGTAGCAACGCGTTTTAGGCGAATCAACGATATGAAGGAACGTTGCAGCCAAGAGAGGTGCAAGCTCAATGGGTCCTTCGCCCAAAGCATGAAGTAGAAACCTTATTCCACCCGTTCTTGCTACCAGGTCGATATCGAGTAAAACTAGTTGGAGTGAGCGAGATCCTCAAGATATCTCTCGAAGGACACACACCCATTTCAGCGAGGGTTTGGATGCATATCAATCTAAGAGGTTCCTCAGCATGTTCAGCCACCGCGATGAACGCGCGCATGACAGGCTCCGATAAAGGCACTACTCCTGTTCCGGGAGCTCCTCGTCGATCGCGGTTCTCGGAAACTACATCTAATACTGCACGAATGAGTTTGATGACCTGCTCTTTCTCTTTCTCATGTTTGTTGTCTCGTGACAACGTCCTAAAGATGGACATATTTGAGGGCGTGTTGATACGGGAAAAAAAGAGGTCAAGTACCTGACTATGTACCAGTCAATGGGCTGTTTGGAAATCTCTTCTAGCGATGCGACATTCACGAGCGCGAGCCGCATGATACGGTACGCTGATGTACGGCATTGAGTAGAGCATTTATCTGCGAGGGATGGCGTTACACTTTAAAAATGAGCGACAAAGTGTGCTGCCCGGCGACAAAGACACCCTACGCTTGAAGTAGCTCGGTAACATCGAGCTCATAGCATACACGTATGTTTCGTCTGAGGATATTTCCAAGCCTGTTCTGCAGATCGATGCGATTGCGGTCAACGTCTGGCCCGTTTGCAGACTGCGATGTGCCGGAGGACAATGAGGTTACAGGCGGCGATATAGCTGAATGGCCAAGTCCGGATAACGACTGGATGCAACTCTGAGCTTGACTCAGAGCTGTTCGGAAGTCTTCTGAAAGGGCAAGGAAGGTTCGACGCTGGTAACCTGGTGACACGATATTGAATCAACTTACCCTTATCCTCAATATCCTCTTTGTTCCTCAGGCTGGCAGCGTTCTGTTGTGCAGGTCCGCGGTTGCTGAGTAAGGACCCGACTGAGTTATTCCTTGGTCTAACACCGCGAGACGCCTCCTCTAATATTGAACATAGAAATGAGTGTTGATTATGTGCCCCCGTACAGAAGATTACACACCAAGGTCAATCTTCTGCGAGAGGGTGGCGATCTCTAGCGTGGCCATTTTCAACTCTGTCTGCACCTTGAGGCGCATGTGTTCCTAGCAAACACAGGTATTTTGAGTAGAAGCTCAACCATAGTTATGAACAATCACATACCGGCAGCTCCAAGTTCAACAGTTTCTCCGCCCCCTCCTTAATGCGAACCTCTCGGGCAAGTAGGACATTCAAAGCATCAAGCTGAGGGAAATTGGATTAAACCCAAAAGCGAATTATATGCCCAGAGAGAGCCGACCTTGTCTTCTGGCAATTTGGTACTGGCAGAATCCGATTCGCTGGTAATGAGGGTAGAGGACGCGACGGAAGCATTCGAAGGGGGCGTAGCTTGCGAGACATCATGATCGGTGCTCGTTGGCATCAACGCTGGATGCAAATGGTGATCCTGGGTTATGAGCTGCCCGGTAGCAGCTTGTAATGGACGTACGCGCTCTGAGTCTGACGGTGGGCATCCTCTGCACGCGCCTCAGGCTTGCTCTCCGATCGTGGGGAAATTGCTCAGAGTGATAAGATAGCCCCTATATGGACGTGTCTCCACGTAGTACTTGCACGAACTTTCAACCACAACGCGACTAAACCACAGCGAGAATACTAGGAGTACCGACATAATGTCAGCAGCCGCGTGAAGAAGATAATTGTTGCTGCCCTACACGTTGCAACTCACAATGGAACGAAAGTAAAACGAATGCAGACCGTAACTTGCGTTCGCATCTTTATGGTTACTTCATCATGGGACTCAGCGAAACGCGACAGGCGATCTCAGATCTCAGATCGCAACGTCAACGTATAAACGTATATGGACATTCCCGTCATGTCGTGCAACTCAGAGTGGACGAAGCAGTTGTCATTGTGCAATAAAGTATGTGGCTGTGCAAGATAGTGCGTGATCAAAAACCAGCTTTGTGCAAATCTCAGCCGATATGTTATCTTATGTTATCCCACCAGCAGGGTCGTGGAGCTTCGCTGCGATGCTTGAGCTTGATGGCCGAGTTCTCCACGTTATTTGCTACGAAGCTGAAAGATACACGAAGAGAGTGCAGCACCGGCTGCTTACCAAGAGATATAATAGTTTAAGTACCCTTCGGTCTGCAGGTCTCCGAGGTCACCTCGAGCAACTTCAGCAACGGCCTTTGCAAGTCATGTATAGAGGTAGAAAAGAGCACAAGAAAGTCTCATACGAATAGGCATAAGGTGGATGGCAGTAAAATGTGGTCGGTGACGCGTGAAACCGGGCCAACGAGTTAGGACACTAGACAAGAGGATTTTCAGCCAAGAAATAAGCCCCTTGTGATAGCCACAATGTAGCTAGAGGGACGTCGTGGAAGGCACTGAAGTCACATTGGTTGATGGTCAGTGAGGAGGGCTACTAGGGAGGAAGGGTTCTCGTTTAGGAAATCAAATTGCCGGCAAATGCCGAAGTACTGCACAAGCAAGGTTTAAGCCACTCATGGCCGTCCCTCTGGTACGGTATCACAAAGTCAAGGCCAACGACGCGCTCAACAATTTCCTCAAGATGGGTACGTAGTCGCTGCCGGTCGAAAATACGGTCGATGCTGATTTCAGAATCTAGTTCGCTACGCCGCCGCCGCCCTCGCCACCAACCCCGAAAAGTGTGCGTTTCCCAAGGGCTGACATATCGATAGAGTAGGGCTGACGGTAGTGGGGTTATCCAGCCGCCCGCGCACGGGGCGAGTACCTCCGTACTCACTTCAAGAACATGCGCGAAGTTGCTGCGGCTCTCACCGGTGCGTGGCATGGTTGTTTATACGGCGATCCAACTTCTGATTTGAATGCATCAGGCCTGAAACTCACCAAGGCCTACACCTACCTCTCTGACGTCTCGGAGCACAAGCAGATTATCCCCTTCCGCCGATTTGCAGGTGGCGTTGGCCGCGCCAGCCAAGCGAAGCAGTTCAAGACGACTCAGGGTGAGTGACATACTTTGGATGCGCAACCAAGGCGTGCTGAAGGGAATGGAAGGTCGCTGGCCTGAGAAATCTGTCAAGTTCATCAGTCGCCTCCTCAAAAACGCTGAGTCGAACGCCGACGCCAAGAGCTTGGAGCTCGAGAGCCTGTTTATCAAGAACATTGTCGTTCAGCAGGCACCTGTACGCACATGCCCACCTCCCTGTATCTGGGGGATCGACTGATCCTAGTTGTGCAGAAAACCCGCCGCCGCACGTACCGTGCTCATGGTCGCATCAACCCCTACCAGGGTCACCCCTGCCACATCGAGATCATCCTCGGCGTCTCGGACGAGGAGGTCGAGCGGAGCAAGGACAAGGACGCCCTTGCCAAGTCGTCGCTTTCGTCGTTGAACCGGAGACAGTTGGCCCGCAGGCGGATCGCAGCTGCACGCTCTTGAGTGCGTGACTTAGCTGTTGTGGGGAGGAGGTCCAGGTTTTACTATGAGCATCGCACCAGAAGGCGTAAGACGACCTACTTGCTATGTATCCAAGTATGTTCTATGCCATGACACGAAAAGCTTACTCTTCAGCGATGCTGTGAACTGATGAATCCTTGAACAGTGAGTTCATTCCTCTCCTTGTTGCTTCAAAAAAGGCCATGAAATTGCGTGAAAGTTTGCCGTACATATAATGCGTGGACAAGTATCCAGGGAAAGTCTGACGTGATGTGTAATGCAAATACAAAGGTATAAAATCTAGAGAATCGTTTAACGTTTAAGGTTCGTGCGACTGAGGTTGGGGATAGAAAATGAGTGTGGGGAGTCCCTGGGAGGTACAGGTCAGGGAGGAAGCAATGTAATATGGCAATAGTTATCGATATTGCGAGGACAACCTGAGTTAGAAGGGTTCAGTTCAACGTCAGGACAAAACTGCTTTAAACTGTGCATTGGCACTTGTAATGACGTTGCGAAGGGAGCTGGTACGAATCGGACTTGGAGGTGCTTGACCTCGGTAAGGACTGTTCAGCGCTGTTAATTCTTTGCTTTTACTGAGGTCAGCTAGACTCTAGGACATCATGAGCAAGATTGTTCACCTTCTATATCCAAGACGAGCCAGAAGCGCTTCTTCCTCTGTATCGTTCATATTGAATTTTGCAGAGACGTACTCGAGATATTTCTGTATTAGTTCGATACGTTCAAATGCATAGGGAGAGCGACACATTTCCATGGCTACATGTGGCATTGCATCCTGAGTACGTCATATATGGAGGAGGAGAGATATGGATGTACCTTGCACGATTTTCGTCAAATCGCGATACCTGTTGACGGAAATAAGCTCCGGTGAGGTATTGTTCACCTTGATTGCAACAGGGCGACTGAATATCTTGATGACATCCCCAATGAAGATAGCTGTTGGGGTTGTCATTCGTTAACTGCTCTTTCAGAGCTCCAAAGGAACGTGGACACTCACACATCATGGGAATGGCTGGCATGCCAGGAGACTCGCGGAGCGCATAATGGTATTCGGCATGGTCATACATATCAAAGAATCGCTTGAAGTTTTGATAGTTTATTTGATGGTTAGCAGATACCGCCTGAGTCGGAATGTGAAGTTAGTTTCAGGAACGGTAGATGATAACAAACGCACTCACGTTGCGCTCTGTAACAATACGTTCTACACATCTGCGCTGTAAGCCAGTAAAAATTGCACACGATGAGCCAAAGTTACGGTGGCGAAGACATGCCTAAAGAAGAAGAAGAAATTAGAACTGCTGCAATGAATAGTCGAAGGATACGAACCGCAATCACGTCGAGTAGGAATTCGCATGCTTTGACACATTCCGAGGCTGATTGCTGTAATATTACGGAACTGGTGGCCCACAGGCTCAGCGCATTCTCGAAGACAACCAGCGATCTCATCGTCTCGCCGCCCGTACGTTTCTCTGGAGCCACACGCCAAAAGTCGACCGCATCATCAGGGCGATAGCTAGCATACAAGGTGGCAGCCAGAAGGGTGAGCTGGCGCGCAAATTCCTCGGCGCCTTTGAGACCCCACAACGCAAGCACGTTAATGTCCTCAAATCTGCCGGCGAGCAATGCCCGTTTCGTCTTTCGGTCAAGCTGAAAGTCCGTCGGGGAAGGTGGATGTAGTTGATGGCACTGCCGATTATGCTCTACCATGCGAGTCAGTCTGTGTCCATGGTAGTTATCGTCCTGTGTCGATGCTATCTCGCCTAGAGAGTATGTGATTTTTGCTGCTTCGATGTGCAGCGAATCCTGAGGCAAAGATTTGGATGCGAATTGACGTAGTGGTTCATATACTTGTTTATCGTGTCCGTGGCGCCAATGAAGCTCTACCCAAAGCTGTAGCAGATTAGCAACGATGGCCTTGATCTCCGTGTCTGACGAATTTTCGTAGCGCCATACCAGTGCTTTAAAGGCCTGGAGTGGGGTTTGCATGTAGCGAAAGCATAGCAAGAAGATGTTGACAGCTTCGGGATCTGAAGAGCCTACAGGGGAAGTTACGAAGCCTATGAAACCCTCGAACGTTGCACCAACAAGATATCCATGTCGATCCGTCCAGGCGCTAGGTACATGTTGGAAAGGAGAGACTGCAGATCGTCGACCAGGTGATGATATTTTAATCGTGCTTTTCTGAAGTCCTCCAGATGGGTCCAGATAGTGCAGATGCCCGTTCTCGAGAGATGCCTCAGTCCGGGGCTGAAGCTCGTTGCGTACCCGCTCAATATGTTGACGGATCTTCTTCGCTGCATTCTTACCATTGTACTTGTCCACACGTTGCTCCAAGTGCTTTCGACAGAACGCTATTGAGGCCAGAAGATCTTTTACGGCTTCGTTTGCGTGCTTGTCGCAGGGACTGCGCGCAAGAGTGTGCGCGCAAGAAGAGAAGTCCTTGACCACAGAGCAGAACTCGTCAGTTTCTTTGTAGTTCCCCCTTTTCATTTTTTGGAATGTTTCGAGAACAGCTTGGTAGTGCTCTTCCAAGGTGCCATCAGAGCAGACTAGCTCATCATTCCTTGGTGGATGGAGTGTTGTGCCGGAGCAGTTTGACATGGAAATAAGCAACTAACAGTCGGCCAAGAGCAACGTGATTCAGAGTAGGTCGGGTTGGAGCCAAGGGAGATACCAAAGTCGAGAGCAGCTCAAAATAATGAGCCCTGAGCCAGAGACATATATGTGACTGGGTAACGCTTTGATAGAGTCAAAGCGTATCTATAGAGTTAGCATATGCATTTGGACGAGAGACCTCGTCCTGGTCGAAGCGGGTAATTTTGATTTGCTTGTGGTTTGCTTGATGCTCGAACCGTTTCAATCCGTGTCAAGTAACCGAGCAGAGGCCAAGGGTTGATTAGACGCAGATAGCGAACCCCCGAGGAGCAGATCTTAGGCATTCGGCCTCGATGGTAAATCAGCAAAGTAGCGAGTGAGTCGTGCACTTGAAACAGTCGACAAGTCAATGTAAGAGCCATTTGAAGTGATGGCTTCCAGTTCTCCGGGGCAAGCGCATCCATACGAAAATAACCCAACCGAGTACATTGACCAGTAAGGTCATATTTATTCTCGAACCCGCTTGTCCTCGAGAGCGACGAATAGCCAGCGCGTTTGCAAAGTAGCAACGCACTAATATGCTGTGTGGCTTGAAGTGGCTCTGGAGGAACAAAAACAAAAGGGCTGGGTGAGAAGCGCGACGGAATAGAGTCCGCGTACTCCGCAAAGAGGAGTCTCATGATCCATCTCCTCCCGATTTGGTTCCACAAGCCACAGCGTTCCTTGGCCAGGGCTGTCTGATCCTATCTCTCCTCCGGTTCAAGGCGCAATTCACAGCGGCATTCATACTAGCTATTCGTCCTTGACCTGGTGAGCAGCCATTTGATCTACTGCAAGTCCCAGACCACACGACGTGTTAATTGAGGACCCCTGAAATAGCTCGGTCATCAGCTTCTAAAGGCGCTCAGCTTATATACATAGCATTCTCCCGGCGGCCCACAGCATCTCTCACTCCTTCCTTGCCAACCCACCTTGGCTTGCGCCATCCTCGACATCTACAGCCATCCCTCTGGCATCCCCTCCATCTCTTTGCAAGTATTTGTGTCATTGACACAATTCGTGCGCACGAATGGCAACAGAAGATCGGATATATCATGTCAGGATAACCAGTGCGTTCATAGCGGTCACCTATCAACGCAGCCGCTCACTCTAACATGGCGCTATCCTAGTTCGTGCAGCCAATGCACTAACGCGCCGTGAACTGTTTGGGATGCCTGACCCCTTCGCCGTGGTCTCCGTCGACAGCTCCCAAACGTACACCACCCAGACAGTGAAGAAGTCGCTCAACCCGTCGTGGAATCAGCCTTTTGATGTGTGCGTCCCCCTTCCGTCTCTATCTTGTTCACCATTCTTACTATGCATGCTGTAGTGCCATTCGAGCCTCGTCCACCATCACGATCCAAGTGTTCAACCAAAAACGTTTCCGACAACGAGATCAGGGGTTTCTGGGTCTCATCCGGCTCTCCGGTTCTGAAGCGTTACAGCATGCGTCTCAAGACAACGGTTGGTGCCGTCAATTTCTCAAATTCGTTGCTTGCTCACTGCATTTATTCACAGGACTCATCAGTCAGGATTTAGAACAGTTAACGAGCAGGGCTCTCGCTGGGGGGAAATTACTCTTCACCTTCTCCCACCCTCCAGTAACGACCGTACCTCAAGCATTGAGAGAGGCTATGGATAATACATTACCAGCTCTTCGCATACCTACGCCGTCTCCGTCCTCACCCTCTCCTCAACCACGGCTCCGTTCCAGCCACAGCATGAACTCTCTTCGACCAGATCTCCGAACACACAGCCCTCTCCCACGCATATCATCGCAGAGTACAATGCGACCAAGCCCACCCCCATCCTCTGCTAGTGTGCACCCTTCGAGTTCTTCACACGGCCGCTCAGCGTCCGCCTCCGCTCACTCATCCTCGTTGGGGCTCGAGTCCTCATTTCCTCGCCCACCGACCCACCCGGCTTCATCCGCGCCACGAAACACATCTGACCATGTTCCAAGACACGGGCGCCAGTCCAACAACGCCATGCATACGTCCGATGAGCTTGGCCCACTCCCTGCGGGCTGGGAGCGCCGCTTTGACCAGCGTGGCCGTTCATATTATGTAAATCATAACACCAGAACTACGACATGGAGCCGTCCGCAGCTTGATGTGGCCGGCGCTCCGCCCCAGTCGCCACAACGCTCAGCACCTCCCCCAGGTAGTTTCTTACAGCTCGGCCCCCCCACCTCGAACAACCCGGGCAACTACACCGACATCCCACTTCCACAAGGATGGGAGGAGCGCCGGGCGTCCGATGGCCGCCCTTACTTTGTCGATCACTACAGTCGTGCAACAACGTGGACAGACCCCCGCTCAACGCAAGCATCTCAAGCACAGGCGTCCCAGCAGGCGCTCTCGAGCCATGCCAACCTTGGCCCGCTACCTTCTGGCTGGGAGATGCGACTCACTTCTACAGGTCGTGTATACTTTGTGGATCATAACACACGCACGACGACGTGGGACGATCCTCGCCTGCCTTCGAACGTGGAGGAAGATGCGCCTAGATACAAGCGCGATTACCGTCGCAAGGTCATCTACTTCCGTAGTCAGCAGGCAATGCGCGTGCGCGATGGCAAGGCCGAGATGCGTCTTCGCAGGAACCACATCCTCGAGGACAGTTTCGCGGCTACCATGCGTATGAGCGGAAACGACCTCAAGAAGCGTCTTGTGATCCGCTTTGAGGGCGAGGATGGGCTGGACTATGGCGGTGTTTCGAGAGAGTGGTTCTTCTTGATCTCGCATGAGGTATTTGACCCTGCGTATGGGTTATTTGAGTATTCGGCGCACGACAACTACACCCTGCAAATCAACTGGGCATCGTCCATCAACCCGGAACATATTACTTATTTCAAGTTCATCGGCAGGTGTCTTGGGTTGGCGATATTCCACAAGCGCTTCTTGGACGCATACTTCGTCCCCAGCTTCTATAAGTCAATACTAGGCAAGAGAACCACGTTGGCGGATCTAGAAGGTGTGGATGCGGAACTGCATAGAGGCATGACATGGATGCTGTAAGTTCTACCGTGAAATTATATGGAAAGATACGGTTTTTCATAATTTTAACAGGGAAAACGATATCACTGACGTCCTTGACGAGACTTTCACGGTCACTGAGAGCCGCTTCGGTGAGATGGTCGAGGTAGAGCTGATGCCCGGCGGCGCAGATGTCCCCGTGACAGAAAACAACAAAGCCGAGTATGTCGAGGCGGTGATCGAGTACCGCACGAAGACACGTATACAAGAGCAGTTCACGGCCTTCATGGAAGGCTTCCGCGAGATCATACCCGGAGAACTTCTTAATGTCTTTGACGAACGCGAACTGGAGCTTCTTATCGGTGGCATGTCGGACATCGACGTGTAAGTATCCTGTTGATCTCTTTGATCTCTCTACTGAACATACTCGCGAATACAGGGACGACTGGAACCGTTACACAGATTACCGCGGCTACCAGAAGGACGATCAAGTCATTGAGTGGTTCTGGCAGTGCATACGTAGCTGGCCATCGGAACGCAAGTCGCGTTTGCTGCAGTTTGCGACAGGCACGTCGCGCGTGCCTGTGAACGGCTTCAAAGACCTCCAGGGATCAGATGGCCCGCGTCGGTTCACGATCGACAAGTCTGGTGACCCCTCTCAGCTTCCGCGGAGCCATACGTGTTTCAACAGGATTGAACTTCCTCCTTATGAGGATTACGAAAGTTTGGAACGAAAGCTCATGTTCGCTATTGAGTGAGTGCCATAAAGGATATGCCCACAGGATACTGAGACTGACCAATATTTTCAGCGAAACCGAAGGTTTCGGTGTGGAGTAAAGTCGCAACTTCTTAAGGTCCCTAACGGCCGGTTCACGCACCTTGAACGCCTTTACGCCGCATCACGCCCATGTATCGTTATTCCCATTTCGCTATCCATCGACCTACATTCTTGTTTGTCTCCCTCTTTGCATTGTTTTCTCCTTCGGAAGGCAGGATCCGCTCGAAGCGGTGTTCTTACACGTAGTATCTGATACTTGCACTAATTTGTAGACTCGTTTTGTATCTATCTACTGTTTGATTATGACCACGTTCTCCATTTCTGACTCCAGTACCTGACTGAGGGGCTTGCGAGGGACTGAGTTTTCCAACGTTCTAACCTAAGGGTAGTACGATCGGCAAGCTCCGCTGAGACGCGTAACACCCTTTCTGACCACTAAGCACCTCCAATCTGCTACTCAAGTTCGATGCACCTCTAATGGGATTCATGCTGCCCTCCACCTCTCCGCGCGAACACGCGCGCCAGCTCATTGCGCGCAAGGATGAGCTCGAGACCGAGATCGCCGAGCAATTCGAGATCCTCCGTGAACATGGCAGCGACATGACGTCGCCCCTCGTCGACCGGGACGGCTTCCCTCATCCAGACCTCGATATCTACGCGATTCGCCACGCGCGCCATCGCGTCGCCGTGCTGAGGAACGATCTCAAGGCACTCATGAACGAGATCGCGAGCGCGCTCGAAGTCGTGTACGAGCCGCCTGCGAGGAGCGCAGGCGCCGCTGCCCTGCCTCAGGGCGTTGGCAGTCCTGGGTCGGCCGCAGCGGCAGCTAGTCCACCTGTGCTTAGGCCATTCGCAAAAGTGAACGGTGTTGCGCCTGGCAGCCCAGCGGCTGAGGCAGTAAGTCGCTATCCTACTTTTGGGAGATATGATGGGCGCTTAATTATGGGATTACGTGCAGGGTCTCCAAAGAGAAGACCTCATCATCAAGTTTGGACATCTTAGCCATGCACACTTCCCTTCGTCGGACTTGGAACCACTTGCTGATCTGGTGTCGCGAAATGAAAACGTAGGCAGCGAACTTTTTCTTTTACGCACCTCCTTTTGAGTTGTATCATCTTAGCGTGAACTAGAAGTGCAAATACTTCGTTCTGGCGAACCGAATACTCTGAAGTTCACTCCACGGAAGGGATGGGGAGGGCGGGGGATGCTTGGGTAATGTCTCTCCTTGAATCGCGCTTTCTACACCACTAACCACACCCACAGATGCCACATAGTGCCATACTCACCATAACCTTCAGTTGAAACCTCAATATACTCGGTGCTGGATCATCCAAGCGCCAAGCTATGCCTTAGGCTCATGCTTGCAGTCTGTGTAACAGTACGCGTTGTTTGTACGTTATAACTTGGGTCCATATACAATGTTCCTATTGCTCCTCGCTCTTTCACTGCTTGCCTGTCGTGCCTTCCGCACGTCGTTGAGGGCAGCTTCAAGTCCGCCTTCAGTCACCCAGCGCGTAAACGCCTCTACATCAACTTCATGTGCGGGAGCAGACTTCGTATTCCAAGCCCACACTGCATGTTCGAGCAGGAACAACGCTGACGCACAGTGCCCGAGCAATAGCAATGCTGGGCGAGGTAGCACTGGCGAGGCGTTGGTGTCACTATATGCGCCCTCGACTTCTTGTAGTCCTGTCCTGAGAAGGGCGATTGCATCTTTGAATCGACTTTGCATCTCGCCTGTGCAGGTGCCAATAATCCTACTGCTCCACTGGATATAGGGTGAGTACCAAGTGACACTCAGTCGATATGTGACCCACCGAATTAAAGGCACCAAAAACCTTAGAATCTTTCGCAGACCGCATCACATCAACTGCCATGACAGAAGTTGTACCTTCCCATATCTTCTCCACAAGACCGTCACGAATAAGCCTAGATAATGTCAGTGTAGAGCCCCTGCAAGGTAAGTCAGCACATACCGCCCAATGCCGACCTCCTCCATATACCCAAGGCCTCCCAGAGTCGTCATTGCCTCTTCCATGGCCGTACACGCCTTCTGGGACACAAAGGCCTTCGTGACGGCCGACAGAACTCTGAGTAGGTACTTATCTTCCTCGGTTGCCATGCCCGCTTCACCACGTCCCATGAGGACGATTGTGCCGAAGACAAGGTGCGTCAACGCTCGATACAAAACCGCAATCTCGGCCAAATGAGCAACATGCACGGCGTTCTCGCTTAGCATCTCCTTGCCGCCCTTTATTGCGCGCACACGCGAGTACGCGGTCGCAATGGCGAGGCACTTGCGGAGGTAGCTCACGCCCGAGATTGCGCTGTGCAGGCGTGTAATGTATAGCACGGGCAGGATCGCCTTGACGCCCTCGTTGAGGTTACCGAGGAGGTACCCGGTCGTGTTGTTTAAAGAGAGCTCAGCGGTAGGCACGATATGCGTTCCGATCTTGTTCTTGAGGCGGTGAACAAGGATGCCGTTACTCGTTGGTGATGGCGGAGGGGAAACGTTATGGAGGAGCGGGAGACGCAAGGGTATGAGGAAGAGCGAGAGTCCGCGCGAGCCTGACGCAGCTGTTCCCGTGCGCGCAAGCGCGACGGAGACGTTACTGTCCGTCGCGCTGGAGAACCACTTGAAGCCATTGAGCTTGTAAGCGGGCCAGTTCGCGTCATTGCTCGTGGCGGCCGGGCTTGCATGAGTTTCAGTCCTGGAGACATCAGATCCGCCAGGTCGCTGGGGGGAACAAGCTCAAGTATGAACGGGGGGAAACTATCACAAGTGTTTACCTCTGTCATCCATTGTCCAGAGGTAAAGGCAATCTTGGGGTCGCGGCTGGACGGACATCAGCGGGTAAGTTGTGAAATTTAGACTTCAGCTAACCTGATCAGTCGCGGAAATACGTCCTGTTTCATCTCTGGAGTGCCGAGGAGCTCGAGCACTTGAGGCTGAGCTTAGTCTCCGTTCAGCAAGGAAGATCGGAAAATCATAGCCCACCCCTTGCACATCCATCTGTCATACTCATCGGGCAGTCCACCTGTACAAAATTTGCTGAGCTATCGCAAAATTATGCCGCTGTAGACACTGAAATGCTCACCACTTGTGTGTCCGCGTCCATGAGGAAAAGCTTTGCAAACCCGTAGACCCGACTATATTCGCCATACTTCCGCTCGTAGAATATCCCAGGTAGTCCCTCTTTAAAAAGGGTACATTTGAGCTCCTGCCATGCTTCGGAGGTCTCAAGACGATCAACGCGTTTGCCCCAGTGGTCGTACTGAACTAGCCGAGGGGGGTACGCACGCTGCGCGACTGCACGAATTGCTGGTAGAGTAAGGCAGAAATGAGACGGCCTTCGTAGACGCGAAAGGCGGGAAGCAGACGTACAATTGATAACGTCATGTCCTACTCGGGTGAGGTCAGGCTCAACTTCCTCCAAGACACTGCACAAGGATGTAGCGCGTTAGTAAGTTTGCGATCATGCGTTCGTCATCGTACGTACCCTGGAGGAAGCAGTCTCTTGAGCAAGTCTGGAAGCACGCTATCCGTCGAATAGGCATTCCCTTCTACGTACGCTTCCTGGGGAGAAGCATATGTGTGAGCCGTAGCGCTAGCAAGCAAGTTGAGCCGGTGAGTTGCCGGTGAGCATACGATTTGGAAACCTTCTTCTGCCTTCATGACGGGGATGAGAGTCGGGTCAAGTTAGGGCCAGTGAAGGCTGCTCTTCGCGTCAGAATGAAGGAAGTTCAAGAACGACAAAAAGCCCAAAACATCCGCTTGCGCTCGTCATCCAGATGGAGGCTCGGTGTCTTGTGCTTTCCCAACATGTCTCCATGGCGGATTTCAGGGGGAAACGGTCTTGTGTTGATGTCAACCGGGATTAACCACCCAATACCCCGGATCCACCGGCTTTCGGGGATCGGACATTCCCCGCGTTAGCCGGCACGATGGCCATATTTTATTGGGCAGGCTTGGACCCACAGTACTACTTGTTGGTTCCCAGACGCAGCACATGACAATGAGATATTCACTCATCCATTCGGGACAGTTTCCATCCAGCGATAATCAATGAACGTTGCGTTGCGTGTGAGATAATTGATTATATCTACAAAATACATGACATTGAAAGTTCAGGGTACACTAGGATAGGACCCAACTACTAGGATCACGCAACCTTTTTGAAGAGCACGCAGAAGTATGGGATAATTTAAGCGATCACCCTACCATTGACGATCTGCGAAGAGTCATAGATGCGCATCGCTTCTTTGGCAGCCTTTATACCACTGGCCATCATGGCACCGAAGGTGGGTCCCATGCGGTTGGATCCATCGTGTTCAGAAAGCTCCATACCTGCGCCACAAAGCCCGATCAGCAAGACGTTCCACAGGAATCAGAAAGGCACTCACCGGTCATGACCAAACCGGGGGCCACCTCGCGGGTTCCGTTCACGATCGCAGGCTCTGCCCTCTCCATGTCCAAGCCACGCATGTTCCCAAGCTCCTTGAGCAAGCCCATGCTGACGAGCCGCTTCGCTGAGAAAGCGCCCATCGGGCCGTCGTGACCTGTCGCGCTGATGATGACCGGCGCGGTGATCGTCGCGGGGTCCATGCAGCTCTGGTGGTCGTGGTTGAGCGCGACGAGCGTCCAGTTCGTGACGACACCGGCAACGCGCTGGCCACTTCCCTGAGCGCGCGGGTCGGGGCGCACGATGAGATCCTCGACTGCGACCGCGTTCATGAGCGCAACATTGGGGAGGGCTAGCACACGCGAAAGGACGGTCGAAGTGAACAGAGCGGCGTGCTTTACCACTACGAAGGGTCCTTCGTCCTCAAACGGGACGCCGATCTCAGTCAAAAAGCGGTCAGCAGGCTTGCGTACGACCTTAAGTGCTCATGTCAGGCTCCAAGTTATGGATTGTAGATAAAAAAGCATCACAGACCATCGGCGTCATAAGCTGTCCACCTAACCATGCACCACCACCAGGAGCAACGTTTGCCTCAAGGATCGTTATCTTGAGGTCAGGGCGGCTGGTCGCAAGATGGTACGCGCAGGACAAGCCCGCGCTGCCTGCACCAACGATAACGATGTCCGATACGGCACGATCGTACATCTGGTTGAAGTACCTTGTGTATAACGTCACAAACCATTCCATATCCTTAAACCAGAGATACTTACCGTTTTATCATCGCGCGCGAGACTTGCGCTTCCTCGATAGGGGCAAACCTGTAGTTCCCCTCATAGTCCTCGAGGACGTCATATTCGTCCTTTGTTGTCCCATTTGTCTTGCTGAAGCCATTTGCATTAGCCTCCTTCGCCTTGAGGAGAGTGTCGACCTCGTCGACAGGGGCAATTGGGGCAGCAGCCACAGGGGGAGACATGGAGTAACTGGAAATGAAAGGAAGACGAGGAGAAGAGACAAAAAGCCTGATGTGACCTTGCGCGAATGTAGGGCTATATATGTTTTTGCTGGGAGGTCATAAGACCAAGGTGGAGACCTATGATAAAGGATCGACGTCAAGTCCTGTTTTCTCAGAGTCAAAGGAGCTTGCGCCTGGATTGGTCCGTTGCGCCTTGGTTGCGCCGGTCCCTTCCTTGGAGAATCTCCTAGCTAATCCGGCCACTGTTCCGCAGGTGTATTGTGCAGGTAGATCACTGAAGCTCCTATCTGGGTATGCCGACGTGGCATGGCGAGGGCGTATCCTGAGCAATCGACACGAAGACGTCACCACCAACCAACGGCCCCCATGGATCAGTGGTTGAGAATCTAAGTTTTCAGAAAAAGTTCGTTGGCGGAGCGGCTCCCCATGGTCGTGGAACTCTGTAGGCGCCGGGAAGCTGATCTAGGCACAAAGATAACACGTATAGGAAGCCCAGCGAATCAGATGGTTTCGTCGTGCAGGTCCACACCGAGAACACCACTGCCAGGGTCCGCACGTTTCTGGGCGCCGAGTCACGAAACAACGTCTCCGGCGGCTGCAACACATTGGACTGGTGAACCAACGACAGTTCGTGGGTAATGCATGCGTGAATGCAATTCCAGGGTGCTTCCTGTGACAATGCGTCGTTGAGTGGCGCATAGTTCCATGATGTCTGATCCATCAGCAAGGAAACAAGCTGAGCTAGAGGTTTCCATCAGGAGACCTAAGGAAGATTATTTTCCTCTGCAAGATGAGCCAAGAAACTTGGCTCGATTATCCTGACCTGTTAGTCAACTTTGCTTTGACAAATTCGAAGGTGTCCAATAGCTTGTTAAGCAGAAAGTTCGCTTACTTACGGTACATCACTAGATAAACGAAAGAAGTCTTGGCCAAGGCCGTCAAGCTGATATGGAATAGCTTTCTTGACGGATCGACGTTGAGCAAAGAGGCAGAGTTCGAGGCCATAAGGCAGCCTCAACTAGGAGACCCAGGAATACTATAACTCATTGCTGATTTGAGAGAAGCGGCAAACTGACGGACTCCCAGACTACACCTGCACCTAGTGCTTTTTCGTGCAGTGTTTCATCAGGCGATGTGCTTTCCCGATAGTAGCCTTATCTCCAATGAAGCGCATATATCCTGCTAGGATTGGTGGCCTCTGGGCACTCGCGAACAGCCGTGCAGTTTCACTAGCACGTTTCCAGCATAGCTTGCATGTCAGCGTCAATGCTAGTGTGGTCCGTGCCATTAAGGCACTGTCGTCCATGTAAGTTACCATCGGGTCATGCTGTTCGCAACCAATGGACTAAGAGGGTGGAATCCCGTGGGTAGAGCTACCAGTTCCCAAGAGGCCGCCGGCGGTAAAGGAAAGGCGATGAAGAGAAAACTAGAGCAAATGGTTAAGCTTGTCGAATCCTTGTGTCTAGATGTTGCAATGGTTTAAGTCGGTGATACGTGGTGAGCGGTGTCAACACGGTCAAGTTTGTCGTCCGTCTTACTCAGAAGATAAGACACGCTTAGGTGGAAACACGACCTGTAGGTCGTGCACAGAGTTCAGTTATTTGTTGTAGGACTGATCAGTCTGAACCGGGCTCGAGGCAAGCTCATGGTCGAACTATGTTTGTTGCGACCGCGACAGACGATAGGAATCAAGGCGGCCGAACGAGACGGAATCTACTACGGTCTGAGACCTGGGATAGTTTGGGACACGACTGGGCGAGACCGCAACTGCGACATGGCATTGGAAGTAGCTGAACGCACAGACCGCAGGAGGTGAATTATTCCACGGACAAGCGAGCGAGGGGATTCGAAGTTGCGATGCATTCATGGAAGGGAGAGGATCGGATGATCGGAAGGTGAGGGCAGGGCAATAAGAGCCGATGCGGCCGACAGCAGACCGGAGTAAGGATCTAACTGCTCGAGTCAATTGAGTGGTGGCACATCTCCCCCAGGCGGTATTACAACGCCCATCTCCACTCGCTAGTCTTCTCTCGCCCTAGTCGCTTATATATAAAATAGGTCCAGCTTCAGCGCTTCAGCTTCAGACCTATAACCTGTACGTGTCCCCTCGCCATGTCATCCCTCTATAAGACGCCCGACAACGCCCCATCTACTAGCCACCCAACTAAACCCCTCGTTGCTCCCCGTCCTGCCCCGCACGATCCCTTCCACGCGCCCTCTCCTCCCCTCTCCCCATCCTTCTCCTCGACAGTAGCCAAGATGCCCTCTCAGGACTTCATGACAGAAGAGGATCCCCTCTCCCTCGACCGCATCCGTAATATTCTCGTCCGTCTTGAGGATACCATCATCTTCAATGTCATCGAGCGCGCTCAGTTCGCTCAGAACCCGCGCATCTACGAGCGGGGCGCCTTCTCTGAACTCAAAGAGCTTGGCTTCGAGGGCTCATGGCTCCAGTGGTTCCTCAAAGAGACCGAGTCCTTCCATGGTGAGTGATTGTCCCCCCACACCACTCCGCGCGTCTCGGGTACATGGCATCTGATCTCGAGCAACGTTACCGGTACACTTTGATCAACGCTACTGCGGCATCATCTATAACCAATCAAATCGCATGCGCGACCATCTTCTGGCATCAGCCAAAGCACGTCGATACACGAGCCCAGACGAGTACCCGTTCAGCTCAGGCCTGCCCAAACCCGTTCTGGCACCTCTCGACTTCCCCAAGATCCTCTACCCCAACGACATCAACGTGAACCCGTCCATCCTCTCTTTCTACACGCGCTTCTTTGTACCCCGCATCACCCGGCACAAGTCCCTCTCCCTCGCCGCGTTCAAGCGCTCCAAGGGCATCATAGGCGACGCCGAGTACGACGATGACGGTAACTACGGTTCTGCTGCAACGATGGACATCGAGGCACTCCAGTCCATCTCCAAGCGCGTCCACTACGGCAAGTTCGTCAGTGAGAGCAAGTTCCAGGCACACCCCGGCGACTTCATCCCACACATTCTCAACCGGAACATCCCCGCCCTCGAGGCACTCATCACGAAACCCGAGGTCGAGCGCAAGCTCCTGCAGCGCCTCCGCAAGAAGGCGATCACCTACGCCCAGGACTTCGCACCCAGTGGCGACACCATTACGGACTCACACCTCAATGGGTCCGGTAAAGTCGACGTCGATGGCGTCGTGGAGTTGTACGAAAACTACATCATTCCTCTAACAAAAGAGGTGGAGGTGAGTAAACGGCTCTTTGCCTGCGTTAATGTGACAACATACTGAATGCGTACACCCAGGTTGAGTACCTTCTCCACAGGCTTGATGGGCTTTCGGAAGAGGAGATTGACGAGCTCGCCAAACGGTAGAACGTCTTTTCCTCCACCTATCACATCCTATTTACTCTAGCATATTCCACTTCATCCTAATTGGTCACACATGTAGCAATCATTGGAATTTACTTCCTAGGTGTATGTCAAAAATCCATTGAATGTATGACAAGCAGAGCGGCAGAACTACATAAAGGAAAGATGTGGTATATGAGGTTTCGAAAGAGGCAGAATATCAACAGTAAAGCATGTGTTCCAGCAGATGCAGGCTGACAACACCAAGAACTTAGCATACAAGATACTAGGTGTGCGTCACAAACAAGCCAACCAGTGAGACAGCAGATAAAAATGTTGAAAGCACACCAAAGAAAGTACATCGAGCATGACATGACAAACAAGATAGAACGAATGTGGGCGACCTACATGGTCTTGAATAATGATAAGCGGGATAGATAGTTCCAATAAATGTTAGATAAATGAGGGTGTCTGGGCCTCAAAGCAACCCAAGATCTGCAAAAAAGGCATCAGCTATTGCCCCTCCCAGTACAAAATCGACAAACCTTTGAACAGCTTCTGCGCCTCCTCCGGTCCGATATTCTGTGTTGCACGACGTGCGAGTAGCTTCTCAGTACGATACTTCTCGTAAAGCACCTCCCGCGTGTGCGTCTTGAGCGCCTTCATGTGCGTCGTCAGCACCGCTGTTCGCAGCGCCGAGAAGTCGCAGTGCGTCGGATCGAGTACGTCCACCGCGCCCCACCGGAACCGGCGCGTGAACAAGCCCCGCAGAGGCTCGGGCGGCGCGCTGGGGAGCAGCGAGGCGCGCCGTCCTGCGGGCGCTCCGGGCGTGTTGGGCTCCGTGGTGGGCGAGGTAACCATTGAGGCGTCGCCGTTGGAGATCACGCTCCCGCTGGCGCATCCGTTCACAGCGCCGTTGACGCCGTTGGCTGAGCCCGGACGTGCGGCTGACGAGTTCAGCCGCTCGAGCGCCCGAGTGCGTGCTCGCGTCTCGGCCCGCTCCTCCGGTGCGATCAGTGCGAAGGGGAGGCGCTCGCTGAGCTTGGGCGCTACCTGAGATGCGGAGAATCGTACTTGCGCGACATATTCGTCTTCGTCGGAGACTTCGATTGCTGAGTTAGGGCCGCTGATGTCGTTCGAGCCACCGTTGGTGGTAGGAGGAATGGACGAGGATGTGCGGCGGGCAGGGACGGCAACGGGCTCGCCGAGCTCCTCAGCTGCGACAGACGCAAGATCACGCCGCGAACGAGACCGCGAGCGGGAAAGTTTCCGTCTGGGGGCACGCAACTTGATCACAGGGCGAGTAGGGCGACTGGTCTCGTCCGCGTCTGCAGTCTCGGCTTCAGGCCCCGGATTAGCGCTTGGACTATCTTGTGCGCTGGCAGGCAAAGACTGCGGTGAGATGCCGTTCGCCGATGAAGTGGATAAGACAGGGGAATCTGCATGCCCATTCGCGCGTCCATTCTCAGCTTCATTTCCGTTCCCATTGGTGACGTTCCTGTTGACTTTGTTCACGGGGCTCGTGGGCTCTTCCTTGGTCGCCGTCGATGGCATACCGGCAGCCATGCCGAACACCCCAAAGTCGAGGCCTGCACCGGCCAATCCTCGCCTCACGGCAGACTTGACGTCAACGAGGACCTCGTCCGTCAGCGTGTCAGCGCGCGCAATTACAGGAAGCACGTTAACACGTGCTGCGAGACGAGAGATGACGCGGAGCTCTGAGGGTGACATTTCTAGTTCATCATTTGCCTCATTTTCCATCGGGTTGTCCGCGGTTGAGATTCTTGTGCCTGATTCTCCCTTTTCTTCAGCTTCTCCGTTCATGCCTTCGCCGTGCATATGTGAAGCCTCGATATTAACGTCTTCGGAAGTGCGAGAGCGGGTTTGAGAAACCGCAGTGTCCGGCCGTTTCTTGGCAGGAAGCGAATGCCTCATGCGTCGAGAGGAAGGTGACACAACAGAAGAAGGGTCCATCATAAACACACATCTATTCCCAAGCACATGCATTAAACCAAGACACTAGAAAGGAAAAGTAGAGGCCAAACTTACAGATGCACATGCTGGTCCCCTTTATTCTGCCTCACGAGCTTGCTCTCCTCGTTCATCGTATCCGCATACTGTGCATCTAGGTACCGCATGATGGCATTCATCTGCCTTTCCGCACGCAATTCGCGTCCCTCGCCAAAGTCGAGGCCAGGCGTATCAATCACGCTCAGCAGGAGGCGGTCCACGCGAGACTCGGTGATCTCCATAGTGGCACTCTCCATTGCCTCTGTGCGGCTAGGAGCACCGGACAAGAATTTGCGTATGCTGGCGCGCTGTTCGTCCGTCGCACTAGGAGAGGGGTCTGCGCTCTCGAGGAGTAGGCGCAGGAATGAGGTCTTGCCAGTCCCACGTGCACCGACCACCTGAGTGAGTCGAAGCGACGTTCATGGCGTAAATGAGTTCCCAGAAGCTTTGCAAGGGGAGAGAACCATAGAGCTCACCATGATATTAAATGCCGGTGCCGCAACCTTCCGTCTGAGACTCCTCCTCCCATTGCTCCCCGCGTTCACCTGCGTACTCGACCCGCGCCAATTGTCAAACGCGCTCGGTGGATGGCTCTGCGACATGTAGAAACTCGAGATGGGCACGATAGATGGACGCGTCGGGCGACCGCGGTCCACCTCGTTGGCTCCAGCTTGGGCTTCGTCACTGGCACCCTCACTCTCACGCCTGCCGTTCCCGCTTTGAGTACCATGCCCATCAAGAGATTCTGCGCGAAAGCGGCTTGGCTTGTGGAAGGGGATGGCGCCGCCCTCTGCTGACGACAGGAGTGCGCTCCTGAATGGGCCTTGGCGAACATCGTCAGGGGGCGGAGTCGCGCGGATAGCGGCGATGTCAACAAGGTCCTCAGGCCAGGGTATGCCGTTGGTCATGGCCATCCTGGGTAGTGACGGAGAGCGCGTCTTACGAGCGTCCTTGTCGTCCTTTCCTCGCTTTTGAGAGCTCTTCCTGCGAAAGGAGAACATGATGACCAAAGAGAAGAGGGGCCAGGGGAGTCGTCTAATATGAAAAAAAAGTGTCGCAATCACAGCCTAATGGTTGTTTGGACAGTGTGACACAGAAAGGCGGGGACCGGTGAAGACGAGGGTGCCGGTGACGGACGGAAGGTTGTCGCAAAAAGACGTGAGACAGAGACAACGAAAGTTACAAGCCTCGGAGAGAAGGAAACAGCTACCTCAACATCTTGCCGCCCTATTTCGGAAAGATAATACAGAGATCTCCCCATCACGTGGCACTTCCGCTCCCCTGGAAACTGCATCCGTTTCCAGCAACGGGAGTCTTCCCCGCACCGGAACCATCTTTCCCTCCGCCACACATTGGCCACACACTCAGGGCCAGGGCGGACGTCACACTGTCGCGCTCGTCAACAACGCACACAGCAATGCAATGCAAAAGTAAATAAGTTAAGGTGAGGAATTCGTCTGTTATCGTGAATACATGAGACTACGCAGCAGCTACCCAGGTTATCAAAACAACTCTGTCACGACCATGTATAACCCGAACCCACTCACTGACCAGCGGGGAGACCTGAAAGAGAATTTGGAACACGTACAACGGCTAAACATGCGGCGCGCTGACATTCAAAGAAAAGGGTGATATGCAAGACGAGAGAGAATATATAGTGGGGTGAGGTTCTAGTCACCGTTCGCAGGTTATACAGTTACACAAACAGAGTGGCGGTCCGATCCGATGATGCACGAAGAGTAAACAGACAAACATAAAACATGGGAACAAACAAGAAGCACTGTGGCACGGACAAGACGATAGCACAACCCAGAAAAATCGAGCGTTCCAAGTATCCGAGGGAACCAGATAGAATATGGGTAGGTGGAGGGTAGAATGGTGAGTGGATGGATAGGTTCGTTGGGTAGATATGGGGCTGAGATGGAAGTGTGTAAATGCTTCTCTTCTCTTCTTCCGCAAAAGCTGGCCCGGCATAGCGAGCAGAGTACACGTCGATATTTCTAGGTTTTACCTCCGCGGCGTAGTAGGAGGGGCGTGTGTGACCGGTCGAACGGGATGATCGTCCAGGCCTATTCAAGGAAAACGTTGAGGGAGTTTCGGGTAGTGTCATCAAAATACGACCGCCGCCGACTCGCGATCGTCTACGCGCAATCGCTTTGGTACCTGCGCCCGGTCATCGTCGTCAAACTTCCGCTTCAGGTCAACGTCGGTGCCTTCGCCTGCACTCGAACCTGAGCTGCCAGAACGGCTAGTGTCTGCATACCGCCTCTCTGCGACCGGCGATCGTGAGGGGGAGCGAGGCCCAGAGCTACTGGGTCCAGGAGGCAAACGGGCCTCGTTGGTTGCGCCTATAGGCAAGGGAGCAGGTAGACCACCGTTGGGCACCTTGGACGTCGACCCGCGCCGCCCGCCTTTTCTCTGCCCATTTTGAGACTCGTGATTGTAGTTACAAGGCAGCGACCGACGTGCACAGCTGGAGCACGCCGGATGCCCACCATCGCATTTTGTTTTGCGAGCTAAAATTCAATGTCAGTAAGGTAACAGTTTATGACTCTTCTGATCCGCTAAGCTTACCCCGGCAGAAATTACACGCAACAACCTTTGGTCCGGTCCCTGCGCTTGGCCTGCTCCCCCGTCCAGGCAGGGTATTCGCTCGTTTCCTTTGCGCGGCTTGCTGTTCAGAAGCTGGTCTAATAGGTGGCAGCGTGGCAGCGGACATCATGCTCGGCACTCCATCAGGCATCAGGGTGGCGATATGAGGGAGCTCATTATCCCTGAACAGCGAGCGCCCCAAACCATCGTGACGCTCAAGGAGCCCACCACTCGTGGCCGGGCGCGCAGGTTCACGGGGGTATCCGTGAAGACTATGAGTATGCCCATGACCGCCGACGTGGTTGATACTGTGTAGTTCATGTCCGTCGTGTGGCCGAGCAAGCTCGGGGGCGGACGACGAGCTCGGCGGCAAAATAGAGGGGTAAGCGTCGATCAGGGGACGCTTGTCAGCGTTTGAAGGGCGCCGCGCAAGGGGGGCCGCGGGGATCTCCGGGGAAAGTGATGGTTCCTCCACACCGTCCGAGCGCTCCTCCGCCCCGCTGCCATCGGATTCGCTCTCGTCCCCTTTCCGCCGGTTTGGGTTCCGTCGCTTGTTCGACTGAGGCATGTAATCGCATGGATGCGATCTCTTTACACATTGCGAGCACGCCGGCCTCCCACCGTCACACTTGAGCTTGCGAGCTGCAAGGAGCACGCGGCAGTAAGTATGCGACCCAGGCCCAGGGTAAAGAGCAAAGCCAATGCGCAGTCAGAAGTCAGCACACGCTTGGCTCGCATTGCTTGAAGAAGGGGCGTGATTACGTACAGCGACAGAAGTTACACGCAACATTGATCTTCTTTGTCCTCGTTTTAGTTGATCCTGGATAGTGACCGGTGATGGCACCCGAATCAATTGAGTAACAGGGAAAGTGATGTAAAAAAAGGCGTATGGTTAGAAGTAGCCAGGGTTTAGGCCGAGAATCAACGCACTACTCATTGACCCGTTCTTGACCTGCGCATGTGGAGGCACAGACTCGGAGATGGGACGGGATAATGCAATGTTGTGCATTTCAGCCGCATCTCGAGGGGGATGGCCGTTAGAGTGTCTACTGATGCCGTCGTGCAGGGGCGGGCCAGGCGCGGTCTCAATAGACAGCAATGGGCGCCCCGGAGGCCCATGCGGATGGGAAATGAGCGGCAGTTGAGCGCGAGAGACGACTGCCTGCTGAGGAAGAAGCGGTGCAGCGGAGTGATGCTGAAGTCGAATCTCGTCCCGAAACTTTTCGAAGAGGTATTCGCGCGTGTACTTCTGCAACGTCTGCGAAGAGAATGGGTGTGAGTCGACTGAGATAGGGTTCACAACAAAACAGAAGAAAATATATTACCTCCATATGATGGAATATAGCACTGCGCAAAGGCAGAAAGTCCGAATGGCTAGGGTCAAGAACGTCCATGGAACCCCAGCGATAACTGCGGATGTACTTCCCTCGGACGATTTTGTGCCCAACAGGACGTGCGGAAGGAGTATATTGTTGAACAAGTTCGTGCCGCGCTGGTGCTGGTCGCGCCACACCGTCGCTGTGGGAGAAGAGATCGGGAGAAACGAGCGCATAAGGTAGGGGAGGGGTGGAAATCCCTGGCGGCGACGTGGGCGGGGACAGCGGTGAAGAGCGACTTGAGATGATGGCATACCCATTTGTGTGCTCGCTTTTGGCGGGAAGTGCAGAGTCCTGTGCATCTTTTCGGTGTGGATAGGTTGCATGTGTGTCTATATCAAAAATGCCAAAGCCGATGCCAGCCTCGGCTAGATCTCGGCGGACGGCCATTTTGACAGCGGCCAGACGGTCATTGGTGAGTGTGTCGGCGCATGCAATAACCGGCAAGACATTGACACGGGAGGAGAGGCGGCGTATGATGTTTACTTCCTGTGGCGGGAGAGTTGGCCGCGAGAGCACGGGGTGGTGAGAAGGAACAGGAGGCTCGAGGATGACAGGCTCGGGCTCTGAGCGGGTGAAGGAGCTGGCGCGAGGGCGGTTAACAAGAGGTGGCGGTGGCGCGGACATGGAAGGGGGGACGATCGTGTCCGGGTCTAGAAAGTAGATACACCTGCGGAACACAACCGTTAGCTCTCCGGGTAGATTAGGCGCCCGGTTCGGGACTGGACGCACAGGTGGATGTGACTGTCTCCGGTCTGGGCCCTCCGCTCCTAGATGAGTAGGTGCATGTTAGCATCCGATAAGCCAAGGCACAAGCGCATATATGCGCAAAGAGCGCTCACATCGTCGAGGCCCTCAGCGTAGCGGGAGTCGACATGCCTGAGTATTTCATGCAGAGTGATGTCCGAGGCGGACTCATCGGCCGAGTCGAGTGAGGGAGTATCTACAAGAGTCATAGAAATTGTTTGAGGCGGGGAGGAAGAACTGTCGGGTTCGAGGTCGACGTTGACGGATGCATGGCGTATATGAGAGGTGTGGCCAGAGCAGCCCTGAACGAACTTGGCGACGGAAGCAAGCTGGTCTTTTGTGGCTGCACAGGAAATGTTGCTGGTGTCGAGAAGAAGACGAAGGAAAGAGGTCTTGCCCGTGCGCTGACCTGCAACCATGAGGTTGTACCCACCAACAGCGATGTGTGGTGGGTGTGAGTGGGCGTCGATCGGCATAGGGTGGTCGGAGGCACGAGAGGGGCGGGGAGCAGGGGGGAAGGAGGGGCGGAGTGGGTCGTCGAGGAGATGGGGGTGG